TGTTTTCTGTCAGTCGTAGCGCTTGGAGTTCCGTGTTGTGCGAGGATCTGAAGCCGAATTGCTCTGGGGGGAGAAGTTGCAGTTCTTCTGCCTGCTTCTCTAGTCGAACGGCGATAGCCTTTTCGACTACTTTGCCCATCGAGGAAACCAGGCTGATGGGCCGGTAGTTCTGGGGCAACTTCCGGTCCTTGCCTGGCTTGGTGAGCATTATAACCTGGGCTTCCCGCCACCGCCGCGGGAAGTGGTTAAGTCTCAGGGTGGCATTGGCGATGTTGGTGAGCGCAGCAATGCCTTTGGTGGGAAGGTTCTTCAGCATCCTGTTGTTGATGCCGTCCCTTCCCGGCGCCTTTCTGACCTTCAACCTGCGGATGATCAGACGGATTTCCTCTGGACTGGAGGGGTGATCCGTCTCCTGGCCAGGTGGTCGACTCCTCATGTTTTCAGCTGCGACTTCCACGGCCTCCTCGTGGTTGTCGTCCTCGTCTTCATGGTAATTGAGTCTGCATTCGGATTCTAGCGAATCGGCGAATGCTTCGGCTTTTTCTTCACTGGAGTAGGCCAAGCCGCGTTGGCCGTGAAGAGTGGGGATCGTGGTGCGCTGACGACGAAATTTTCGCTGCATAGACCAGGCCGTACCATCCTGGGTCTCTAGTTCTGCACAGGCTGCATTCCATCTGTTGTTTTGGAGTTCCGCGAGTGCGTTCTTCAGAGCTAACGATGCTCTGTTTCGCGCAACTCTCGACTCCTCTGTCAACAGCTGGAGATGTTCTCGCTTGAGTCTTCTGTTCTCCCTGATCAGGTGCCTAATATGGTGCGGTGCTGGACCATTTAGGTGTCTAGGAACTGCCGTAGTCTCGGAGCGGGTGCTGTCCTCGTGCGCTCGCAGGACAGCATTCTCCAGCTCCTCTACTGGGTTGTCCAGTTCCTCCGCTGATCGGATGGTTGGAATTTGAGTGATGTTCCTTTGGACGTTGGATTTGTACAGGTTCCAGTTCGTCCGTTTGGTGCTCAAGCTATCTCGAGTTCTAGACCCTGTGCCAAGTGTTAGTAGAATCGGATTGTGGTCCGACGATCCTTCCACCAGGGTCTCTATCTCGAACTCCTCTCTGATGTTGCGGAGGATGGCTATGTCTAGTACCGCAGGTCGCCCAAGGCCGAATGGAATGTAGGTTGGTTGCTCCGGACCGACGATGACCCCCGCCAGGGCATCGACGTGTTCCTGGAGCTGCCTTGCATTCCTGTCTTCGACGTTGTTGTTCCATGCCGGAGACTTGCAGTTTAGATCTCCGATGACTATGCGTGCTCCTGGGCCTCTCAGGAGATCAGCGATGTCATCTTCGTCTAGGGCCTCCCCTGGTGGCACATATAGGGAGGTGATTCTGTAGGGACGGTGGTTGTGATGGACCTGGACCGTGATTCCGTCCCCATTTATGTCTGCGGCATCGTCGAGGACATGACTCGTCAAGGTACGTTTGACGAGTAATGCGACTCCTCCACCTCTGCCCCTTCTGTCGTAGCGGTACGTCTCGTACCGCGGGAACGTCAGACTATGGGCAGCATCCAACTTCGTTTCTTGGATGGCCATCACCTCTGGTTGGTACTGGTCTAGTATCTCCTGGATTTCTGGTTTCCGTGCCCTGAATCCGTTGATGTTCCAGGAGATATTGCGTAGAGATTCTACGTTTTGACCTGTAGACATTTCAGGTCTAGTGCTTGTCTTGCATCTTGGCCTCGAGTGCATCCAGGCGGGTTATGATGGCTTGCATCATTGCTAGCAGTCTGTCATCGCCGTGTTGCTTCTGCGCAGTAGTTCCAGTAGCAGTGGCGGCTGCTGGGGCAGAAGTGGACATAGGCTTCTTCGCTTTTTGAGCGTAAGAAGTCCTATTTGTGGTGGGGACTGCTTTGGGGGCAGAAGCAGCTTTCTTCGGCGCCTTACTACATCCCTTGTAGTTGGCGGGGTGGCCTTCTCCACAGAGGCAACATTTGGCGTTTCGTTGCCCTGTTGGCGGCGCTGGCAGACTGCAGCTGGTGCTGTTGTGGTCCTCTCCACACTTAACGCACCGTTCAGCGAGACGACAGTTCCGCTGTGTGTGCCCGTACCGCTGGCAGCGGTAACATTGGCTGGGCTCGGAAGACTTTTTCTTCCTCTCGAAGCTGACCGTGAGCATGGCCAGCCTCTGGATCTCTGCAAGCTTTTCCGGCATCTTCGTCTTGACGAGGAAGAGCGGAAGTGGCTTCTTTGTGGTCCTTGAGGTCATCTGCTGAACCTCGGCGTCTGCGATGCCTTGGCTCACTAGATCCTCTTTGATGTCATTGACTGACATCTCTCTGGGTAGCCCACGAATGACCCTCTGGTCCATCCTGTCCTCCTTCAGTTGATAGGTGAAGAAGGGCCGCTTGATGGATTCCAGCAGTGCGACTAGCTGACGATAGTCAGCTGGTGTATTTGTGAATACCTTCACACTGGTACCCGCCATCCTCGCTTTGGAGAATTGAATCCCCTTGCTGTTCATCATCCTGCTCAAGGATGACCAATCAGCGGTGCCCTCGATATTGATTGGCGGAACTCCTGTTCCTGCCATGGGGGCCTCGGTGGTCCTGGTTGCTCTAGGAGTCTTCTTGGTGGCGGCAGCTGACATCTTTGGCTGCCTTGGTGACTCATCTTCGGAGGAGGAAACTCGCACCCGCTTCCTCCGTCTGGTGGCGACACTGAAATCGTTGTCGTCCGTCCTCTTCTCGCAGCTACCTTCAGTCCGCGTTACTTTATAAAGCCTCCTTTACGAGTGGAGGGGGTGAGCTAAGGCCGGCGAAACTCCACCTCCAGCCCTTGCGGACGGGTGCAAGATATTGAGTTGTCCTCTGCTTTGATACCCTGGCTGCTACAGGGCTAAGTTGATGAGTAGGTGTGTGATTGATTAGTTTCACTAACATTTTCTGTTGCAATTTTTCTAGCCTGATATGGTAAGGATCCATGCCGAGCATTTTCCAAATATGTTTCGATGGGGGGCAGCGCGGAAAACTTCCTGCAACCTTATAAGCTTTCTCAAGCAGACCTCGAGTGAGTTTAAGCCGATTTATCCTTGGTAGAAGGATAATAATCCAAATTGAAAACAATGCACACGTCAATTACTCGCATCTTCACAACAACGTCGGCATTTCATTTCCATCCAATGAAGGGGTCTAACATCGCCAGCTTTAGCTTTACGTAGGCGAGCGTTTATGTAAGACCTTGATGACGTTTTGGAACAGCCTCATTTCCGATTTTAATTACATTTCGGTGTTTCCGCGCAAAGCTGAACAGAATACAGTCAGTCTTTTGCACATTACACTTCAGTTATAATAGTCTAATAATCGGGCTATCTAGGTTTGAGGAACGATTTAACACACAGGTCATCTGCACATCAGCGTACTGTGTGAAAATTATGAAAATAATATTCCCTCAATGTAGTTTTTTGGTAGGTCCGACACATGTAGGTTCCATAAAACCGTCCCAAAATTGACCTTCGTGGCCAGCGGCAGATCTAGAAAAGATTTTCAGAGGGGCCCATATGAAAAGGTGCTGGGGGGGAGGAGTTCACGATTTAGGTTCAGGATGATGCCCGTCTCAAGGGGAGTATCGCAGATTGAAAATTGAAGAGGGGATCCATCGCACTGCTTGTGGCACACCATTCACTAGCTTCCGTAAGCTGGATAAAGTCATCAAAAGTTTTCCGCGCACTGTTCGACCACTGGGGTAGTCTAAAGTTGATGCTATGCTTTGCACATCGCCTTCTGGAGGTGCTGCTAACGGCACCTTACCCTTACAAGCGGGACTACACTTACCAGTAGGAGTTTTATCTCCACTGAAACCACTTGATGCAAATGTGTTCCTTCGGTGGCCAAAGGGGGCTGATAATCCCTTCAGCGAACGACTTTTCTGAAAAGGCCAAGTTGTGTCACAGTCGCGTAAAACTTCGTCGTTGTGTCATTTTTCACTTATTATCATCGATGCGGACTAATTGCGGACTCACAATTTTTTTATTGTTTATGAATCGCGCGGTGTCGAATCCCGAACGCAGTATTCGTTTGTAACTATCTTCGCATGCAACCGTCTGCATTGCACGCTATATGAGTAGTTCTGTGAATATATTTAATAACTATTTCAAGTAAATGTTTTGGAAAGCTGACTATACAGGCAAGTCTTACTAACAACTTGTACGCTCAATACCTGAGCAGTTTTTGGAGACACAACTTGGAACACTGATGACAAATACTATTTCAGTTTCCGATGGTTTTTATTGGATTGTGTATTATTTTTGCTCTTGCTCCATAGGGAACCGTGCTTTTCTCGAACAAGCATTTTCTGTGAACGATTCTTCCTATAAAAATAATTCCTATTTTATCGAGTGTATGGAAAACACACCACACGTCAGCGCCAAGCACTTTAATCTAACGATGATCTAAAGAAATTTGAGAACCGCCAACAAAATAATGTCCACAGGCTTCACGTAAGAGAGCAAGAAGCGAGAAAAGTCTCGAAATTGTTTAGGAATAATCGTCTCACGGTAATACATGAACGATCATTCGAAAAAAAAATGCAATTTATGGATACTGAAGCCACCGAAGAGATTCAAAATTAAGGCACTCCCACATGATGCCATTTAGGAGTGTCCACATTTTATCCATGTAGTTTTGAAAATTGAACTTTATTAGGGTTTGCCTTGTAATAAATGTTCCTTTTTAAGGTATTTTTTCTAAAGACAATACATGTACAAATCATTTTTCTTGCATAATCCCCTGCATGATCCTTATGGCATGGATTGTTGATGCTCTTAGTAAAATTCCTGTTATTGAATGCCATATTTATTTGAATATCATATGGTGGGCTGGCAAAAATGTAGATTGGTTTCTGATCAAGGAATGTAAAAACTAAGCGATACATGATTAAAACATAAGTGTGCTTCCCAGTCTTTGGGCTACGAATATTTTATAGGGTTGTAGGTATTTGATTTTAAAAAAGAGTCGACTATGAACATCATTTATTAAAGAAATATACATATAATAAATATATAAATTAATCCACTCTCCGACATTTAACTAAATACACACTGCCATCATGAAATAATTAAATCTACAATGTGTGTTGCAAACTGCTATAAACAAAAATAAACATATTGAGTGACAAAAACAGGTAAACACATAGGGGAGCGCGGGGCTATACCGTACAACGAGGCTAAACCGTACACCCGTTTTTCGTCTCTAGATTTTTAGCTAGACGAGTCCGATCGGTATCGCAACCTAGCGGCAGAACGCGCAATTTTGCAGGATTGCGATTGTTCGGGTGTGGGTAAAAGTACCAGTGTGACGGTGAAAAAACTTGTTTTTTATGTTCTCTTATAATTTTGGGGCAGTGCCAAATAAGAGGTGAGTGGAGAAACCATACAGAAGTGTACGGTATAGCCCCGTTTCTGTACGACTTAACCCCAAATGGTTTAATATGTCAAGATTAATAGATTGAAATTTATGAAAAAAATATCATGCACATTATAGTTTTATACTCCATCCCTCCCCCCCCCCCCCATTATTATTTGTAGACTATTAAAAAACATGCCAGCCATAACATTAAGGTTTTTTTTTACAGATGGTCCGAAAATATGAAAGGACAACCCAAGAGCCAAATCGACGGAAGAAGCAATGAAGGCAGCTATGACGTCATAAATAACGTGAAAAAACTAAGAGAAGCAGCCAGGACATTCCAGTTATGACCTTGAGTGATAGACTTAAAGACTCGTGACTCTAAAAAGTTATCTTTAGGGCATAAACCTGTATTCACACAAGAGCAAGAAAATGAAATTGCAGAACAATTTTTACTTCTAGCTAAAGTGTTTTACGGCATTTCGGTTGAGCTTCGCCGCTTAGTGTTTGAGTACGCTGAGAAAAATGGCATTCCACAACAATTTAACAAATCAGCTAAATTAGCAGAGCAAAATTTTTTTTAATGGATTTTTGAAGCGGAACCTAAGAATCAGCATTCGCAAACCAGAAGCAACAAGCATAAGTCGAATAACTGAGTTCAATAAAGAAGAAGTGGATCTTTTTTTCTCCAACCTCAACTGTGAAATGGACAAACACGAGTTTACGGCCTCAAGGATATATAATTTTGATGAGACGGGGATCTCCACGGTCCAAAAACCAGGAAAGATTTTAGGCCCGAAAGGAATTAAGCAAGTCTGTGCGGTGCCGCTATAAGCTGGGAAGGGGGGAAAAATATCACTGTGGGCTGTGCAATGAGTCCTGCTGGTGAATATGTTCCACCAATGTTTATCTTCCTTCGCCAAAGAATGAGCCCTAATTTGGCAAAACGTGGACCACCAAATGTAATTTACCATTGCTGTCATAACGGGTGGATAACTGAAGAGTTATTTGTCATCTTGTTACACCATTTTATTTTCCATGCTAAGCCAACTAAAGAGCAGCCTGTGCTTCCCGTAACGGACAACCACAAAACACACACTTCCTTAACAGCGTACAATGTTTGCAAGGAGAACGGAATAATTGTGGTGACACTACCGCCACACACGTCACATCACCTTCAGCCATTAGATCTCACTTTATTTAGCAGCCTGAAAGCAGCATTTAACCAGGAATGTGACAATTTTCTTAGGTCACACCGTCATGAGAAGATAACACCTTACGATATCGCTGCTATTTTTAACAATGCTTATGTTAAGGTTGCTAATATAGCAAAAGGTGTAACTGGTTTCGCATCGGCTGGGATATTCCCTCTTGATCCGGAAAAATTCACAGAAGAAGATTTTGCAGTGCGATTAGAGGTTGAACAGAGATTAAATGTTATAGAAGACAAAGATGTTGCTGTTGGTGTAGCCTTGAGGGATACTTCAATCTCCGGAGTCGAGGATAGCCCAACTACAGCCCGAATGGATACGGATATAAACAAAGACCTAACTCCAGATCACATAGATGTCGGATCTCTGCAGAATTCACCTACCATGCCTTGTTCGGATGCTGGTGCTCAACCTCAATCAAAAGTAGTATCTTTTAAATCTCTTTGTCCCACGCCTCAGTCTAAAATAGCGCAGATAACTTCAAGATAACAACATTCAGTTATTTTTACGAAGTCCCCAAATAAAACACAACTGGAAGAGTCAGCTACAGTGAAAGCATTAAAGAAAAAGATTCAACAACTACAAGAAAAGATAAAAGTTAAAAAGGAAGAGAAGAAAATATCAAAACAAGACAACACGATACCCAAAAGTAAAACATTGGAAACTCTAAGCCAAGAAGCCTCAATTTCAAGACAGCAGGATCTGGGAAGTCAAAAAGCCGAGGAAACATTAGATTTGATGGTGTCCCAGCTAAGTGACTTTAAGAGGGTTCAAATTGTCGGGTCGCCGGTCTATCGATAAGAGAAGTTTCTAGGAGGACCAACAGATCCTTACGCAGTATTCTGCAGTGTGATCCAGCGTGTACTCAGGCCGAGGACAGCGAGCGAGGGGTTCTGGACGACCCAGAGGGACCACAGAGCGGCAAGACCGCCGGTTAAGACTTCTGGCTCTGAGAGACAGATTCAGTAGTACTCGAGCCATCGCTATATCAGTGGTTTGAAGAGCATGGAAGGATGGTTGGTATGCATACGGTATATCGCCGAATACGACAGTTTGGCCTTTTTTCTTATCGCCCACATTGGGTGCTACCTCTCACAGCTGAACATCGGCGTTAACCGTTTGCACCGTTGGTGTAGAGAAAGAATTCTGGGACCGGGAATGGTCTTTACTGACGAATCCCGGTTCTATCTGGGGATGCACGATGGTCGGGCAAGAGTGAGAAGGCGACGTGGTGAAAGACGTGACCCACTATTTGACAGAGAGCGTTACTTTCTCCACACCGTGGGAGTTATGGTATGGGGTGCTATTGCTTTCATCAGAGGCAATATGACTGCCCGACGCTATATTCAGGAAGCCTTATCTTATTCCATATCTAAACACCACCCAAAACCAGATTTTTCAGCAAGACAAAGCCAGACCGCATGTTGCCAGAACATCGTTAGCCTTCATGGATCAACATCGAATCAACCGTTTACCTTGGCCATCACGATCGCCTGACCTATCTCCAGTTGAACATGTCTGGGACATGATAGGTCACATGCTCTTGAATTTGCAACACCCTCCACAGACTTTAGCAGCTCTTACTCACGAGTTGGAATGAGATACCCCAACAGGATAACGTCAGCACGATGCCCAGGCGTGTCAATGAGTGTATAAGAAATCGTGGATCATCAACACATTTTTGAACCAGCTTCTGCAGTCAGTTGACGAATCAAGCTGAAAATTTAATCATTTTACTAATAAGAACATATATGCCAAAAGTTATTAAAATCGGATAAACATAAGTGTTTACCTTTTTTTGTCACTCAGTATATTTCTTCGGTCAGATGATCACCGATACACTATTTAGCTTGCTTGTCACATTTTTTGTACCAATTGTGGCTCTCTTGTAAGGTTTTCAACAATGCTGTTTCAACTGAATCACTTCATGAACACAAAAACGCGGTGGAGAAGTTCGTTTATCGGATTATCAATGATTCTATAAACGTTAACTGAAGGATTGCAATGACATCCACAAGTTGAAACCGGCAGGGTTATTGCGTAGAAAACCTACCTTTTCAAGTTACGTAATACCCCTGCTGGTTAAAGTCGAGTTGATTTTGATGACAGTGACTTAAAACAGCCTTGGTAATAAATAAAGTCGTGTTATTTTCCTGTTATTTTGAAAACTTTTGGAGGTAAATCCTAATAAATGTTGCATAAGGCATTCTGTGGTAGTAGCACTTCTTCCAATCTTTGGATATATGAAACTACGAAAACTACGAAAGAGCTCTGAAAATAATATCTACAGTATTAGGTAAAATTATCGACCAATGTTGCTTGAAATACAACCCAACCAGCAGGGGTAATACGTAACATGAAGTGACACTAGTCGTTTTTTTTGACATTATGTAGGTTTTTTTGTGACATAATCTAAGTTTTCCTATAATATGTCAACTTGGAACTAACTATCGTTCATTCATGCTCACTTGTAGCAGGCACGAATTGAACTATTTGCACACTACTTAGTAACAAGTTGACATTTTATCGGTTCTTTGAAATTATTTTTTACGTAATAACCATACCGGCTATTATAAAAATATACTTTTTTGGCTGAAGAACATAAAAATTAACATTTTTAATGTTTTGTTTTGTTGTTATTGTGATTTAATTGACTCGACAAAATCATTGTAATAACTTTATATGGTATTACTTTTTCTTATATTTGAAGGTACGGACGCTAATTACAAAGTGAATCCTGGAAACTTGGCCTCAGCAGGCTTTTGAATATCCAGGTAGAGGTACAATCTGCCTGCGAGGCCCTCATATAAAGATAGAGGTCTATCTGGAGAAAGCTCTTCATGCTCCTTATTGTAATCAAAACACCATTCTGCAAACTTTATTGCTCTGTACAGATGCTTGGGTTCCTACAAAGGTATAATTTATTCACTAGCTCTAATTTTAATATCAAAACATAAAGTTTATTTCAGGGGTTTTGTCGAAATAGGTAAACATACTCGGGGAAGTTCTTAGCCCTCCTAACAAAAATAAAACTCTTTCTATGCAGTATCATAGCTGTGATTAGGAAAGTTTACATATAGACGAAAAATAGAACAATTATTTTTACCTTAATGTTCTTTTTTTCGTGTCTTTTTTTTCGTCCCCCCACAGTATTTCCGGAGATTGACGGAAAAAACAGAAATGTCCCAAAATCGTTTTAATTTTTTCATGACTTTATTTGTTGTGCGATTTCAAAATGAATTGTACATTGACATTGCAAGTTTTTCTCTTCTTCGAGATGGCAGAATTAGAGTCTCAATATGACGTTTCGTGTCTTGTCCTCCAGCATCAAATTTATTTTTTCTTATAGCCATAACGCGTTTTCAGACTGATAGTCATTTGTTTCGTATACCAGTACAGACCTCAAATTAGTTTTTGAATCTCTGCTATGATTTATCTCTACTTATTTATGAGTATTATTGTTATTACCATCATTAAAATTTTCATTTCGAGTTCAGGTTTCATCATACCTTTTTATTTCCTTAACACTTCCTTTCCAACAATAAAATCACGGCCAAATAAGAAAATATATCACTGAATTTATGACTAAACACTCCATTTAAATGTACAAACTTCCAATATAGCGTCCAGTTGGTGATGGAAGTAGAAAGAAACCACGAGTTGGAAATTTGACTACGCCATCTTGTGGAGAAGAAAAGGTGACAATGGTAATATGTAATTTACTTAAAAATCCCATCTGAAATAAAGTCAAGAAAAGTAGAAAATGATTTTGCGATAAATCTGCTATCCGATTATTTTAAGACCTAGGAAATTCTCTTCTTTTTATATAACTAAGGTTTGGCAATGTCAATGCATGACATATTATACATTTTTAGAAACAGAATTAAAAACTCTATTCACCTGAGCTAAAATCCAATCTAGCATTCATAAGAAAAAATAAATTGATGCTGGAGGACAAGAGACGACACGTCATACTGAAAGTTTAATGTGCAATTTATTTTGAAAAGCCACTATAAAGTCAGCGATTTTGGGAAAGTTCGGTGTTTTTTCACCTCACTCCGGAAGTATTTTGAATTTCGCAACTTTCTAAGCGGCATGTTATTAGATACCTAAATACGTAACTTTGCCCCATTCTTCGTATTCGTTACCGTTTCCGGTAAAATGATGTATTAAAGTAAGCAAGATCTTACTGTGATCCGCCAAAAACCGTAAAAAGAAATATATGTCTATACGTCCACGCACAGAGGCCAATTGAATGTATACTGAGAACCAAATTTGTCAGACGGATTCAGATAAACGCCGCCTGGATAGCGAAGCTCATCACCACGTTGCCTAGGAACGCTGACATGGCAATCTGCCGCGTTCCCAACATGTTACACCAGTTCCTTGAATTAAGATGCAAATGGAAGATATGATTTAGTTTATTCTTTGCGCCCAAATAGTGGTTTTATTTTGAGCGTAAACATTTTTGAACTATGAATTGTGACGAATCTGTTTAGAATTGATCCCCGATCGGTCCTAAAGGCGCTCCATTTTAGGTCGAAATGAAAGCTCAGGATCGCCACAAATTCTGCAACATTGCATCATTGGTTCGTTTGATAACACCACATCGTGTATATTGCATTTCCACCTCCATCATCATAGTTGAGCGATTTTGGTCAGTACCCATGTAGGAAATGGCTTTCACCTGCCTACAACGCAAGCAGTGATGATTTGTTTTGCGTAACGTTAGTTGTTACATTTTTCGACCGCAGGGCTGTCGCAAAATATAACAATAACTCAGGACGTGTTGATTTCATCACTTTCTGTGCAAATCAACGATTATTCTAAAATAACTTAAAACGCTTAGTCGCATCAAAATTGAAATAAATAATTCTAATCAAAATGAAAACAAAATATTAAATTTAATGTTCGAACAGACCTCCTTCTTGGGTTTGACAGTAACCCACCCTGTTGTAGCAATCTGTGCGAACATTTTCTGGTGTAACATATTGGCAACGCAGCAGACTGCACGACCTTCTGAGTCACCGTTGCTAGGCAATGTGGTGATGACTTTCGCTCTTCAGCCGGCGTCTATCTCTTTCTAGCATGTGTTGATACATACTTCTTGCGCTTCTCTCTCGTACACATTAAACTCAAGACGTCAGACAAATTTGATTTTCGCTGCATATGTTTCAGGCCACTGGCGCGCCCACGGGGGGTAAAGGGGGTAAATTAACCCCCTCCCCCTGATGACTCGAGCAGTCTTTGAAAAGGTGGTATAAGAGGTCTTATAAAAAAATATGTAACTTTAAGAAAGGATAGCGGCAACACCACCAGCCCGCTCAGTGCGCATGCGACTAGCGACTACTCTCCCACCAACAGCAACGGTGTGCGCTTTTTCCTGTTGGAACAGGTATAGTCTAGTCTTTTATGGTCTAGTCTACTGTCTAAGCTCTGTACCAGTCAGAAGTCCGCAACAAAATTTGGCTGAGAAGTGGACAAGCGGAGTTTTGTTGATCTGGTTGGTATTAGCGCTATTTTCTATGTTCCATTGATTTTTTATTTTCCACGCATAAGCCAGAAAAGTGATTTTAGTTTATTTTTAGTTTTTATACAATAGAAAAGAATCGTGTCTAAAAAAATGGAAAATGTAATATAATTTCAATTACGAAGTGTTTGGTCCATACTCCAGCTATCATTATCATGTCTATTTTGTCTCGGAAGTCCCTGTATATGAGCACTTTAGTGCATTTCGTTCATCCGAGATGGCAAATTATATATTTAGTTTTTGAAAATTGCGTGAACTTTAGAAATCTTGTTTTCCAAACAGAAAAGGTTCTTTGTTATGAGATACGTGAATGTGTGGAAACCAATAATGCCGTTTATTTGGCAATATTTGTGTATCTTTTAGTGCTGGTTGACGGCTGCTGTTGTCAGGATGAGTAAAAGGAAACAGAACACCATCGATTGGTTACTCTCTTAGCAAAACAAACTGTCTGATCCACCGGTACAAGAATTACCGGAAACAACTGATGATAATCCTGCAATTCAACCTGATCCTTCCACTTCAAAATTTCTGTGTTGCACCGTATGCTGAACCAAGTGTTGAACAATCGGGTGCGAAATCTAAAGGATCCAATTTTGTTGATGTTGCGCCATATGTAAATTTCGGCGGCAACTTGTCTTCCCCATGAAAAATATACCTTATTGAGGTGTGCAATTATCCCTAATGACTCTTTCAAATATCCCTATTCCACACACTTGAAAAATAATAAAGAAGTGAAATGTTACTTATCAAAAAAACACTTTGAGAAATTTCCTTGGCTGTCATATTCAGAGAAACTACAAGTGCTTTTCTGTAAATATTGCGTGGCTTTTGCAGAATTAGGAGGAGTACATAAATAACTAAATTGGGAAAACTTGTTACCGTACCACTAAAAAAATTTTAGAAATTGTATGGCAAAACCGGTGATTGTGAGAGACATGAGAACTCAATATATCAGACAGAAGCAGTTTCAGATGCTACAAACTTTTTAAAGATTTACGGAAATCGAGAGAATGATATAAGAAATACAGGGTGACTTTGAAGTCGAAATGATCTAAAAAGCCCATGCGCAAATCATGCCTTGAATCTTTCGATTTCAAAAAGCAGCAGTGTCCAACAGTAAGAAATACTGTAGGTATAATGAAGGAAGTAATTGAGTTCTTCAAAGCATCCGCTAAAAGAAATACAGTATTAAAAAGAAAACTAAACGGATATCAAATTCATAGTATGTGCGAAACACGATGGACCGAGAGACATGATTCTGTGCTCCAATTTGAAAGCAAATTCGAGAAAATTGTAGAGGTACTAAATATTATATCAAATTGGAAAGATCGCGAAGCTTTTTCAAAAGCGGAGTCTTTGAAGACTGCCATTACTTCCACCCAATGTATCGTATCACTAATGTGTTTGTGTGATCTATTAGCTCTAACAGTCAACCTGAGTAAGATTTTACAATCATAAACAATTGACAAACAATACGCTGTCAAACTCATAGGAAATATTATTTCTGTTGTACAAGATAGATGCGCAAATTCTGAAAAAGACTATTCGCATCTATAATGAAATCCCATGAAACCCTACGTATTGAACGGACTGTACCAAGAATAACAAGCAGGCAAACGAACAGAACGAACATAGTTACGTCTGACAAGGAAAATCATTACAGACTGAACCTATATGTCCCTTTGCTAGATAATATATTACAGCATTTGGTATATCGGTTCGATGAAGAATCTTCGAATATATACAATTTTAATATTTTCTTTGCGTCAGTATTTAATTCAAAAACTGAAGCTGAAGTAATGGACATATTAGAAACAATCTCTAAATACTTGCATGGACTAAATAATAACGAAAACAAAAATTTAATAAGTACCAGATTAAAAGCAGAATTTCACCTTTGGAAGTCACGTACACAAGATATTATAGACAGTGGAATGTCTCTGTATTTATCATGTGATGAAAACATATGTTTCCTACAATTATTGATTTCATTGCCGGTAAGTGTTGCGACATCTGAAAGAAGTTTCATCTAAAAAGGATAAAAACTTGGCTGCGCTCCACTATGTTACAAGAGCGATCAGTGGGTTTAGCTCTTTTGTATATGCATATAGGTATTAGAATAGACGTGAATACAATCATACATCGGTTCGGCAGGAAAAAGAATAGGCGCCTTGATTTTGTAATATGATAACACCTGAACTTTTGCCTAAGGTTGTCTCTCAAATCAATCTCCCTTCTGTTGGCTTATAAATAAAAAAGCGGCTATAGTTAAGGGTTTACTTACGTTAAAACCACCACAGTGATCTGTTCCAGAGTATCCAATCAAGATATGTGGTTTTACTTATTGGCCAGCAGATTGATATAAAAGTCTGTTCAGTTGTAACACAACAACAGTTCATGTTTTTGTTTTTTGAGACTGGCTAAGAGAATGTAGTTATGCAATGAATATTTTTTGCGTTTTTCTATTTTGATTTACATTCAGTTTTATACTTTATAGAAGTCGTAACATATTTGTTATTGTTATTTTTTGTATGTTTTGTCTGACATTGTTATGTAGAAAAGTCTTTGCTTATTATTATTTTGCATTTTTGTTTTAATATATGAAGATTGCTCGAGCTTGATTTGCTGTATTTATACTTTATTTGGTATAATTCAAAATTAAAAAAAAATTGTATGTATTTTCTACAGAAATTACTGTAACAAATTCATATGTCCATGCTTTTAATGTTAAATCATTATAACACTTCAGTACGTCAGACTGAGAATTTACTTTCCATTTTACCCCTCCCAGACTAAAATCCTGGGCGCCACTGTTTCAGGCAGATGGATGTATCAAAGTCATACAACTAAACATTTTTCTTTCGTCAATCCGACTACAGACTGCCAACTATGGAGAGTTGGTTCGTGCTGTTGGTAACTCATCAGCATGCTCTAGGCATGGTCTCTGGGACACTGAACAAAAGGATAGCAACTATTATCTATTTAAAGTATGAGAACTATCGAAATAAGACATCATAAAGCACTATCGATTCCCTAAATCGAACGCTGCGGGAGTGTATATAGCTGTCGGTTGTAAATGTGAAGATCTCAGTTCGCGTTTGATAACTCAGTCACCACTGTGACCTCTAGAGGCTGACGATTCGGGCGGTATACTATAGATGTGGACTGTTCGCCATTAAACAATTAAACATGCTGCTTTCGTCCATCTGATCACAGACAGCCAACCATGGACAGCTTGTTTCGTGCTTTTTGGCAACTCATCAGCATGGTCTAGGCTTTATCTCTGGAATAACTAACGAAAGCATAGCAACTAACTTCTATATGCGGTATGAGAAAAGCAAAAAACAGCCGACCACGGTTGGCTGTCTGTCAGAACGGGCTGATGAGTTGCCAAAAAACATGAAATATGGTTGAATTTTTATGGTCGGATGGACAAACGCCGCATATTTAGTTGCGAGTAGACGACATTTACTATTCCGCCATAATCGTCAGCGTCTAGCGGTCACAGCGGTGACTGGGCTATCTAACGCGAACTGCGATTCTTAATAGTTCCAGCGAATAGCTGCTATATACTTTTGCAGTAATCGATTCTTTTAAATAGATTGCAATTTGTGCTGTCTTATTTTGACAGATCTCATACCTCGGATAAAGGATAGCTGCTATGCTTCCATTCATTAGTAGTTATATCACGAGAAGACACTTAGTGGAATGTCTTTATGATCCGCCAATCCGCCCCCTTGACCTTGGGAGTCTTCTATATTATATTAGGGAAACCGATCGAAAATGTTGTGTTACATAATCGCGAACCGATATGATACGATAAAAACTAGTCACATCGTACGTAGTTTGGGGCTTGGTAAGTTTGCTGTTTAGCGTCAAAATACGTTAGATTTGACTAGTTTTAAACATTCCATATCAGTACGCGATGTAACCAAAACTTTGTGGTCGCCTCTTGGGCTAATACTGGCTTACAAATAAAGATAGTGCGGACTGTCCTTGATTTGGCGATTTACTCATACCAAGACTCATACATAGCTCTGCATGTATGAAGACTGTCCATAAAATGTGTAGAGTACGCTACATGTACACTGAGCTGAATGGAATTTAGTTCTTTTCTTTTGGTGGTTACGTCAAAAATTCATGCGAAATAGGTATTAAACATATCGTCTTAAGGCCAAGCTGTCTAGATAACTGGCAATCATATCAAGCAGATCCAGGATTGGACAAATACGCAATTTGAGGTTAGAAAACTTATGAATTTCAAGCTGACGTCCCTCTTTTGTTACTAAACTAAACCGTGTAATATTCTGTGTAAGGCCCTAAAAGTTAAATAGCTAATGTGATGATCTATAACAGGCTTTGAGAAATAACGTCTCTCGCGAAAAACGTGATTTACATATAACTTTATTGAATGAAAAATATATTTCGTATGGTGCCAACGGATTACAAACATCCCCACCATGAATAAATGTCCCACAAAGTAAATTTGAACAAAAAACTATAAGTCATGCTGAATAAATTCGCCCAAAAACGATTATCTGTCTGATAACACCGCATTTATCTTCGACTAAATAAGATCAGCACGTCTTTAGACTTCATCAGATGTTTTGTGGACTTTATGTTTGTAGAGTCTTTTATCTCTCTTTAATTTTATTGGTCTTGTCTAATTGGCCTCTATATAACTAACTACTCTTTGCCTATGCCATGCTGATGAGTTGCAAATAAGCATGAAACATCTGGCGCTGCGTGCTGTCTTATTTCAATGCATCATATGTTTAATCAATCATTCACCTTTGTACTCTGGTACAGTTCTAAAAAGCAGTAGGCATTCCCAGCCACACCATGGCATATGCTGTAGCCTTTTTTCAAAAGGCCTCTTTCCCAAATTACGTCTCCACATTCGCTGGCCAGTTGCAAATATTTCGGGTCATGGAATACCTGGAAAAGACAAATAATTCTATATATTTTAGGTCAGGTTATACAGGTACAAAAGAGACTATTAGGTTGGCTAATAAATAATTAGCGTCACAATAGCTTTAAGATACTATTTATTCATTTATAAAATAATAATTAAACACTGACAATATGATCACCATAGTTATATATCACTGTTCGCCAGCGTTTAGGCAAAGAGTGGTTGGCATTCGTGTAAGACTCGGCCGGATTGAATTTGAGAACGATAGAGTGTTACAACTGTGTTTCAGCATCAAAGCTTTTTTCCAGTAAATGATTATTGAGCGATCAGAATAAACTGAAATGTGTCCACTATTTCCCAGTTCAGCTCTAGCTGTTTTTGTTGTTCATTTAGCAATATGAGGTCGTTCTCTGCCTTGGAGACAAAATAGTCATACTACTACTGACTTTGCTACATATTTGCTTCTACAATAATCCAAAATTTCACAAATATAATACCAAAAATATTTTGAGACGTCATATTATATATTAAGGGAGCCCTCATCCTGAACATTCTTCCTCAAGAACCATTTCTGCGTTGGTTTTTTACGGCAAACCCATTAAAGGATGACAATTTTAAGATCGATGACGAGAACAAAATTGTTCATCAAATACTGTGGTTTATATAAACTTAGAAATTATATTTGAAGCATGCCAGTAGAAAAAGTTCATAAGAGATACTTATTATAAGAATTGACTATACTGAAGATTCAAATGACCTTCTGAATAAAGAAAAACCTGAACTGAGGAAGATCATACTGATACAAAAAGAAATGCTTGAAGATAAAAGATTATATAATGAGACTACTCTCAGAAAATGAATGGCTACAGGAGCAATATAATGTAATTGCCAGCAGCATAGTAGGTGAGGATACCATCATGGATACCCTTGAAAGGAATGGAAACAAAAGATAACAATAGATAGAAGCGTAGAAAATTCCAAATGGAGAGGAATCTCATGATTCCATAATAGATGTATCATTCACAGATCAACAAAAACCCACAACACTAACAAATAACATTATTCACATCAATAAATTGGAATCAAGAGCGAACCAAATTCATCGTCAACGTTACCTACTCCAATGTATTGAAACTAAATATCCCAAGCAAGATAAACAAATGGCTAATCAACTAACCTGATAATCCTATTGAAAGCAATGAAGCCTTCACCTTGGTCCAACAGAAAAAAAATAAAATTAAAAATTCGAAGGATCTGCTACATCAAATATACAAATAATTGAGGTATTTATGAAGAAATAAAGATAATATTGCTGAACAAACTATCTCAAGCTTCCTAGAGAACAAGGAATCCTGAAATTTCCGTTTTAAGAAAGTAGAAACAAGCTACAAAAACAAAGACAATTGCTTTTGTGTCTACAAAGAAATCTTTTGGCCAAAACGGGAAGTCGTTGAACGCTTTAATTTCGTTAAAGGAAACACATTTTTAGAGAATGCTTCCTATAAGGAAAAAATCATCTTTGGACAAGCTACATCGCAGACATCACTGAACATGGATTTTTGAAAGATAATACACGTATCAATTATGTAACATCTACTCAAGGTAATTTAAATTTTCCAACTTTTCTTCTACTTACAGAGTATTGGATATGACATAATTTTAAAAGACAATTACATTGTTAGTAAATATTTTATCAATCAAAATTATATTGAATCCACGGAAATTAAAAATTACCACGTATTTCAATTTTAATCAAGAATTTCACTTACGTAAAATCAACAAATAATAATACATGATTTTAGAGTTTTTAATTTGTTTTATAATAACTGGAAAGTATTTTGAAAATAATTATGATGTCTTGGCTATTAAACAACTGTTTTGTCTTTTATCACATATCTCAATCTTCATCTACCAAATTGGCTACTTATGTGAATTATAGAACCATACGTTTACTTACTACAAATTAGATTAAGAAATCAACAAACTTATCAGTAAAAAGCAATTTGTCTATCATAAATAAAAAAATACCATGGGTGTTGTTTTCACATTACTCCAACAGTTATACTCAAATTTAAATGATAAACAAATTGCTATTCTTTGCGACTTTTCCAAAGCCTATGATTGTGTAAATGATGATATACTATTTAAACAACTATACAAATATGGTTGTACTGGAACATCACTAAATTGGTTTAAAACATATTCAAACAAACAATCCCAAATTGTAAGAGTATCAAGATATTATACTTCAAAGAAATTAAATATAAAAGCAGGGGTGTCTCAAGAATCAATACTAGGCCCAATCCTATTTTTAGATTATATTAATGGTTTAATACATTTAAACTTAAATGGTAAATTCATAGTTTTTGCTGATGATACCACAATACTTTGACAAGACACCGATATAAAGGAAATTAGATCAAACATTGACAGTCATATACAATCAATCAAAAAATGGTGTGATAACAATTACTTGATATCAGTAAGACAGACCAAAGTCATGACATGTAAGTGCTCCATTGATTTTATAAATTTAAATAATGATTTGATACACAAAATAAACACCATCAGACCATTGATCATAAATGATATATTACTGATCATGTACTTACTCAAATAGCGAAGATTTCCTTTATTATAAGAACAATTAGTTATAATGTAGGGAAAAGCATAGCCTAAAGCAGTTACTTAGCCGTATTTGAAAGAAGATTGAGATGTAGCATTCCCTTTTGGTCCCAAAAACAAGATCTTAAATTAGTAATACCTAATTCAACAATTGTGAAATAATAATTTATAAAGGTCTGAAAATGTACGTGTCCCTCCCTGATAATATCAAAAGAATCAACAATTTAAAGAACCTTATTTGTGAGCCATATTATACCATGTGCTAATTCTACACTACTTGGGATCCACATGTGTGATTTTCATTGGTTTTAAAATAGCTTTCCCATTAATAATGATTGTATCCTTTAGACGAGACAGTCTAGCTGGTTAAATGTACGGCGAAACGATAAGTGAGTTGATATTTGCTCAATTGGTGGGGTACCCAAACAACAAACCTGTAAAGGTTCCTTAAAGCATGCAAATGATTTTCTATTGTGCCATGAGAGCACTCGAGCTCTGCAGCCAAAACTAAGTTTATTATATCTGTTTCGACTGGACGCCCAGAGCTTGGTTGATCTCTCAAGAAATAGTCACCACTATGGAATCGTTGGAACCACCACCTTGCTGTTGTCTTGGAGACTGTGTCATGAGCTACCATTTGGCACATGTCAAGTTCAGCTTCTGGAGCAGAAGGCCCAGATTGGTACTCGTATATTTAACAGTGTCGCACAATTTTTCGTAGCACTTTATGCAATGACTGCTGAAGTATTACTAACAGGCATAATCGCGACTTACCCTTTATATACCCCACTATAGAACGTTCTCGACTGTACTCAGGTTTCCTAGAAAATATAAAATCACCCCAGACCTAGGAGATCTAATAGATGAGCTCAACTTAGATCTGCAGTGAGACATAGTGCAACAATAATCCTTATTTTTAATATATGTACTTCCATACAGGAAAAAATGGTAAACTACCTGACTAAAGAATAATATTGGGGATTGGGTTCATGTATTTGGGCTGTTTTGAATAAGATTTGACCTAACATCATTACCTTGTATGCCTCACAGAAGAGGTAAACAAATCCTGGAGCTCCATGACACCACTGAACATATCTGTCAACATCTCTGCCCAAAGAAGAAGGAAAATTGCCACTTGGAAACCTAAAATGTAGAAATAAGATATTGTACAGTGCTCAATGTATTAGAAACAAACAGTAGGGCAAAAAGATCCATATCTAGCAGAAAACACATAACTGCATAAGTATACCTTTGTGTAGTCAAGTAGTCAATTGTAGGTTTAATAAGGTTCAGTAGATCATCATCTGGCAAGTATTGCTTGACTTGCAGTAGTAAGTACAGGATTCCAGAAACACCATGTGCTGCTCCAAGGTAGTAACTTTCATGCCATTCATACATAAGTGGACATTTAAAACTAAATGCCTTTGACAAGTTGCGACCACTCACCAGAATTGCCTCTATTATCTACAAAATGTCTCAGATCAGGACTTCAAATTACACTCTCTGCTAATCTATACATTCCCATCAAAAAATAAATTTCATACACAATCAAAAGTGGAAAAGAGCAAAACAGTTCTGATTGAAAAAAGTGTTGTACTCACAAGTCTGACAAATTCATCGTCAAATTTCTGTGGCATGACATATTTGTTGACATACAAAATAGCATACAGATACCCTGCTCTGCCATATAAATACTCATTCGGTAAATCTGACTGTACATTGACCACATCTTGGCTCAGAGATTTCAGCCTGAAATATTTGAACCTATATATACAAGTTAATTTACAGTTAGCCAGAACCTAAATTCGACTAGTTAGATCATAGTATGGCGGAAGATTTTGGTCAAAGTCTGAATTACACGTCATTTTCACACTTTGACTATATCTCTGGTCAGAGTGGCAATTACGAAAAAGGTGTGCTGTGAATATGGTTCGTCCTATTTCAAGCATATCATCAGACATTGTCTTCTTTCTGAGCAATAATCAAAACCACAAACGTTGAATTATCAAGTCTAATTAAACAGCATGGATCCAAGAGATCGTAACAACCATTCCAAGTTTCATTAAGTAGAGTAGAGAAACCAGCAAAAACTTTTCTATTGCCTTTGTGACGTGTGTTTTGACAATGTTCAAATAGGTCTGTCATATCATTAAATTTAACTTTGTCTTTAGAGAAGAGACTGCTGGACGACAGACAGACTTCCAAACTTTTTCTGCTGAGAATAACTGAGGGAGTGACTCTCTTCTATGGTAAATAATAGAGTTCCCTAAAAGGCAATAGAAACACGCCAGCTTTCTCTCAGTTATTCTACTCCCTTGTTTTCAAGAACTGATCCCAGAAGAGTTGCAGTCAATATATCGGAGCCTGATTACAATCACAAGCAGAATGACATCTTGTCAGACCATTTTAGACACCTCATTAGTATAGCACTAGTTATGGCATCATTATTAGTTTTTGGCAAATATTTTGTTATGGTAGGCTCTGATGGTGATTTACTGTGAGGAAGTGATTGTTTCAACTAGAGGATAAGCTCAATTGATTAAGATTAATATATGAGTATGCTATGACTAAGAATGACATAAATTATCTTACTTGCTACAAAGCAGGTCAACTTGCTCAGAATTGCCCAACAGATGATTCAGATGTATACCAATAGCAAGAGGTCCTGCATCTCCACATAAAAATGTATGTCTTTTACCTTTCAGTCTATTTAAGCTGAGTAACATCAGTGCTTCCTACAACAAGTGACTTTTATACTTACAGTAATAATAATGATATAAAAAAGCATCAATAATCATATTAAACGGCTCCAATCTATTTCTGAATGCATATATCATTTTTGAAGCATATCTACCATATTTAAATAAATCCACCAATCATTTTTCAAAATGCATTCACCAGTTCTTAAAATTTATCTGTCATTGAATTATTAAATTTCATTAAATTAATAAACCCATATTTAAGCTTTGATAGGTATATAGATCTGTTTATGATGAAAATTTGGGAAGAACAAGTTTGTAACTGCAACAAAGAGTTTAACCAAAAGTGTAACTTCAGTTTAAAAAAAAACTGAATATTAAGAGCTCAATTGATCTTTCTACTACTACTTTATGAGAACATAGAATAGTACTAACTCTCAGTGTATTTGCATTAGTTGGATCTCTCTTCATCTTTAATAAAGCAATTCCTGATGTGCCCGTGTATACTGAATAATCACTACAGTCTAAAGCTTGCAGTTTCACCTCTATTTCTTTCCATTTGTTATCCAATTCTAGTGCTATTGGGTGGTCACTCCTTAGCTGCAATGAATACTCATCTATTACTTAAATAACCTTGTTTCCAAACATATATAAATCCTTCAGACTTAAAGGTGTTTCAGGGGTTGGTCTGTAATGAATTCACAAAAAGAAATCCTGGATTAAGCTAGTGAAAAAAATGACACTGAGCTAAATATATCTTAAAAAATTGACACTCGTGAGATAAATTGAGATACCTCTGCTTTTTGGGATGAGAAATATTTATGATATATTTGTCAACACAGTTTGTGGAGGCTTCTAGTTACACCTCATGACTGCTCTAAAAATGAAGCCCTATCATTTTCCCTAGTACCGTTCCATTACTTTTTATTGTGAATTATGATAGTGATGATTGATATAAAAAAAAGCTATACTATTCAATTACACAAACCCTTTTGGGGACATTCCATTAAGAGTAGAGTGTATTGGAGACAGGAAATAAACATAGTGATGGACATTCAACAATATATAATTATGAATGTACAATAAAATTTCAAAGTGCAGATACTCTCTTTCTCATGGACTCCCAAACCACAATTATCATATATACATCTTCTACCTATAGGTGGATGAGACACAATCAGTAATAATTTCTGTTGTATATACAATCAGTATCCTACTGATCATTATATCTCTTTAATATTTTTTTTAGTGCATTCATTCTTTATGGAAGAACCTCAGGAGTATCATCCTCTAGTTCCTACATACTTTTTTCTAATCAAAAAGATGTGAGGGTAGCCTAAACACAAAAACTTCTATATTGGTCATCTCCCTTTATATTCTGCTCTTCAAACTGCTAGAAGTGTTCCTACCTATCTTTGGCCATCCCTTCATCTAAAAAAAATCTCTGCCTCTGCTGTTATCCCTGTTTTCACCAAAACTAGCGTCTCTCCTGATCTACCAAAAAATTTCTCTAGTAACATGAAATCTGATAGAGAACATTGCCATACTGAATAATATAGGCCATGCTGTTTCAAGGAACGAAAATAGGAAGCTACCAATATTTTTATAGAAAACTATCAATGTAATCTTACTCTGCCTCCTTCCAGAAAATCTGGACAATTTTCTGAATAATCTGGGAATGGGTTTTTGAAATACTTTGACGACATCTCAAATTTCTCCTTTAAACACGATCTGTTGAGAAACCTTTATTGTTTATTTTTTGTATTGAGTCGCTGTTGATCATCAAAGTTCGGAGGATATTTTTACACCGTCAGAGCGGCAGACTTGTTTACACTATAATCCACAACAAATCTGTGTTTACACAAAACATTACATTTGTTTATTTAGGGAGAATGAAGTTGTTAAAAAATGACAGATTTGACATTTGATGACCATTAAGATTTATGATGGGAACTATTTCAAGTCATATACTAAATAGAACCGGTAATTCTCAAACTGAATCTAGAAATAACTATGAACAGAAACTGAGTTAATTCAGCTCTACACACACAACGTCGATTTCTATTTTAGTTGTGATAATTCCTGAAGTTCCAGTAATGGTGATTATTGAGATGAAAGCCCAAAACGCGACGGTTAGTGGCAATGATGTACAATTTTCCGTTAGGCGATGCTTGTGTAGTTGGGGGTCAAGCTGTCAATCAGATGGGAAAGGCAGAGAAAAAAGATAGGTGTTATTTTTTATGTTTTGACGCGTATTGAACAATCGGAAGGGTGCTTCTGACAGTGCATTGTTATGTTATAATACTCATAATTCATAATTAAAGAGTGCGGAGGTAGCTAGATGTTAAACTGAACCATCTTTTTGCTTAGAACCAAAAAGTTTGTCGACTACCCTATAACCCTATTTCACGAGTATTCATCACGTTTTGGCGTCTACTGAGGTGAACAGCTGATCAGCAAGAGACATTTTTGTGTAAGTCTGCAACGTTGGCAATAATGGATCGGGTATAAATCTAGCAAAACTTGTTTGTAACGTTTTTTTTTTGTATGGAAATGAACTTTTCTTAATAGAAGTGCTGTTATCAAGTATAAACTGAATCGGTAGCGTACAAAAAACCAAAACAAAATTCGGCTCTGTCTACCCGTCAGAATTATGTGTCCTGTGCAGATATGGAGAATTTTGAAATATTACTAGATAATCAGCTGTCATTCTACCGTGATGGATACTCGTGAAATAGGGTATAGAGGATACCAAATAAAACCCGATGCACGTCATCGATGTGGAGCTGTGCGCTGTTGCCAGAATTTGCACATTTTCTTTTAAGCAAATAAATTTAATAAAATAAATTGTTTATATATACCTACCATTTACTATAATACCATTATATTAAAAATAAATAAACTTGTTGTAAAATTAAATTCATTTCTGAATAAAAACACCTGATTTGGTAGATATTCAAAAACACAAAATATTTAAAGAACATAAATTGTTTTCTCGTATTTTAATTAATTTGATTATTTATTTATGATATGGGAACTACAACACTTTTTCAATTCACATCAAAGAGAAGAAAGAACTCGGGTGATGCGATGTTACACAATACCGGCAACTAGCGGCAAGGAGTACTCTTTATCGAGCCTGATATTAACCGCATGGTATGGTTCAGTTGTATATCAATTCCGGAGTTTGATTACATTATACAGAATATATTTTGATGTTTTAACTATTCTGAATCACTGGAATCAGAGACATCGTTAACATGGATGGAAGAATTTCCTGTCTATCCATTACTTGTTCCCTTCTATACCATTTCATAATTATCTCCTCTGTATGTCTAATGGAGTTCTTCCACATATCAGGGGTAATAGTTTGGAGTGCCTCTTGCCACATTTTTAGGCAGTCATTTTCAGTGTGGCCATCTCTTCCAATATGCCGATTATAGTAATCTTTAATTAGCTCAATTGGGTTAAAAATACAGTGGTATGGAGGTAACCGTAAAACTTTATGTCCATATTGTTCTGCCAAGTTATCGACCACATACATTTTGGTTGGTTTATTCACAAAAAAAAAAATAAATAGGAACAAAATGCATAAAGATTGGGTATTCTGCTCACTGTGCAACAATCGTTAGAAGTTCAGATTTGAATGCTTCATGTGGATACTGTATTTTTTGTTCAGTTAACCAATTCTGAATTTCATCCTTTCTCCATGAGCTATTGGGAGTTTTTACTAATAACATGCTATGGTATGATGGATTATCCATAACAATCACAGAGGGTTGGGTCAAGCTTATTAGTAATTGATTTTCAAACCAATATAAAAAGTTTTGCTGGTTCATTTCACCACGGTAATCATTAAGCTGGGTTTTCGATGAAAATATGAGCGACGCACCTTCAACAAATCCATTTTCATTGCCAGCGTGAACTATGATATACCTACAAATGCATTTCATTTTTATATAGAGCTTATTTTTCTATACATTTGAAAGCCCACCTTTTTCCATCAGCTTTTGTACTTCTAACACTTCGCTTGGATACTTTACACCACTTCACAGTAACTGTTGTTCTGAAAAGAACAATTTTTAATTGGCAAGGCAACGATTCAAAGCTCAATTAGCGCAAAACTCACAAACTAAACAATAAAGAACTAATAGTACGACAAAAGGACAATGGCAACTGATGTCAACAAATGAGAAGTGGCAACCTCACATTTCTCTGCACGGCACTACCAACCGAATCGAGACGGGGAAATTTAAACTTCAAGTAGAAATGTCACATTGAATGTAGTCAACTGTTGGTAACCATGATTTTTATGAATGACATCACCTATGACGTGCATCGGATTTTATTTGGTATCCACTATATATGCCCATTGCATCGTGGCCCATCTCTAATGTATTGCATTCAATCGTATCTTAAAAACATTCATTTTCAACGAATCGAATCTGATTCAGTTATCAGTTACCACTGTTACCAGTAGTGGTAGGTAATCAATACTTTTGCAAGTATGGAATAGATACCGATACTTGATCTCTCAGTATCCCATACTGAGTATGCAATACCGATACCAAGTATCGGCTCGATTAATTGCCGTTAGTATCTGTTAATTTAATACTGCTAGTGTGAAATAATAATAAATAATAATAATCCTGTTCGTGTCTTTATGTCGCTGATCCAGGCCCCGACCTTCGAATTTATTGCTTACTGTTTGTTTACTGTTATTATGCGGTCTCGGTCTCCTATAAGTAGGTATAATCGAGTATAGACTAGAAATTAGAAATGACTGATGAGTAGTGATGAGCGATACCCAGAATTTTAAATCACATTGCTATATTTGTTATTGTTACAATATTGGTTAAAAATAAAATATAAATTCTGGGCTTTTGTAACCAGAAATTAATTTCAACCTTTTGCTTCAGTTAAGTGTTAGAAATCAAAAGAAACACTTTAATTCCCAAAAGTTCGCCTATATTCAATTGACAACCGGAACGTGCAACAACCCAAAAATCGTATTCAAATTAGCAATCTCGTAAGACTGCCTTAGTTTTTTATCCTTTCGGTTCCCAATACCTAAGACCGAATTTATATAGAATATCGATATCGACATCTACATAAACGTGAAGGTAGACATCAACATCCTTATCTTAACGAGTTCTGGGAATCCCACGTGTCGGCCTCGACGTTACGTTCAGAAGAACTGCTGGGTTATGTCATATCAAATAGTATAGCTTACATATTTACATAAGTTCAGAAGTGCTTAGTGTATTATATAATATATTCTCTTTTTCAAAATATAATAAAATACGAGTGATAAAAGAAGAAGTGGTAATAACGCAAGATCTTCCGTCTCCTTTGTCTTTAAGAACATCTGCGGAGTTGGAGGAAATACCCGGACCATCAACTTCTTCTACACCTTTGGAAGTCACCCCAGGAAGTTCGGCTTATGACGCCACAAAAAAAATTGATCACTACAAAAGACGAATGCCTTTTCCCTCATCAAAACAATCTAAAATATCGACTTTTGCTACGCGGCCAATGTCTATTCCGCGTACTAAGCACCTGCATATAAAAGTTTTAAACATGATTATAAAATACATGCAGCCATTTACAATTGTTGAAGATGAAGGGTTCAGAGAATTGTTAGAAGAGTTTGATCCTGCTTACAGTGGCGGCCGGTCCATATGGGCGAAAAGGCTACAGCCCCCCAAGACAAAATGCGAATTAACAAAAAATTTAAAATATGATTTTGTGATTAAATAATTTCCAGATATATACGAAAATTCAATCAAAACCTGAATTTTAATAGTAGCCAGTTACGCAACACGCAATATATATATATATATATATATATATATATATATATATATATATTATCCGATCCCAATACCCCGAAGTCGCGAGCTAGATTCCCTATCGATTCGAGCCTAGAATAATTTTTGCCGCGATCGCCGACCTGATTGAGTGGCTCGCTACGTCATACCCCCCACGCGCTTACGAGTTTTATACGAGATTTTAACACGCGAGGTGGCGAAATAATTTTTAGCCAGTCCCGATTTACGTGTGTACGAAATCGCTTCGTCGCGTCCCCGTGCCGTCGTTCGGGCGTTCAAAAAGTTTAAAATGGCAAATGAAGTACAAAATTTGTTAAAAGGTGAATTTTCTCGGCTTCCGCTTGCTGAAAAAATAATAATAAAATCCCTTGGAAGGCCGATTCCAAATATCAACCTTACTCAGGCTGATAAATCGACGAAAGCTGGTTGTTTTAAGAGACATTTTAAGAAAGATATCTATAACAAAAACAAATGGATATGCGGTTGTGGCACATTAAACGCCCTGTTTTGTTTTCCGTGCTTACTGTTTTATTCAGATGCAGCGGAAAAGACATGGAGAAGAACTGGATTTAAAGATTTAAAGCATATAAACCAGAAAATTAGTAAGCATGAAAATTCGGCTCGTCACATGATTTGTTCGACAGAATTAGCTTTATTGGGAACAGCTAGTATCGCTGCTCAGTTAGATTCCGCTTACAGGCAAAATATTATTAAGCACAACGAGCAAGTGGACAAAAATAGATATCTTTTAAAAAGAATAATAAACTGTATAAAGTTTTGCGGTAAATTGGAATTAGCGTTAAGAGGGCACGACGAAAGTGAAGACTCTGAAAATCGTGGCATTTTTCGAGAGTTGATTAATTTTACGTCCGAACTGGATACAATATTAAAGGAACATTTAAAAAGTGCGACACTGTTTAAGGGTACTTCTAAAACAGTACAAAATGAAATACTAGATAGTATGTTGGAAGTCTGCCAACAAGAAATTCGACAGCAAATTAATGCAGCAGAGTTTTTAGCTATACAGTGCGACGAAACAACAGATATTTCACATCATTGTCAAATGGTAATGATATTTAGATATCTCCATGAAGGTGAAATACAAGAAAGATTTTGGTGTTTTTTGAGCGTTACGGACAAGACAGCTGAAGGTTTGGCAAAGTGTATCGAAGAAGAACTAGGCCCATTATTAAAAGATTCACCCCACAAATTAATTGCGCAAACTTATGATGGTGCAAACGTAATGAGCGGTAGCAGTGGTGGAGTTCAAACAAAAATCAAACAAAAATATCAGAACGCTCATTTTATACACTGTTACGCTCACCAACTGAACTTAATTATGCAGAGAGCAGCCAGCCAAAATCCAAAAGTAAAAGTGTTTTTTTCAAACCTGTCGGCAATTCCAAGTTTCTTCTCCAACTCCACGCACAGATGCGATTTATTGGAAAAAATAGTTAAAACCAAAATGCCAAAGGTTGCGCCAACACGGTGGAATTATAACATTCGCACAGTCAGTGCCGTTTTTGAGAACCGTGAAAGTCTTATTGATTGTTTCCGGGAGGTAGAGAATAAATGTGATAAAACAATTACTAGTAAGGAGGCATACGGTTTAAGAAGAGCACTCAAAGATTCTGATTTCATCTTTTTTTTGACTTTTTTTCACAAAACCCTACCGCACGTAGCTATTTTGTTTAACCAGTTTCAAAGTAGGAATAAAGACAGTGTACAACTTTTAAAAGATATTGACGTATTTGAGAAGGCCATTGTATTGATTAGGGACACTACAGAGGATATACAGCAAACTGTTGAAAATGAGCATGGAGACAATGGAAATAAACGCAGAAAAGTAGGACCCGAAGAAAGAAATTGTATTATTGCAAAAGAAGTTTGCGATATAATAATTGTACAGACAAAAGAGAGACTTTCTTACAGGGGTCATCTAGAAGCTGCATCTTTATTAGATACACAAAACTTCACAAACTATTCGAGATATTTTCCAGCAAAAATACTGAATTCAGTTGTGACTTATTATCCAATGGTAAATAAAGAAAAACTGAAAACCGAATTAGAAGTAATGTACATGAGGGAAGACTTCAAAAATATTACAGGTGGTTTGAATTTGCTGTCCCTATTGACTAATAACAACCTAGAGGAAACTTTTAGCGAAGTAACTAAGTTGTTGCAAATAATTATAACTACTCCCATGTCAACTTCCGAAGCAGAGCGCTGTTTCTCAACCCTTAAGAGGATAAAATCGTTTTTAAGAAACTCGATGGGCAATGAACGACTGAATGCATTGGCAATGATGTCTGTTAATAAGAATCTGGTACATAATATCAGCAATTTCGACGAAAAAGTGATGGAACATTTTATTTCACAGAAAGACAGAAGATTAGACTTTACATATAAACATTAAAAAATATTTTGTAATAAATAGAAGTGTGAAGTGTGACAGTTGAAACACAATGTTTGCTCTAGCTGTAGGTAGGTATACTTAGTCGTTTATAATACAATAATACATTTAGGTATACCGTATTTCTGTTCTCTTTTCCAGTTATTTATAGTCACATGTGTTGTAAGAAAGTGAAAAACTATACTTTTGAGTACTGTTGTTCTTTTGATAATAGATGCTCTGTTGCTTTCATATTAGATGCTGCTTTCTTTTGCGATAAGTTCTCGTACCTAAAATATGTTTGTTCCTATACAGAGGACTGTACATAAAATATATAGGTATAGGATTGCCAACTGATCCATCCACAAAATCAGGACATAAAAAATGCAAAAAAAATTATAGCTCTAAAAATGTATATTTGAATTTGAAGGCTCAAAATGGAAGTTTTTGGGCGTGGCACCGTAAAAATTCTTTGCCTCCGGCGGTGACTGCGGCAGGCCACCCTTCCCTACAATAGCCCCCCATTTCTCACAGCCACCGGCCGCCACTGCCTGCTTATAAACTTCCTTCAAGAAAAACTTTAAGCAACAGTTTGTTGATCCAAACATATGATGAAGTTGTTCAGAAAGTAAAGAATTTACTAAAAAATTCATTATTTTTCTGTCACTCTCTGTCTACACTACAGTATGTATAAATAGTCAGATTGTCAGTATTTATTACAGTATTCGATAGATTTATCAAAAAGTATCGGATACTTCTGACTTCGGAAAGTATCGGATCGTTTGTATCGGATAGATACTTTTTGCCCACCACTAGTTACCAGCCTCTCATAACCAAACGTCAATGCCCTATGTCATAATTTCATTGGCAAAAATCATAAACAAATATGACTGCAAAAGAATCATCGACTATCAAAAGGGTATTAAGTAAAACTAGGAAGATAACGGAAACGAACAGATAATGTCACCACATAACAGCAACTATTGCTATCACGGGTGCAGTTAAAGCCATGTCTCTAGTCACAAAAGTACTGCTAAATTGGAAAATTTTGTTGTTTGGTTTCACATTGTTTGTCTCTGTGTGTATAATCAACACCCAAATTGCTGTTGTACCTATTAGCTGCCTCACATTCATCTTAAGTACAGTACTTGTGTGGTTCATCTCAGTATGTGTCACATTTGTGTGTTTGCACAAGCTGTTACAGAGGAACGAACCTGTAGAGGTGGTTATGTGTCCCAAATGGATACGAAAGGCAAAAGGGCAGGTGAAACCTAATTCTGAAAAAGTTAAGGTTCTCAGTGAAGATATTGATAAGTATTTTATCACCAAGTGGTACCAATATGTTACTGAAGATGAAAGCTTTTCGAATGAATTGAAGCTATTTTTGGAGGAGGTAATAAATAGATTCATAGATGTGCAACTTAGTATTGATACCAAAGTACTGTTGCATGGGGCTTTGAATATTTATCTCAAACATTTGAAGGAGTTTAGGAGGAGTTTGAGGAGGCAGCAGAAGTATAATGGCAGCTTAGAAGAGTTGTACAGGTAAGAGATATGCAAAATAAAATAAACGATGATGATTTACTTAGCAAATATTAAGCCAAAAGATGTCAAATATAAGCAATCCAATTCCTGACTATAATTGTGAACATTTAGCATACAATCAAAGATACTTTCATCTACTATCATACTCACTTAGACAACCTATATCTTGGGACCTGTTGAGTGTTAGGGTTTGTGCCATTTGAGTCATTGGTTTAGGATATCAAAATTCACGAGCTTTCACAAATTCAGTCATATGAATCAAAGAACCAAAACGGGACAAAGGAGCAGTGGTATCGTCCAGTTCTGGATGTACGAAGTTCAACACAGTTAGGATGGGACGCCAAAGACAGGCGGGTCTATCTGGCAGGCACATCGTGCGGCAGCATCATGGAAGAGAGGTTTGAGGAGCAAAGCCTGTTGGTGTAGCGGTAGAAAAGAGCTAGATCGCCGTCAGCTCGCTGGTACGAAAGGGTCCCGAGGCTGTCTTTTAGAGAAGATTCATTGATCAGTCAGATTAGGTTCTCGGTGTTCTGGACTCCAACCAGCCGAAATGAATGGTTCTTTCTTCTTCTTACAGTACTGTGTTTTGGAAGGATTAAACCATATAAAATTGTTGCCTCCCCAAGCAGTGATAACCTCTAGGTCTCTCGTCAGAGAGGAAGTCGTCGCTAGTATTCTTTTTTCCAGCTCAGTGGTGGAGATCGGCTTGTTAGTCTGAATTCCTGCATGTAGAGTTCTGTCATCAGCGAAGCTGTATATTGGGTTGATAGTGCAGGAAAGGAGGTCGCTCATATGTAAGAGGAACAGTGTCGAAGCCAAGACCGATCCCTGGGGAACACCCGCGTTGACGTTGTGGGATGAAGAGGAGAACCCGTCAATTACGACGGATATCTTGCGGCCAGAGATAAAGTCAGCCATCCATCTGCAAAGCTTTTCTGGGAGGCCATAGGATAGAAGTTTGCTTAAGAGGGCAGCGTGCCACAGCTCATCGAACGCTTTCGTGATGTCAAGTGCAACGACATAAGCCTCACCATAAGACTGGATGAGTTTACTCCACAATTGCGTGACGTAAGCTACGAGGTCCCCTGTGGATCGCTGGTGCCGGAAACGATACTGCCTGTCGCTAATCAAGCTGTGACGTTCGAGGTTGTCCAGAAGCTCGCGATTTATGCACCTCTCCATCACCTTACGTATAATAGAAAGCAGAGCTATAGGCCTGTCATTGTAAGGATCAGTCTTAGAACCTTTTTTTGGGGTAGGTTGGACATGAGTAAATTTCTTTTTTTTTTGGGAAGGTGCCAGATTCATAAAATATATGGAAGAGACGCGAAAGAACTGGAGCAAGCTCCGCTGCAAACATCTTCAGTACAAGGGTAGGAATCAAGTCCAGACCAGAAGCTTTGTTGAGCACTCATCTTACAGTGTCAAGCGCAAGAGGACTCGTTTTACGGTTTTATACCTGAATGTTACCTTCCGCATTGTGTAGGCAACCCTTTGAATCGATGGCACTTGGGCGTTGGGGGGACGTCCATGGTGGAGTTGGCAGCAAAGATCTTGGCAAGCACTTCTTGGCCTATGAGTCGGATACAATCATTCCATCCTAACACGTAAGTGGTGGAAGGCTACTGTGTGAGAAGTTTTTTCAATTTGCTTGGCGAGATTTAAAATATTAGATAAGAACAAATTTTATTATCGATGTTATTCCTTCGACTCCAGATATTAAATTGAGGTGAAGAATGAATCCCCCCCTATGAGGGTGCATATTTTTGTGATTTGAATATTTCTTTTTGGCTATTGGCTAATGTGTTTTTATTGCTGCGGGCCGTTGTCTGTTACATTTAGTGTGCCAACTTCACACCGGTCGTACATGTGCCCTTAAAACTTGATTTATACTGAAATGTATTCGACACGAGTCTCTCTCTGGGTTGACCGGCGTCACAGTCGCCTCCATGAGCCAAGCTGACGAGTGGGTTCACTGAACGGTGAGTTATTTGGGGCGGCGTTGCCAAATCGACGGTACTATCGGAAGGGCAGGAAAAAGATGTCTATGGACTAATTCAATTGACCTGTTTGACTGACTTTATCTCTGTCTTACAAGTTAGTAGCTAACTTTTTTTCTCAAACGGTCTAATATTTGTCACACTTTATGACCTGATGACAGCGTTGAGTGGAAAGCGATGCAGAATCCGCCTACTTGACGCCATTTTTCATTACAAATCATATAATTTTGAATTATTATTGAAGCTTGTATGCAGTTGTTTACGATCTAAGATGGAATTAATAGATTGTGTGTTCAAACCAATTACTCTATTTTCATTTTTGAAGATAGATTTTTTGTACTTTCTACAGAATGAGAAATCTACGCTGAAAATCTCAATTTCCAGGTATTCTCACTTATGTAGTACCAACCACAAACCCAAAGATTACTTCCTCCATCAACTTACAACCAATGTGCTTCACCATTTTATCAACTCGGAGCTATGGAACTCTTTACCATGCCAAATATTGGTGTCTATTTTAGCCAGGAAACTACTGGCTTACATCCTAAAAGTAACATCTAATCCGGATGTATTGAATTATGTAGTTTTGAGCTCTGTAGCATCTGGTGATGTTAAGAAAAAATATGAGTTGGACAAATATGCAAGGATCAAAATACTGACTCTTGAGGATAAAACAAAAAAGGTTGTAGAAGATACAAAAAAGGTTCTTGGGAGCAGTGAAAAAGTACATGATACTGTTGATGGAGCAGAAGCAGTTAGCACTGATCTTAACGAGAAAATTCTGGTGAAGAAGGTAGATAAGAGTAAAAGAGATATAAAGCAGTATAGAGGCGCAGTACCCAAAATACATTCAGATGTTAGGAAAAGGAAAAAGTTTGATATGAAAAAGGTATTATTAAATAATATTTGGATAATCCGCATTAATGGTTTTTATAATTTAATAATTAAGTAGGTAACATATTTCATTGACTTGTTAACTATGCGCAAATGATAAAAAACACGTAGTTCGCCTTTCAATAGTTGATGAATATAGATCAAAGAAGAAATGTCTTGGAGGTTCAACCCAATGATCTTTTACATTGCAGGATATTGATCTAGGTGTGGATCCCATTGAATGGTCAAAAGTAGTAAGTGACCCTGTTAAGATATATGAGCCTAAAAACCATAAAACTACAAAGACTTGGTGTGACTCGAAAGACTTAGCCTTGGGAGTTTCTTTGGGACAAGATCCATTGGATTTGATGTGTAGTGAAAGTGTTAGAACTGCAGCAAAACCTATCTTTATTTCAGGTACAAGAACCTAAAACATACATATTAATCTCAATGATTGTATACTCTTCGTCATTTTCTTCAGTAAACTAAACATGATGCTTTCGCCCATCCGACCAAAAAAGACATCCAACCATGGACATCTGTTTCATGCTTCTTGGCTACTCATCAGCATGGTGTAGTTTTGGTATCTTGTCTCCGGACAAACGAACGAAAACATCGCAATTATCCTCTTTACCGGAGGTACGGTCAATCGAAATAAGACAGCGCAAAGCACCAGCTATCATACCAGAATCGTCCACTCCGAAAAGCGCATAGCTGCTATTAGTGGGAACTGTTGGGAATCTCAGTTCACGTTTAATAGCCCAGTCATCACATGACCGCCAGATGCTGTCTACTTGACATTGAATAAACTAAACATGACGCTTTCGCCCGTCCCACCAAAAAAGACAGCCAACCATGGGCAGCTGCCTCGTGCTTCTTGGTTAGTCATCAGCATGGTCTAGGTTGGGTCTCTTGCCTCTGGACAAACGACGAAGACATCGCAACTGTCCTCTATATCGGAGGTACGGTCTATCGAACTTGACAGCAAGAATCGTCAGCCATCTAGCAGTCACGTGGTGACTGGGCTACTACGCGTGAAGTGAGATCCCTAACAGTTACAACTAATAGCAGCTATGCGCTTAACGCAGTGGTCGATTCGGCTGTGATAGATGGCGCTTTGCGCTGTCTTATTTCGATAGACCCTACACTGGTATACAGGATAGTTGCGATGGTTTCGTTCGTTTGTCCAAAGACAAGAGACGAAGCCTAGACCATGCTGATGAGTAGCTAAGAAGCATGAAATAGCTGTCCATGGTTGGCTGTCTTTTTGGTTAGACGGACGAAAGCATCATGTTTTAATTATTCAATGGCAGGTAGACCACATCTACTTGACAGCCAGAATCTTAAACCATCTAGCGGTCACGTGGACTATTAAACGTGAACTGAGATATCTAACTGTTCCAACTAATAGCAGTTATGTGCTTTCCGCAGTTGTGACAGATGGCGCTTTGCAATGTATTATATTCTTCAGTATTTATATGTTTATATGACCTTATACAGGGTTATCCAAATTAAGTGTCCACCATTAGTAACTTTGTTATTAGTGAAAATACAAAGTTGTTTGAATTAGCAAACTAGTAGTATTTTTAACGCTGGTAAAAATGAGAAATAAAAAAAAACAATTGAGAGTCGTTATTTTGATTTTTTTCAGTAAAATAACATTTTTTTAAATGGAAACCCCTGTATATTATATTTTTTTCTGTTAAAGCATCAAATTTTAAACAAAAAAGTTCATAATGACTTTTCCGCTAAAGTCTAAAATAAAGTCAAAATAACGATAAATATTTTTAATTATTTGCAGTATTATAATATTAAGACGGCTATGAAAACAACATGGCGTTCGCGATTTGACAGCATTTAAGATAAGCGACAAATTGTTAAACTGGACATACTCGCAACTAGAAGGCTTTGGAAAACAATGATAAAATCAAATAATGTCAAACATTAGTGTAAATACTTGTTTATAAGCTTTATTGTGTCATTAATTTAAAGAAAAATGTTCTCCCATGAAGAAAAGTGTGATATGTTAGAATGCTATTTAGTGTGCAGAAAATCCTCCTTGAGAGCAAGAGTGAATTATATCCCGCTCGCATTCAACCGTATGAACGATATTTTCTGAGACTTTATCGAAAATTTAGGGGCAACGAAAATGTTTTTGCTAAAACAAGGGCAAAAAAAGAATTCATAATAAGCGAGGCCACGGAAATTGCAGTTATTGGATATTTTGAAGCTTATCGTGAGAATTCAATAGCAGATATTCTCAAGGACTCTAATTTCAGTTATATTACTGTTCAAAGGATTTTAAAAAAATACAAATTTATTCCGTATAAGTACCGACCAGTTCAAACGCTTTTGGCAGGGGATCCAGAGAGAAGACTTGGTTTTTGCCATTGGTATCTTAGCTTCTGTCGCCAAAATGTAAATAACTTTCGTTACCTTTTATGGACAGATGAATCAAATTTTTCAAATTCTGGAATGTTTAATAGAAAAAACCACCATTATTGGTCAAGAGAAAATCTTTTGTTAGTACATCCAAGAGGCCCACAAGTCCGTTTCAGTTTCAACGTTTGGTGCGGTATAATTGGTTCAAAAATTGTTGGCCCGTTCTTTTATGAGGGAACCCTAACTGGTGAAAGATATGTGGAATTTATGTCAGAAATTCTGACTAATTTCTTAGACGAATTGGATCTTATAAGTAGACATCATCTGCATTTTCAGCAAGATGGCGCACCTGCCCACAACTTCAGAGGTACTTATCATTTTCTAAGTACTACTTTTAATGATCAGTGGATAGGAACAAATGGCCCAATACAGTGGCCTCCCAGATCACCAGATCTAAACCCACTTGATTACTTCTTGTGGGGTTACTTAAAGAACCAAATTTACAAGCGAAGGTACGATAACCTTGACGCGTTAAAGACTGCAGTTAGGGAAAAGATAACCCAGATAGATGGTAGGACCATACTTAAGACAGTTCGAGCAGTTGAAAAACGTGCCCAAAAATGTATTGAAGAACAAGGTGGTGTTTTCAAGCATCTTCTTTAAAAAAAATTGTTATTGTATTTTGTAAGATTATAAGTTGATGTTGAAAATAAAGTTTGTCGATACAATTTAATTGTTTCAGATTGGAGGCCATAACTTCAACAATTTGTACTTTAACAGAAAAAAATATAATATACAGGGGTTTCCATTTAAAAAAATGTTATTTTACTGAAAAAAATCAAAATAACGACTCTCAATTGTTTTTTTTTTATTTCTCATTTTTACCAGCGTTAAAAATGCTACTAGTTTGCTAATTCAAACAACTTTGTATTTTCACTAATAACAAAGTTACTAATGGTGGACACTTAATTTGGATAACCCTGTATATTAAGGCCTTAGCAATCAGATACATAGCCAAAAAATGTCTACCAACGAAATTTTAAATATTGGTGTGCTTTCAGCAAAAAATGAACAAGATTCAGCAGCACATGCAGCAAATCAGTTTTTGAATGAAGTCAAACATACCACTCAAACTACTGTGGAGGACTTTAAAAAATCCATCAAGCCAATAAGTGAGTTATAAAGTAGAAATTCAAAATATAATCTCATTAATAATTGGAATTCCTGAAACTGTATTTCATAGTAGTTCACTATCTGAGGTCGTGTCCACATCAGTCAAATAAACTGATTATGAATCTAGGATTCGGCGCAACTGTTTGCGACTCAAAATCTGCATCCTGACACCATAAATATTTGTCAGTCGGTTCGACTATTGGAATATATTCTTAGCTTTTGCTCACTGATTTAGTTGTTAGGTAATAACAAGCAACAACATTTATGTTATTAAAAAATGTAATTTTTGTTCTCTCAAAGAGTCTGATACTCAGTCACCTAATATTCCTAAGTATGAGATTTCAGACTATTTTCTGAAGCGCTCCTAGTGCTTTACACACAGTTAAAATTTCAGGTGATGCTACAGTAAACACTTTGCACAATATAAAGGACCTCCAAGAGTCAACAATGAATAAAATTGGGGATTTCCAGGTAAAACATATATATATATATATATATAGAAGTATTATTTACTAAATGTGTTACACTAAATCTTTTCCTTACACAAACTAACACTGAACATTCGAATCTCAGCAAGAGGTATGTGCATGCCTGTCTTGACTTGGCTTCATCTTCTTTTCTCCCTTTATAAACTTTACTTATATTACTATCATATAATTTACCTGTCACAGTTGCATTATATTTTCAACAAATGACTGGTGAAGTGATGGTTTTGTAACGTTTTCATCCAAGAGATCATATCTACTTTATGTTAGATCAAAATTTCTCTACTATGAGGCCCCTGAAATCGCGTTCTGTGGGTCACTCGGCTCACAGGTTCCAACGCACAGTGCGTCATTTTAGATTCGGGCTTGCCTCCCTGCATGTATGGTATTAACAGAATGCTAAAATATATTTTTTGCTTAACTCTATTTTTATTATTTAAAAAATATAGCGAATCTGGTACAGTTTAATACCTCCAAAACACAGTTACTGCACATTGACTCCACATCCGGTTTCGATGGGCGGCCGAGTTCTGCTAAAGAGACATTCGTTCCGGCTGGTCGGTGTCTAGATCACCAAGAACTTGATTTGGCACGAATACATCTCGCAACAGCTGCTAGGAAAAATTTATTTTATTTGTTTAGAGCTAAGAAATACTTTTATCCGCAAAACCTCCTCACTTTGTACAACGCTCAGATAAGACACATCATCGAATACTGCTCTCATGGTTTGGGTGCTGCTGCTTCGACAATACTGCCAAACTTTGTGCTGTTCAGAGGAGAGATGTCCTACTGAACGATGACAACAGTCTCGGACCCTTTCACATCGGCGGGCGATCAACTCTCTTCTGCCACTATATCAATGGACTGTGGGCCTCAGATCCTTCCCGTCCTAACTCTGTCGACCTTCATGCATCCAGAACTGGACAATACGACTGGTTCTTTGTTTCTAGGGTGTCGAGATTGTGAAAAATCTGGCTGACGAGGCTTTTCCTTCTGCAAAACCTTGGGCAGTTCAAAAATCGAATTAAAAGGGTGTGTTTACATCAGTCGCGGTGCGCCGGTATTCAGGCTTCTTTCTACGCGGCTCCATCAGTATAAGAGCAGTGTGTATTCCGTTACAAAGTTTTTGACTCTGAACCCAAAGGTGTTAGATCATTAGATCAACCACTACAGGGAGTAATGTTTTCTGTATCTGTATTGCTAAATAATAATCACGGTCCTTTGTTGGAGAACTGTTAAAATATTCATAATTGAGTTTTCTATCTTTCTAGTATCTTTTTTTGGCTCTCGGTTGTTTTTTATTACCTATATTATTAGTTTACAGTGCGTTTTTGTGCACCTCAAGAGAGTTTTACATGGACGCTAGTTATTGCGCCTTAAGAATACCTCGTTTTATAGGTTATCGGTGAGAATCGATCCATAAAACTTATTAGTATATTAGAATAGTACAGCGAATTTATAACTCAAGTCATGAGCGTTTAACGACCGTTCTCAGGCGTATTACATGGATTTCTAAAATACTTTTCTTTGCTGTATATGTATGCTACTTAAAAATATGGCGAATATCTTCAATAGAATTTTCTCTCGAGTAAAACGAAAACTAAATTTTCGGCATAATTACGAGGGTAATTTTTGCAATAATTATCGTCCATATAAAATAGCTCTTAGGCAGGACGATCACCAAAGTGACGTGCATTATGAGCTAGCATTTATCAAGGAATTGTTAACGTTAATTTAAGTGATGTGCAACGTGAAAGCTTAAAGAGTATCGCTTTCGACACGGCGAGCAGGTCGCATTTCTTGATTTTATATAGGGTGGGCCAATAGTGTATGAACGTAGGATTTTGGGTTTATTAAAACGTTTTTAAATGCCATCACTGGATTTAGCTGGGTGGCCATAAAGGCTACAAATTAAAAGTACGAGTATTTGCACTTGAATTACAACATTTACACATGGCGATTCATCTCAAAGTTGTCTCTTGTAAATCGAACGCCCTGGAATTAAAATAAAACTGACACAGACAGATACTAACAAGAAACATGCTTTAGAAAGGTTACCCTATGTGGCATTCGATGATATGAAAAAAGTAGGTAGTTTAATTTGAAAAAACCAAGTTACCTTGGATTGAAGTTTCGCAAATTTTTGGAACCAATTCTCAGGATTTAAAAAGAATTGGACTTTGGCCGTCAGGTCTTTCATGGTCTATGATGCCTCAAAGTCAGAGCCTCCTAAGTTTTATAACTACCATTATATGACAAACAACAAACGGACCTCTAAAATGACGCGGAAAAATAAATATTTTGGCATCGGCGCAATTCTATACACGCTGAAACTTGCATCAGCATCAGCGACTCGGCGTCGTGGCTCGCCGATCACTGCTACTTGTGTCATGAAACAAGAGTCGATGTCTGCATCGCAGCGTACATAAAGGTGTGTAGGCCGCTTTAAACGGACCAAGGAATCCAAATACTCGTATGCAATCATATACAGAGGGTTCGAGTTAAAAGATATAACTTTGATATGAGTCACCCTGTATAAATTTGGGTCCTTTACTCACCATAATTCAGTGATCGAATTCAAAAACGTGTTAATAAATCCACGCATCTTTGACTCACCCTGTATAGCTGCTGAATGGGCAGTGTGGGTAATACACTGTTGAAACGGTTGCTTGACATGATAGGATAAGCTTCATCTTCACAATGGACTCCAATTTGACACAACCTTTGTCAAAAAATATTCCTCAACGCATAGACCTGAATCGTTCAATATAGAATATCTGACGAAATATTTAATCAGTTGAGAAGCATTGGCGCGATTGCCGTCAGACACCGTCCCACTTTGGTGAGCTCCATGTCCGAAAGTTATTCCACCACCTTTTTATCATAGAAAGCCTTATAATAGTTCGCTGTCAATTCAATACACTTAGTATAGCTTATTGTTAGATTAAAACTGGAACAGTTTTCAAAAATTACAAAGTTTTTTGTCCCTGGCATAGCCCTAATCTTGTGTGAAAGTTTAATGAAGTCCGAGCGGTACTTTTCAAGCTGACAAGTTTTCGTGATTTTAATACCTCGCCAGTGGTGTAGCAAGTAAAAAAAATACATTTCCCATTTACATGAAGTTCAAATTATTCAAGTTTCAAAAATAAGTGAAACCGCGTTATAAGTGGTAAATCCAAATCTCAAAGCAGTTGGTAATTAATATAAAGGGCTTTATCTTGTTAATCGATGTCTATTTGTGTCTATTTTTTATATCCAGCTCTCCTCAGCCTATAAGGTATTCTTTTATATCATCACAGATACTCAGCGGGGTAATTTGACTTCTGGAAAAACATTTAAATTATCATATGGCAAATAACGTGTCATTACCAGGTGAACAACGTAGTTCGAAAGGGCCACATCCCGTTTTGGGCCATATGGCGAACAGTGAAAAAATATATATTAAAACATGTCCGTTCGCTGTTTGCGTTATAATATAATGTTGAAATGTCCCATTCATTTGTCGATTGAATCATCAGAGCTGTCAAATCTCATAAATATGCTGTATATTGAGTTGGGGGTCTAATTTCCTTATCTAGATGTCTAGCATCCTTATCTAGATGTCTAGCATATCCAAGACACCATATATGATAGTCATTAAATGGGTGCAGCACACATCAGTAACGACGTCAACAAGGGATGCCCTCGTTGCAAGAAGATTTAAGAGTCTCGAACACAATCTCTCTTATATATCTATACATATTTTCTGAGATTTAAGCAAATAAATATATATTTACTTCAAGCAAAGGCAGGCCAAATGGTACTGTTTTGGCACATAGTCCACGCATTCAAAATTAGCAAATGAAACCTGTAAATTGTTGATTATATGTATATATATATATATATATATATAACAAAAAATAGGAAAATAATGGGCAAAATCCGCAAAAACGGATATATATATATATATATATATATATATATATATATATATATAGTATATATATATTATACATATACATGTATATATATATAATTCCATTATGTATTAGGGATGTAACGAATGTCAATTTTTAGTCATTCGCGAATACGAATATCCAGTTTTTCTTCTCTATACACCTCACACAAAATATATCTGAAGAGAAGACTGTCAAGCTTTGATTTTTGAAGTTTGATATTTCTCTAGTTCCACTTGACCATTGAATTGATGTTTAAACAAAAAATAAACAAACCAATAAGTATCTAGTTTTACATCGAATGATCTCTCAAAGTATATACAGTGTATCCTGTTGAATTGACCCCAACCACCACGTTGCATGGTAGTAATGCTTATTAGATGCACTTCATCACTAAGCACATCCACTGGCTTGCTTGTTTGGTTATGTTGACAAGAATGTTTGTGAAGGACGAGGCCGCGGGCATGGTGGAGGGTATTCTGGACTTCGGTCGCGCCGGCCTTCGCAAAGGACTTCGGCTCACGGGCTTGCACGACAACATCGATCACGCGAAGTCCAGTTTGCAGCAAGCGTCCAGACCACCACCAACTGCTGGTCAACTGATACCTGGTCAGGGGAGGAAAAGGGCTGGAGCCGGTCGTATGAACAGGTCCGACTCCAGGGAAAGGACGGTATCGGAAGACAGTGTTGATAATATCTGGATCAATCCATTACAGATGGATTCGCCAAACTTTGATGGACATATCCTTTTGGTGAGTCACATTATCTTTTCGTATTCATTCAGTATCGCTTCTCAACATTTATTGGGAATATAATCTAATACGCATTGTAATGTGATGAGAGATAACCATTCACCTGCGATAGTATGGTTTCGGAGTTACCGGCAATTTTCGAAATTTTGTGCTAAAAATTATGCGACACCCTGCATACAGGCAGAACCAACACATTGTCCAATGTGTAAGATAGAGAAACGCGAGAAGTGTGTAAAAACACATATGTTAGAAAGAGATAGAAGCCGGTTGACCAGTAAAGCTCATCACTACGTTGCCTAGCAACGCTGACGCAGAAGGTCATCGCAATCTGCCGCGTTGCCAATATGTTACACCAGTTCCTTGAATTATGATGCATGTTGAAAATATGCGTTAAAACCAAATAATGGTTTTACTTTGAGGGCACACATTTTTGAATTGTAAATTGTGGCGAATTCGTTTAGGATCGATTCCGGATCGGTCTTAACGGCGCTCCATTTTAGGTCGAAATGGAAGGTCAGGATTGATTCAAATTGTGCAACATTGCATCATTGGTTTGCTTGACAACACCGCGTCTTGTACATTGCACATACAAACGCTGTATTTCATAATTTCGTTCATGGCTGCGTAGATAAAGGGTTTTCCAATAGTATGCGTTGATTTTGAAATGTAATAAAATACGTTCTGTATGATGTATTTAACAAGTCTTTTTTATTTTGAAATCCTATTGTATGGAAATTTATATGAAATATCACGTGAGTCATCTGCCCACTGTGGGTTCGGAGTGGCACGGATTCGAGTTCACATTCTAGCAACAAGTGCCAAAACCTGCGTTTTGCCTCGGTTTTCGGTCATAACTTTTTTACTATTAGTCGGATCTTTTTACGTATGGTTTCATTTTATAGGTCTCTTAGATACCTAAAAATCTTATTTGAAGGGTTTTTTGTTTCTGCCAACGCTTTCGACTGAATCCCAAAAAACGAGTTTTCCCATTCTTTGTTGTCAAATAAAAAGTTTTCCCACAAAAATGTGTGTACCCTTTTTATGTGTCCAGGTTTTAGATCCCCTCGAACAACATGCATCAATAAAACCAGACTTTACAATTATTTCGCAAACAGGGGTATTTTTGTCTAATATGATAAGACTATACGGATCTATCTGTACAGAATTCATGATATTTCTATGAATTAAGTTTAACTCATCGATATTTTAAATCCATATATTGTGTGTAGTCGTTTAAAAAATCATTAATAGCAGAACCATTAAACTTTGATGCAGTTATTCATGTTCTAAGCAACCAAAACGCAGCCGTTGGCGTTGATTCAAATAAAAAAAACGAACAAGTGACTTTTGTTTACTTTTTGGTAATGCGTTATTTTTATGGAAAAAATGTATATCATGTCCAACGAATAAATCATCTACTCAAGTATCTTATAAGGAAATTGTTACAAATCGTACGGCAAAGGAACAAATACAGGATAATTTTTGGCATTGCATTGAAACCGAGACAACTAAGGCCAAACTCAAAAAAATTGAGCGTTTGGCTTGTGACAGTATTACAAGCGCAGTGCGGACAACGCCGTTGAGTACAATGGAAGCTCTGCTGGATCTCCCACCGTTGGATCTAGTGATCTGCGGTGAAGCGAGAGTAGTCGCACATCGACTGTGTAGTCAGGGCAGCTGTGCCTTTTTGAATCCTATAACGGGTCATACTGCCATCACTGCAAAGGGACGAGATCCTGTCCTTCTGAGCATGGGTGATCACCCCTAAATATCGCTTTAACCGGAATCCGGAAGGTCTCCAAAGGGAGTGGGTAGGTCTGGCACACGGACTGCTCGGTTACTGAAGAGGGCTATGACGCTGGAGTCTTTGGGCCTAGAAGTAAGCTATCTCTGCCTCTAGGCGGAGACACTACTATTTTCCAGGCGGAAATCTATGCGATTCTGGCTTGCGTATCCCGCATTTTGGAGGGGGAATGGCCTAGGAGAAGAATAACAATCTTGTCCAACAGTCAGGCTGGGATGAAGGTACTGAGTGCTTGCAGGATTGCCTCGAGCCTTGTATTGCAATGCAGAGATGCTCTGGATAGTCTAGCAACGAGGCATCCGGTTTCGTTAGTGTGGGTATTACGGCACGCTGGGATAAGGGGCAATGACATGGTGGACGCTCTTGCGAAAGCAGGATTAGCGAGCAAGCTTGTTGGTCCTGAGCCAGCTCTAGGGGTGCCTGCGCAAAGAGTCAGGAGGAAAATGGAAAAGCGGATTGCTAGACAGCGCTCTCAGAAATGGGAAATCGTCTCTAGACATCTCCGTCAGGCACAGCAGCTCATCGTAAGGTCCATTATTAAGGATGGGCGTTTTTGCTTATCTTCGGATAGAGTCAACCTCAGGTTATTGGTGGGATTATAACACGTTGAGGCGCCACCTGCTTGTAATGGAAGTGGCTGGCTGAGCATCTCATGTGTGGGCGCTGCAAGGTAGAGGAAGAGTCCTCGGCGCATGTTTTGTGTCGGTGTGACGCTCTGAGCTACTGAGCAGACGATACTGGGGTCCAACACTTAGGATACCCAGAATATTAAGGACCTGGTACTCCTATAGTCAACTTTGGTAGAAGGGCGGAGCTTGAGGCTGAAATTAAAGGACCATATATTTAAAAGATCAGTTTATAGACATATCCAACCAAGTAAAATTGCAGATAGTGTGCCTACACTAGGAATTAAGAACACTTAGATTACGCATAGCGCTTAAATTTAAGAAAAAATGTACAAATATAATACAAAACTAGGAGCAGATTCGAAGAGATGATAATTTTGTGTAGCCCAAAACTAGCTTTGAATGAATTTTATATAAACAGTAAAATAGTATGAGCTATTTATGCAATAATAATAAATAATATTAATGCCCAAACACATACAAAAGTAAGATATAAAATTGACAGAGAAAACATCCAGAATGAATGCACCATAATCAGACACAAGTGAATTTGCGAGAAAAAAAAAATAACAATATTTTTTCAAACCTCTTATTAACTTGTACTTTTATTGCGAGCAGATTGTCTCTCATTTTCATCCGTTAGCTCTTGCTTCCTCTTGATATAGCTCCTCAAGTTTCTGACGCACCTACCCGATGTGAATTGGTCAGTTTTTGATCATAGCTTGGTAGTTATCTCCATCTGACAACTGAACCATAAATGATTCTTGACAGATGCAAAGGCTGTTGCACTAGGCTTTATTTTCAAGCCAAAGTTTCTAGCAAGTTTTGGGTTCTGGCATAATATCTTTCTGCTTTTATAATTGCAGGAAGTGTAATCGTGGCTGTTGGCTATTCCAGTGCTTTTAAGGTTCTTTTTGTTATTTGGGAAAGCTAATTTTAATTTTATTGAGATTACCTTTATGACGACAGGCCTGATTTTCCCATCTTGTGGTTTGCCGATTCTATACACGTCTCATATTTTTTTTATACTCCAACTACCACGAAGGCCTAAACACCCATTGGGTACCGTGGGGCTATAGGGGGATACAGGGGAAAGGGGGATACTGGGGAAAGGGGGAACGCCACACGGACTCTGACGAGGGAACACGTGTGCATGCAACATGCACACATTCTGGCTCCGCCTACGAGATCCGCCGGGTGGTACCTCCACGTTCGACAGTCAGAGACCGTCTACCACCTACGGACAATCACAACATCCATAGCCAAGACAAAACTTTCTCCTGGGAAGGGACTCGAACCCGCACAGCGCACGGGACTGATCAGGAGACCGAAGAGTCTACTACTGCGGCCACCGCTGCTGCCTATAAGCTCAGCTCAGAAATAGTACATTCAACCATAAGTTGGTTGTTAATCAGCTCGATCGCCCTTTCACTATAATTCATTTTGTTTTCTGAATTTTCCAATCTGTAGATGGCAACAGAGTATTTATTTGATTTTCGCTCTATAGTCGTTTTTTATTTAAATTGCCAATTTCTTCTTTTCAGTCTTCATTTTGTTGCAGACGTAAATCGCTGAGATCTTTAAAATATTCGTGACGTAATTTTTGTATCTCTAGCTTATTTCGTCTTTAGTGTTCTGTATTTCACGTTCGATTTCTAGAAGGTTCTTATCCATAATACTTTTTAGCAGATCATATGTGCGTCTTTAATAGATATTTGACTTCCAACTTCAGTCATTACGTTATGTGTTACTTGACGACCTGGAATATAGGAATATTTCACACTTTTTTGTACCTAGCTACCTGGAGTAGAAAATAGTGCTGTTGTTGATCGCCTATTAATAAATGTTAACAAAAAAAAAACCCGGAGGTGATCGATGAAATATAACCACTGTTACACAGATTTTTTTAGGTGACACAAATACGCATGTGAGTTGTACGAATAGCAGGACCAAAATGTGTAGATTGCCCCATACAATCCAAAAATTGAGTAATACATTGTTCTATTTAAAAACAAAGTTCCTAACTACTTCCTGTACAGTCGAGGGCGGTACCATTTTGAGAATATTTTCATTAATTCGTTATCAATTTTATCCGCAATGCCAAATATCTGTTATTTCTGAGTAATCGATATCCACAATTCTTCATGGGTGACCCAGTGTATCACTGTTTTCTCTCGGTGCTGCAGGTTCATTCTTCATCTATCTGTATTTCTAGTAAAATATCTCAAATGTTCTCCCGTATGCAAAACACTTATTTCTTAAACATATATATTAAACAGTGTTTGGTTGTAAGTGAAGATTGGGATATACTGTTGGCGGCTGAAACATGGTTGGAAGAAAGTGAAACATTCTTGTTTGAGTTGGATGGCTATAATGCTGTTCATTCCTGCAGGGCTGGTAGAGGAGGTGGTGTGTCTATCTATGTGAGGAAATCTATTAAATTTCGTGAAATTGAGAAGTCAAACAGATGTGAGTTAATAAACTGGATATGTATTAGCTTAGGGGAACAAAACTTAAAAATTAGTGTTATATATAAACCACCATCTGTAAATAGTAAACATTTTTTTCATTGTTTGGAATCTATTATGCGTACTCATCCTAAAAATCATTTAATTGTTGGGGATATGAACATTAATTTGCTAGAAGTCTCACAAGTAGCCAAGGAGTACAAAGATTTAATAGCATTAAACAGTTTTAAAATTAATAATACGATAAATGAGGAGTGTGCTACTAGAGTTAGCAGTTCGTCAAAATCTGTTATAGACCATGTTCTTAGCGATTATGGTAGTAATGTAAGTTGTAGAGTCAGTGTTAAAGAAAATGCAATTTCGGATCATAAACTTATATTACTTGATATTAAAACATCTGTGCAGTTCCATAAACCAAAAGTTGATTATGAGGTAAAATCTGTAGATTATAAAAAATGTGTAAACTTATTTAGACAAAAAATTTTAAGCAAAAATGTAACAACTTTTCAAGAATTAATTAATTTAATTCAAGACTGCAAAAGTAAATCGGTATATATATAAAAATTAAGAATACGTACAAATAACACCTGGATAAATAATGAAGTCCTTGAGCTTATCAAAAAAAAGAGATAAATTATATAAAAGAAAGATTAACCAACCAGAAGACTTAACTATCATCTCTGAATTTAAAAACATCAAAAATAAAATAAACAATAAAATACGTGCTTTGAAGAACCGTTATTTCCAAACTAAATGGAGCTTAGCTGGAAACAATGTAAAGAAACAATGGGCTTTTATAAACAGCCTAATAAAAAATAAGGAGTATAAAGTAAGAATTGATCAACTAGTAACTGAAAATAACATTATTAACACTCAACTTGATATTGCAAACAATTTAAATAAATACTTTTCTCGGGTCGGTGGATCAATTGTTGAAAATTTGGAAGCAGAGATTCAGCAGTTGAATGAGTTTATTTCTGTTGGTGAGGTTCACAACGAAGATTCTATTTCGATAACATTGACTAATAAAGAAGAGTTGTTGGAAGTTGTGAAAGAACTAAAAATAAACTCAGCACCTGGATATGACGGTATCACGGTTAAGGATGTAAATAATCTTGGAGAATACTTAATACCTGTTTTAGTACGATTAATCAATGAAACTATACAAAAAGGAATATTTCCATCAGAATTGAAAATAACTAAAATAACCCCACTTTTTCGGGAGATATTAAATGTATGAACAATTACAGGCCTATTTCAGTGGTGTGTGTATTCTCTAAGATTATAGAAAAATTAATAAAAAAAAGAATGCTATCTTTCATTGTTACTCACAATATATTGATTGATGAATTTCAATATGGTTTTATAACGAACAGTAGCACACTTAGTGCGGTTGTTGATTTTGTGGACTACATTTCAATGGCTCTAGATAAACAACAAATAGTTGTAGCTGTTTTCATTGACCTAAAAAAAGCTTTTGACGTAGTAAGCTTAGACATTCTTTTAGATAAATTGTTTAAAATGGGATTTAGAGGTGTTTCGTACAGCTTGATTAAGTCTTATTTATATGACAGAAAACAGTACATAAAGCTTGGAGACATTGATAGTGAATGGTTATCTAGCACCTATGGAGTACCACAGGGGTCAGTTCTTGGACCTCTGTTATACAGTCTTTATGTACTGAATCTCAAGTTGGCCAATCTGAGGGGAAGATATTTTACCTTTGCAGATGACACTGTACTGGTATATACTGGAACAGACGAAATTGCTTTAACGAATCTTATTAATGATGACCTGAATAGTTATCTTAAATGGCTGTTTTCGAATAGATTAAAAATTAACATTGAAAAAACAAAATACATTATATTTAAACACAAAAATAAGATAGTTAGCAATAATCTAAATATTAACATAAATAATATAGCGCTAAAAAAAGTGTCAAGTATTAAATATTTGGGATTACTGATAGATGAAAGTTTAAATTGGTCACTTCACGTAAATGGAATTTGTGATAAAATAGTTTCAATGCTATCTGCCTTATATAAGAGTCGAGATTATTTGTCCAACAAAAGCAAATTTCAAATTTATAATGCCTTCTTTCTTACACATTTTAGGTACCTCTTGCCAGTATGGGGTATGTGCGGTGAAGTTAATTTTAATAAAGCTCAGGTTTTACAAAATAAAGTTCTGAAAATATTGCTTAATTTTGATTGGCTTACAAGTTCTAATACACTTTATTCAAATTTAAATTTAAACAAATTAAGAGTGTTATTGGAGGTGGAACAATGTAAACTTGTTTATAAAATTATAAATAATCTACTAAAAAGTAACATAAATATTAGGTTCTACCATAACGTGCATGATCACCAAACAAGATCACTAAATAATGTTTATCAAATTTCCACAAGAACTAACATAGGTTTAAAAAATCCGATCACAGACGCAATTAAGAAATTTAATAATTTACCTCATTGTATAAAAGATTCAAATAACTATAGAAGTTTTGTTAGAGAATTGAAAGATTGTAAAAATGTTAATGAATTTATTTGTTGAAATTATGAGCAACATTGCAGTGTACCTGTAGTTCATAGATATTAATTATTGTCTTGTTATTCTCGGGGCCAGTGTTTGCAAACACTGATTAGGGAATTATTGTTAAAACTTGTTATACTTTTTGTATTATTGTGTTTAAATAAATTATTTCAAAAAAAAAAAACATGTATAAGGTAGATTTTGAAAATCATAATTATTGTATAAAAAGCATAAAAGTTAGAATATAATCATTTATATAGAAAAGAATTACACCTCAACTCAATATCTGTTCTATTAATATTATTCAAATATTCTTCTAAAAATTTTCTTCTCCCTTCCTCTCCACTATAAACTAATAAATTAACTTCCTCACAGATAGTATCACACACATATCCATTATAAAATCTGAATTCTATCTCGTCTATCAACGAATCGTATATAAGCTTAGAATTTTTATCGTTCGGTATCTCATATTTATCAAAATATGCATTATAATCAATGCAATTAAGTGATCCAGTGTATCGTATTGTGTCGTTTACATTGCAAAAATCTCCCATGTGTTCAATTATTTCGAAGGTTCGTTTCAATCCTTCCACAGTTGTCCCTTCAGTGTAACTGTCTCCGTACATGTCCAGGCCATCAGCTAAGATATTCTTATAATTCGGAGCAATGTAGTACACTTCACCTTGTCGGTATGGCACGAGATCACCATGTTCTAGAACCCTTTGTAACCACTTCAAGTCTACGATATCATAATTTGCACGTCTCGCTATTATTTTGCCAACTTTTTCCGTTTTTATACCCACGAGAACAATGTCCACAGTATCGACAAGCCTAAAAAAATATAAATACATACATATATGCTGCTGCATTTTTGGCGGTCCAAAGTAACAAACATTATGAATTATATTTTGAGTTGTTCAACATGATATAATGTGACAACAAATTCTATAATGATTCAGTGATTAGTAAAATACCCCAGATCTTCCACTGACGGACATTTAACAGAAAGTTTACAACTTACTAATAAATAATTTTTCTGATACTGAAAAACCTACCTAAAGCTTGTATTCCCACCAACTTTTTGTACGAAGCTCTCCGCTTGCTCCTTACTCATTTCTTCTGTGCCATTTAACAAATAGACGGTAAAACCCTCCAAAATATCGCACACTTGTCTAACATCAAAGATCGTTGGCATTACCAATTTTGGTTTCGCTACTTTCCTACTGCTCGTTTTAAGGATTTCTTCCAGTTCTATCCTACCTTTAGCCAACTTAATGACGGCCTGGAAGTAAATAAAAGATATTCACTGGACTCTATGCACAAGACACCAGAGATTCAGATCCAAAGCCCAAACATGAATTTTGACGCTATAATAGTGATGATTTTAAAATTGACTGTTTTTTTCAACTACAACTGCAACCAATGGGTTGTTTTTAAGGTTCTTTGTACTAAGTATACTTAGGTTTACTTTATTCATGATATTTACACTGAAATGAAAATAGGTATTAGGTATTTCTGTATAAAAATCTAGTAGTTCAAATGGTTTAGGTTCAAGTTACCTTGTTACTTTTTGTGAGATTCAAAAGTTCATCAACAGTCAGGCACTCGTCGACAGGCTTATCCCGTCGGACATTCAGAATTCTTGGGAAACGCAACGTGTAAGAAGTAGCAAACGAACTATCATTGTTCCTTATCAGCTCGCTAGCTCTGATTTGAAATACCAAAGTGTGCTGGGGCTCAATGTAATAGTCAGGTTTCTCATTTCCAAAAATCAAAACATCCGCTGTGGTGTCAGCAAATGTTACCGGATCGAACTTTTTCCCTGCTGTTTTTAGCAGCCGATCTATATCTTCCAGTTGTTCGTTGTTCAAACCGGCTGTCACTTTGCCGAGAGATCGGTAGGTGGCGCGACCGTCTGCAGTGTTGCCGCTTTTCACTCCCACTATGAATGAGTTGAGCGTATTTCTGGTGGACGTAGCGAATTTTGCACCCATCACGATCAGGTCCAGATCGTTCATTGAATCCTAAACATAGGGAACCGTAAAATAAGTACGAAAAAGATCTATTTTTCATCTAAGCCTTCGAGACAGTTTTGAAGTAATCAACATCGTAAGTTGTGCTCGTTTTAAACACAATCCCAGATAACATCACCGCTCTTCAGTTTGCTCAATTCATTCCACATTCTATTTACCAAAACTAGGTTAAAATGAGGTGAGATTTTTTTTCCAAATTTCTTGTACTGTTCGACTATTCTATATTTAGCAAATAATTCCATTTTTGAAAGACTGCAAATTTTACAAAATAAGTGCATATATATAAAGATAAATATACTCCAATTAGGCAAATGCTTAGCAAATTAAAATGGCTCAATGTAAAATTTTTTATCAAATATCTTGTAATGATATTCATTTATAAAGTAAAAAATAATATATTTCCATCAAGTCTAACTAATTTAACATCATCAAATGTCGACCATCATTTACATAATACCAGAAATAAAGATGACTTCCATTTAATGACCAAAAAGTATAACATATGCTACAAATCTGTATTCCATCAAGGGTTGATTGAATATAATAAATTATACTCGGAGATAAAAGACCAGAAAACTTTGACAAAATTTAAAGTAAAATTGAGAAATCACTTGTTAAATCTACAATTATAGGTTGCCCAGCATTTACATCATACACCATATGGCTTGAATTTACTAGTTCTAAGTTGTTTACAATTGTTCTGTTTATGTAGCCAAATGTGCTAAATAAATCTTTCTACTACTACTACTACCAACAAACCAACTTCAGCTGAGTGAGATTTGGACTCTCTTGCAGTATTTGGGTTAAATTTATTTTGTTTATGTGCAAAATTCAGATTGTGATCACAAACATTAGCAGTGGATATAAAACATTCAATCACAATATAGTTAAAAATAATCAGGGATGGGTTATGTTTAGGTTATGTTCTGAACAAGGTTAGGTCAGCTTTTTTAACTGTGAAGTGAGCCAGATATTTACAAAACGCACGAAAGTATAATATTTCATCAGTTATGTCACTATATTGAACAGTTAGAAATTCCGCAAAAATCTATTATAGTTGGTAATATTCTGTTTGGTAATACAATTAAAGTCCAAATAGTTTATCTTATACTTGCACCGTAGCAAACTTTTGAATCTAAACAATGTGCCATTTGAAAGATAGATGACAGTTACTTCATAAAATAGTATTCCTATGCATCAGTGCCTACATCAGTAATTCAACATAGGATGCTAGCTCTATTCTATAAAAATAAAATCTCATAATTTTAGAAATATTTATATGCAGTCACAATACTGCAATATAAAAGTACGACTGAAGAACTTTGTTGTCTGTAAGATGCTTTTAGTTGGTAGGCAAAACATGGATGACTATAACAATATAATGTAGATTTGATATGTAGTTTATTCCATATGTTTTACCTGAAAATATTCCAGTTTCATTTTATACCATCCACTATTTCTGTCACTGTATTTATAGATTGAATCTGGATCTTTAACAACTATACCCTCATCTTCCCTTTTCCCAATTGCATTCAACTCGTCCAGTATCTCTTGTCTTGATGAAACTGCCTTAACCTTGCTTCTCAAAATTACTCCATCTTTGACATCTGAATAATAAGAAATATTCCTTGACAATTACTTTTGCATACCATATCAAGTCGGGGCACTGCGTGGAGGTCTTTGAAGTCGCCAGTCGTATTCATTTTACATCAAAAACAGACAACAGAGCAGAAGGGCGAAAGTCGTGGAAGTGTTCATGCACTGTTGCCAAATTGCCAAATAATATACAGAAACCTGCTAAATTTATCAGCTGAATGAAGTATGTACAATGTTGTTTTATTCTGGCGTTTCCTACATTCATTGTTCGAAAATATGTTGCACACTATCAGAAAAGATTTTTCTCAACACCTTTCTTAACGATCTCATTTTGCTAGAACATAGTGTCAGATCGATAATCTAATGAAGCTTTCAAGAATAGTATTTACTATGGTTTCCTATGGTAAACGTAAATAATCATTAGAATATCACACTAGTTGCAGCTGCTCTGAATCGATGCAGTTTAATATTTTCCAACGAGCAATCTACAGATAAAAAATATATTCGGTAGACTGCAAATTGATGATCAGCATCCTCACCATGAATAAATGTATCTCTAAACAGAACTTTCAACAAAAAATGCTTAACCCTCGCTATAAGTGACGGACAATAAATTCCTTCAAAAAGAATTATCTATTTGGAAACACTGCATTTATCTCTCCACAAAGAACTACGTGGTTGAACCTCCCTTTGTCCCTTTTAATTAGAGTGGTCAGTCTATTTTCATTCAATTTTAGTGTCCTGCCTGTATTCTCTTGGTATAGCTCCCACTTTGATACAAATATTACAAAAGCAAATGTTATGAAAATATTAGCCTTCACAGTTCAAGGATATGATGAGTCATTTTTTGATCTTTGCCAAATTATGGTCAGCTGCAGTCAATAATGAAACAATCGATAACAAATTAATAATAATTATCACATACCCTGAAATACAGTTTTCAATATCTGTTTTCTTTCTTTCAATGGCTGGTTAGTTAGAATTCTATCATTGAGCATGATGATGTCAAACACACAAAAACATGGTTGATAACGACCTGTCACATTGAGTTTCTTTACATCTAAAGCCATTCCTTTGCATCCAAAATTTTTATATTCTGAATCCCACAACATTAGCTCTCCATCCAGTATTAGTTTATTTACTGTTGGTTCTAGCAGACCTCTTAGTTTTGGTGTAAATGTACCTACAAGGGCCATAAGAAGTAATATACAGTGATGAACATAGCAAGTACAAATATATATTAGACTTCCAGGTCATGCTAGACAGTATGAGATTATCTCCAACTGTTGCACTAGTCTTAATTTGAGAGCATTATAGCTGTAGGTACTCAACCAATTACAGATTTTTTTTTAATGATAGAATTGAAGATGATAATAATTGAGGTAATATTACAACTGATTAAACTGATGTGAACAGGGTGTCCTAAAAGTTGTGAATTTCCTTGTTGTTGCTGACCAATTGAAAAACATGAGGTTGTTTACTTACTTACTACTAAATTTGGAACTTTTGGAGCTGTCTAGCCTAGATCTTCTACTGTGTTCACACAGACAGTTTCTGCATAATATAAACAAACTTACCCAGCTTTGATATAAATATTGAGAGTGATGGCAACATCATGAATACACTCGCAGAGTATCAATAGGATCCATTATTGCTGTAGACTGTGCTAATTTTGGTGTAGTTTGTTTATAAAGTAGGTGACACACTGCATGGTGCCTGATCTGGACATTGACTGACATAGTCAGAGTACATAAAATGTACCCTTGGATGTAGGATGGGAGGGAGGCAAGGTCATAATGGCTTATTTAGAGTTGCACCTTAATATCTGTATTATCTTAAGGCTTTCGTATATATGTTTTAGTAGAACTTGCTTATTATTGCCTGAATTATTCACTCTGTACAGACTCAACCTTGAGGACACCCTGTATAATACTGTTTACATTTACCTGTATTATAATTTTTCCCTAAATTATCAGTGTAGTTGAAGCCATTTCTGGAAAAGTACATAAAATTCCCATCTTTCAAATGCAGTTGAAACCTTTCACCATCAAATTTCTCCTCAACAAAAAACAGTTTATTTTCAACAAATTCTTTTTTAAAATTCGAACCATCTATTCTCTTAGACAACATTGGTCTAAATGGCTCAAAAATTTCAATCTCCAACTCGTGCAACTTGACATTCTCATCTGCTAATATGTCACACACCTTTTTCAAACTATTATTAGTAGCATAGTAAGCTGCACCATCTGTATGGTAGCAGTTCAAAATAGAGTTTGGTGAGATGCCTAATCTGAGGTCTTTCAGAATGATTCTGATGACCCATCGAATGTTTTCAGCTGGAATCTTTTGAAACATTTGCATCATTGCTTGTTCAGCTTCATGTTCGGTTTTTCTCTTTGTTATGTCATCTAAGAATTTATTAACATCATCTATGGTTACCTTTTCGTTGTAGCTTCGCAAATACTTCCTTATCACAGAATAAACTACATCACCGAAGTCTGAGGCTTGTCCTGCCATTAAATGTGATTTTGATAAAACATTTCGGTCGTGACCAGGTGATAGATCTAGCAACTTAGTTAGAATTCTTGACATTTTGGCTTCCTTCATGTTAAAAGAAGTTCTTTCTCGATCGAAACTTGGTAGAAAGAGCCGCAAAATTTGAAAGAAATCAAAACTTGAATTCGAGCCGTTTTCATTGCGTATCTGTTTAAAACGCTCTCGTATCAGCTTCTTTTTGTCATTAGCGGTTTTTGTTTCTTTAATTTGTTCGAAAAATTGACAAAGGTCTTTAAAATCCATTTACTTTTATCTCGGGTTGTTGGGAAATTTTTAAGGTTATGTTTACTAAATATATACACCACATACACTGAAGAAGGTAGGAAGGTACAGACCCATGCTATCCATAGGACCATAGGGCAACACGGTTGACTTATGTCAGTGTCAGGCGTGGTCAAGCCGCCATTTTTTCTGGATGCAACATGGTTGCCAGGTTGTGCACGAACGCAACACGCGCCGTTGCCAGCTCTTTGCCTAAATCTGAGACTCCACATGTTTTTGCTGTTTTGACAAACAAGTACTCACGTATCTGTTGAAACAGCAGCATCAATAACACAGACCATTATAAAATCATACATATATCCTACAGTTATTTGACATTTTGAGAACAGTAAAAAAATCTATACCTACTTCAGAATATATTTGTATCTAAGTTTTATATTGTATGAACATATCAATAATATTTATGGTCCATGTACAGGGTGTCCAAGTTAAGGATTCTAGGCATGGTCATCTCAATATCTGTGGGAGATAAAGCTCAGGTTAAATTAGGAAAAAGCTGCGTTATTTGGGCCGTATTTATATGCCGTTAAAAAACTTGTGAAATTTTCATGCATTACTGAGGTATTTGGGAAGAACTAAAATTTGGCCAAATCTTTTCTATTTTTTTCTGACTTTATTTTAAGATATACCAAAAAACTAATGAAACTTTTTATTTGCACTTTTTAGGCACTACATGATGGTGTTTGTAAATTTTGAGAAACCATCATCAACATTTTTCAACGATTATCACATGTTACATTCATTTGTATTTTTTTTTCATTTTATTTAAGTGGTTTTTGCAAACAGATGGTTGACGTAAGTGTATGTGATTACGAATGATGCTTAATCTAGTGATATTCACAATCACATTTACAAAAATATTTTTATTTTATCCACAATAGTTGTTCATATAGGGTGCCATTATTTTCTAAACATAAATATGATCTTCTAACACTAGAATCCAAAACATCACGTAACATACCTGATATAATCATACTAAATGTTTCCATTACACATTCTCGTAACTGCTACTCAATTTCAAAAGTATGCTGATAAACTTGGTTTTTAATAAAACCCAAATCAAAAAAAGTCCGGGGAACGCGCTGGCCAGGGCACTTCACGTGAGGTTCCAATCCACCTTCCAGGAAATCGCTGAGAAATTATCAAGACAGTCTTCTAGATCAACAGTTGAAGGTACTGTTCTGAAGTTGAGTTGTGGTAAATAAATAGACCTAATATTTAGGTCTCTAGAATTCCACATCACATATTGAAACCAAAATGTTCTTCATCTCGTCTTTTTCAGCCCGCGGATTTTCTTGAGCCCAGTAATGAGTGTTGCGGCGATTAAAGATACCATTATTAGTAATAGTCTAGTCATATTAGCAAATTTCCCGGAAAGAATTGTAAAGTTTGTTTTTTTTCGTGCAAGTTATTCAAGGGGGTATTTAAAACATAGACGCATAAAATGGGTACACCAGTTTTTGCGGAAAAACTTTCTACTTGACAACGAAGAATGAGAAAACGTGTTTTATGGTATTCAATCAAAAGTGTTGACAGGAACGGAAAAACTTTTCAAATAAGATTTTTAGGTATTTATGAGACCTACAAAATGAGACCACACGTAAAAAGATCTGACTGATAGCAAGGGGTATTTTCGTCTAATATGATTAGACTATAACCATACTCTCGTCGAACCATATTATTTTTGAAGGGAAATTAAAATCTTCACACGTTCGTGTGTACCACTCATAAAAATGCCGGCGCTGTTCGCTATCCCCTGGTCTAAGTCCTTGTCAAATTCTGAATTTATTATTATTATTAATACATTTATGTTTACTTTATATTGCCAACACCTTTATGGCCCATCATGTTGTGCCTAAAAAGTGTCAATGGAAAAGTTTCATTAGTTGATATTCCTTGAAATTTAGTCATAAAAGATAAAAATGATTTGGCCAAATTTTAGTTTTTCCCAGATGTTTCAGTAAGTCATGAAATTTTTACAAGTTTCTCAACGGTATGTAAATACGCCACCAAGAACGCAACTTTTTCCTTATTAAACCTATGCTGTATTTCCCACAGATATTGAGAACCCCTTGCCTAAGATCCATATCTTGGTTACCCGGTGTTCTCATTCCTGGTGATGGTCTTCTGAAGCACCTGCATGGAAAACTTGGTAAATGTAGTGAGGAAAACAAATTGTTTTTAAAAAGAAATAATAGTTACTAGAATTTTTCATAAAAATTATAATACAGAAATATTTTTTCAAATTTCCATAACATACATTACCAGAATATCTGACTTTCAATACATTCTTATCTTCTTTTCAAGCTCTAATATTTAAAAATGTGATAAAACTCTCTATGTTGAAGTACTTATTCAACCTTGAAACCCTCAGAAAGTGTAGTGAGTTTTTCATTTTAACTAAAGAATACCAATATTAGCAGAGAAGCTCTACAAATCATTCAATTTTACATAAACTTACATTAGTCGTGATCGCAAAATGTATTAGCCATAATCTTGAAGCACGCAATTTTCTAGGCTATATTTCCTGGAGGAGCAGGTAATCAGTATTCTATGTATCTCTGATTAGGGGTTGGCAGTGGAATAAAGTGCCTTTAACTCTGCTTCTTGAATGACTGAATATGTGTCTGTTGAGTGAAGTTGAAATCCTCAACAGTCGTAATGTTCTGTTGATTACAGTCACCTAGAAGAACATGAGCTGTTCTCTTATACAATTTCATCAATATGTTAGGTGTTATACTCCAGATTCCAACGTTCCTCAACTCAACTCAACAAAAAAAAGTAATTAAAGTAAGAACGATTTTAATATTATAATAAAAAGGCTAGATAACTTCGCATTTCGGTGGACATTTAAAAAACAGACAGCAATAAACCGTCATATTTGTCAAAATACGCCATTTTTTGTGGATACAACAGTGTTGTCAGGTTGTGGTCCGACAACGCCGCTTTGTTTCTCATTCTCTCATATGAGTTGACTCCCCATGCTGACAACTCTAATTTAAAGAGACAAACAAGCTCATGAAGATTAGAGATTGAAGGTTAAACTCATGGAATAGGGATGAAACAAAAAATGTCGAGGATTAATGCGCAGTAAATGATTTTCAGGTGCTGCGCATAGGTCATCCCTCTCGTGTGTGCACTGCGCAAAAAATGATTTTCAGGTTCTTCGCTTGTGACATTTCTCTCTCTGCTGTTGTCATTCATAACTCAATAGCCAATACAAAAATTAGTAGTACGTCATATTAATCTTCGTATCTTCAAATTATATACCAGTTTTCAATAAAATATGGAACATTCCATTCAAAAAAAATTGTCAACATCTGTCCATTTTTTAAACTGAATATTCAATGTTCTATCACACATTTAGGTATACCCTTCCAAAACAAGAATATTTATGACTAGTGGTTGAGTTATAAGATATTCGATATATAAAAATGCTCTTGGACATATCGCGACTTTAAAAGATAGGGACTTTATATTCGAAGGTTATAAAGTACTTGTGAGGAACTTCGAATTTTTACGTAATAACCCCGCCACACCCCTATTACGTAACTTAAGAAGAGTGACATTATATCGATTTTTACTGACATTATATAGGTTTTTCAGAAAAAATGTCATCTTGGAGAGAGCTGTCATTCACTTCATGTTTACTTGTAGTAGGTGTGCGTGTTGTCTAAATGTCATGACATTTGTGCTGTATTTCACTGTGATGTGATGTAACACCTGCTTCAAAGATGAGACTAGTGAGGGCTATTCATAACTTCTATAGCCTTCTATACTATTGCCTGAATAACGGTCGCTGTGCTATTCCTCCGTAGTTGGTACTCATAGCGAGTAGGTGCGGAATGGGCTAGTGAGTACTTCGTAGATAAGTTGGGATTATACCGATTTTTAATGAAATTATACCGATTTCTTGCGTAGTACCCGCGCCGTTAAAAAAATTAGTAGGGTGGACCATTATAAAAAGCAATGCGTCGTGTTATCAGTGTTAAACATTCTATGTGTACCGCGTTTGAGAATGTTACTAATGAATGAATGAATCGTGAAATTATAGGCATTCCGGCCACCTTAATGGCCAGTGCATAGGCCGCTTAAATGGGCCCTTATGCACCTCTACATTCCTTAGATCACAAGCCTCGCCCTTTTAGCGAAGTTGAGAATCGCCTTGAGTCCAAGCTCCTTGACGTCCTGAGGGTCCAAAGTAATGGACCCCAGTATAGTCTGCCTATAGTAGCTCAGAGCTTCACAGCGACACAAAACGTGCGCCGAGGTCTCTTCCTCTACCCCGCAGCGTTCACACAGGGATCCTCAGCCACCCCCATCACGTGCAGGTGGCGCCTTAATGTGTTATGGCCAGACAACAGTCCCACCAGCAACCTTAGGTTGGCTCTATCCAGAGATAGGCAGAAACGTCCATCCTTAACACTGGACCCTTCAAATAGTTCCCGTACCTGGCGGAGATGATTGGAGATACTTCTCCATTTCTGATAGTGTTGTCTTGCAATCCACGTTTCCATTTTCCTCCTAACTCTATGCGCGGGCACTCTTAAAGCTGGCTCAGGACCAAGGTCCAACGAGCTAGCTGGCTGATCCTGTCTTCGCCAGAGCGACCGCCGTCTCATTGCCCCTTATCCCAGCGTGCCCCGGTACCCACATTAACGATACCGGATGCCTCGCTGCGAGGCAATCCAGAGCCTCCCTCATGCATTGCAATACAAGACTCGAAGTAATCTTACAGGCACTTAGTGCCTTCATTGCAGCTTGGCTGTCGGATAAGATTGTTATTCTTCTCCTAGGCCCACCCTTCTTCAGAATGTGAGATTCACAAGCCAGAATCGCGAAGATTTCCGCCTGGAAAATAGTGGTGTATCTGTCGGCGTCAAATGCTGAAATCCGCCCTTCTCTGAAATGCCTAGTCAGTCTCCGTATTGCCGACAAACGCCGTAACACCGTAACAGTTTGATTATTACAACATTTGACTATGCATTTCAGTCATTCCATGTAATGACTGAACAAGTTCAGTCAAACACCGTAACAACCACATTAACTTCGGTACTGCATTCGTCAGTTTAGTCAAACGCTGTAATCAATACAGTGTTGCTCCAATGAAGAACATAATATAAAAAAGGTACTACTTCATCAATAATATCAAAACTAAAATAATCAAGCTTGAATTAATCTGAAAGGAAAGAAGAATATATTAAAACGTCTTTATTAATACATAATTGTGGACATTATTTCTTAATGTATTAAATCAATAAGAAATATCCTGGTACTATCGACAGAAATATAAAGCAATGAATACACATTTAAAAAAAAATTAGAACTGTGAGTAGTGATAAACGAATAAAAGTTACATAGAATTATGTTATATATTATATTCTTTCAAACATTATTTGTTAGCGCATGTAGAAGTTTTTTTTAAACAAACACATCTATTGGATAAACACTGCTTTTTGCTGGTTTACAGGAACACTTAAAATGTCCTTGGCCTCCCTCTAGCGAAAGTGACTGCACAGCTTCACGTATTGATAAAACTTTTTTAGGGATAGCTTTTATTTGTAACAAGTTTATAAGAATTGATATAATCTCCTGATGGCGAAACGTGTGTCGAGGACCTGTATTGTTGATATAAATAACTCTACTGTGGATGAATAATATATTTTTTTATAAAGTATTTATATACGAAATCCGGCAACAGTGGATGCTGCTGTTGAGCAAACCTATGCACGTTCTAATTTAGGATAGGTTCACAAAATTATAAAAATTAACTTAACTCCTTTAATTCAGTTTTATTCCATTGCTTTTTCTTGTTCATACTGTCATAGTATTCAGTAACGAAGTTAATGTGGTTGTTTCGGTGTTTGACTCAAGTTGTTCAGTCATTACAGGGAATGACATTATAATGAATTAGTCAAACGTTGTAATAATCAAACTGTTACGATGTTTGCCGGCAATACGGGGAGTGACTAGGCATTTCAGGGAATGACGGATTTCAGCGTTTGACGCCGACATATCCGCCGAGAGGCAGAGGTAGCCTAGTTCTAGGCTCAGAGACCCCAGCGCCTGAGCCCACTTCGGTGAACGAGCCGTCCGTGTACCAGACCTGCCCGCTCACTCGGGAGAGTCTCCGGCTACCGGCGTCCCACTCCTCCCTCATTGGATACTCCACATTAAACTTGCGGTTGAAGCGATATTTAGGGGTAATACGATCACCCCTGCTTAGAAGGACGGGATCCCCCCTTTGCAATTCGACTAAGATGGTAGTATGCCCCTTGACAGGATTCAAGAAGGCCCAGATGCCCTGACTCCACAGTCGATGAGCGACTACTCTCGCTTCACTACGGATCACTAGATCCAACGGTGAGAGGTCCAACAGAGCTTCGATTGTATTCAATGGCGTTGTTCGCACTGCGCTTGTAATGCTAATACAGGCCAAACGCTGAATCTTATTGAGTTTGGCCTTAGTTCTCTCAGTTGTAATGCAATGCCACCAGACCAAGGAGCCGTACAAGAGAGATGAACGTACTATCGTCGTGTAGAGCCAGTATACCACTTTGGATTTAAGCCCCCACCTTACACCGACAACACGTCTACAGGCCCACATTGAATTGTCAGCCTTGTTAGCCTTGTATTCAACATGCTCTCTCCAGTTCAGTTTGCAATATAGGATAATTCCCAGATATTTTACTGATTGGGTTTAGGACTAATCTAGTCCCAAAGAAGGTCGGCAAGACCAGCCCGTCAAGCGTTCTTCTCCTAGTGAATAGGATCAGCTCGATCTTTCCAGCATTAATAGAAAGATCCACTTCCCTGAACCACGATTACACAGAGCGCAGAGCGCCCTGCATAATTTCAGACACTGTTCTCCAAAAACGACCCCTAACTACTATGCTTAAGTCATCAGCATAGGCTTGCACGTAGACACCCACACTGCTGAGCCTAACGAGGAGTTCGTTCACCACGATGCACCGCAGTAGGAGTGACAGAACCCCGCTCTGAGGGCAGCCTCTAGCTACGCTGACGCTGCAGCTTACGTCATTCAGCATAGCTGTTGCTACCCGACCCTCCAGAGTAGATAGGACCCAATCTATTAGGATTGATCCAACCCCGTGTCTAATCAAGGCATGTCTGATAGAGTCGGTTGTAGTGCAATTAAAATCAACTTCAATGTCCAAAAAGGCCAGGATACCAATGATCTCGCTCGTTATATATTTCGGCGTTACTCTTCTGAGGTTATAAGGACGCTCGTCAAATAACGGCTCACTTGTCAATCTAGGTATATAATGTACTATTTTTACAGGAGAAACCAGTGGAAAAAGTGGAGGCGAAAGAAGCAACGGAACGCAAAGAAATGCAGATACCATCGATTTCAACTGAGGACGCTGACAGCATGGATATGCGAAGTGACAGTCCAGATCCGGAGTACGAGGATACTGCCGATCTGGCGTCGAGTATTGCCAAACTGAGATCGCTCCTACAACAGAGGTCATCCGAGTCTAGTATGTCCACGCCGGCGCTCAGTCCAATGTAAGAACGCATTTATAGTTTCTCATGGTTTTATGTTACAAATGCTAGTCTCTTTTTTATTTACCGGCTTTGGGACTGTGGTCCATGCAGCCAGTGACTAGGATTAAGATTTAACGGATTAAAACAGGTGTTAATAATAATATAAATTGATACTATTAATGTTAATGGTTGTATATGTTACCGAACAAACCGGATTTTAGGATAAACTAGTTTTTCATAGACCAAATCAGTTTATCCTAAGAGCGATAGTATGAAATAAATTAATTATGATTAGGAAAAACCAATTTGTCCTATAAACTGCTTGCGGTTCTTATTTTATTTGAATTAAATATTTTCATTTCTGAAATGAATTTGATATCTGCGTACAAAAGTTTTTTATTGGAAGAAGAAGTGAACAAAAACATTGAAACTTTGTTAAGAACCGCAGCGCTCAAACATTCAGTTGGAACAGGTCAAGGTTTCTTTAAGTGTAATTGCACCAAGACGTGTACGTCAAATCGATACCTTTGCAAGAAAAATAACGTTTTCTGCAACTCGAAATGCCACAATAGTTTGATATGTAATCACAAGTAAATAATAAAAGTTATTAAACATGTTTGCAATAATAGTATTTTCTTCAATTAGTAGTAATAACACTACTATTGTGAAGAGTCTGTATGTAGACTAGGACAAATCACTTTTGCCTAATCACACTAAATTGATTTAAGGACAAATCAGCTTAGACTGAGATAAACGAGTTCATCTTATTGCTCTTCGGATACACTGATTTGGCCTAGGAAAAACTAGTTTTGCCTAATATCGGGTTTGTCCGGTAACAAATGCATCTGTTTTAAAAATCCAACGACGGTGAAACAAATATAGAAGAAGAGTGAAGAGGATAGAACGAAGACAACAAATTTCGCCGACAGACAAATGCTAGTCCTCAACGAAGATTTGCGCAAGTATTTAATATCAGTCAGATCCATTGATATAGAAGCTCCATTGGATGTTGCGTAACCGTTTTGGTCACTGCGCCAGACCAAGATTTTCAGCGTACAAATCTGTCTCAGTGACATGCGTTTATGTTCTGTACAAGTTAGCTTGATTTTATGTATCAACTTTTCTGCGTTAGTATATCTATACGCTTCGAACCCCGGTAATTCTATGCATCTATTAGACATATTTCATACTTAATAGATTTCCCCGTACATTTGCCCTGTTTTGGTCTCTGGGTACACCTGAGTGGATTGATGAGGTTAGCAATAGCAACGTCGCAAGGAGGTCGTTGTGTTGGTAGGATAGGGATGAAATTCCTAAAGAAAAAATGTATTGGTCTGTTTGATTGATGTGGTCCATTTAATTTCCTTGTTATAGGTACATATTCGTAACTAATTTTTTTCTCAGAGGGTCTAACTAATGCCGAACATAACCCTTTATGAGCTGCGGACAGCGTTGCGTGGGAAGTATAGAATCAACCTACTTTTACTTTTCGTTCTCAAGAAATGTGTAAATTAGTATAGTGAACTTGCATGCGGCTTCTTCTCCTATTTGCATATGAATGGCGCTGTAGGTTAAGGCCGGCATTTAAAAGTACGATATTTTGTGTTTTCGCTTGTTTTACTTTTTGGTACGCGCTTTATTTACATTTTATTTATGCTATTATGTTTTGTTTGCTTTTGCTTTGCAGATTCTTGGAAGCCAAATATTATGGAACAAAAAGGGGTAAACTTGGCTGTAAACCTAAACTTCCTTGTTTGGGCTTTCACAGGTAATTTCTCTTAACATTATTGCAAATATTATTTAATCAGAACAGAATCTAACAATTATTTCTACAAGGTGTGTCTAAAAAGCCATATAATATATTTTTGCTGCACTCATATCGGAAGCAGCGAGCTAGGGCCTGAGTTAGGTGAGGAGAACCCTCAGTTTTCCAACGCACCAACTCTGAATCTTCTGCCAGCATCCGTAGTTTAAGCATCTGTGTTTAAGTTAACCTCTGTTTCATGCCCTCGTCACGGAGCCTCATGGCCGATCCAACCAAAGAATGTCCATTGAGCGACCAAGTTTTGCATAATGTTCAACAAACAGTCTCCCAAAACCTAAGAATCGCTGAAATGAACCTACTGGGAGTCAGCTATGAGTTTTGTGCGAGTTAAAACGGGTAAAACAATTTAAGAATGATCAGGTGTGGACGACAACCCTCGCTCTCGAAGGCCAATGAGCAGACAGAAAGAAAATGTGGTGGGGTATGTTGCGCAAAGAGGTCTTGCCCGAAGAGTTATCAGAGTGCGAAAAGACATTGCCAGCACCTAGCTGTTGTATCATGGCAACGCACCCAGCCACACATACCTGCGCTTCCGCGAGTTTCTAACCAAGCACAACGTGGCAAGGCTATCGCAGTCGCCCTACAGCCCCAACCTCACTCCGAGCTCAAAAGACACCATTTTGTCTTGGCACGCCTAGACACGGCTTTAAAAACTATAACGACTCGCGTACACATAATCCGTTACAGACCGACTATGCTCGGCCGTTATCCGCCGATAAAATCAAACTTATGTAAATAGACTAATCATATTAGCAAGTTTCCCCGAAATAATTGTAAAGTTTGGTTGTATTGATGCATCCATGTTTGTGATAAAACTTTTTATTCGGCAACAAAGAATGAGAAAACGTATTTTTATTCAATCAAGAATGTTGTCAAGAACCAAAAAACTCTTGTTAGGCTTGAACGAACCCTGCATATTATATTGGTCAACAAACTGGTAGTCTTGGCAGGTGTTCTGGGATAAACATTTAGAAATTCTCATAAATTATTTGATCAATCTACTCCAATTTTGTTGTGGTTATTTAGAAGTATGAAGCCTACGGATTTGATGAATTTCAAATAGCTGTGTGAAATTATCGTCTTATTACCAACAAGTGTCAAATACTGCATTTTGCCTAGATTTTCGGCCATAACTATTTTGCTATTAGTCGGAAATTTTTACGTGTGCCGAGAAATCCCAACAAGTTCGGACGTTGCTGTTCATCGGCCGTTGCCGACGGTCACCGGACCGATGACGGTTGTACAATAGTGTTTATTATTATATTAGATGAAAATACCCCTGTTTTGCGAAATGATGCTAGTTGATGCTAGTTGTTCAAGTGGGTATTTAAAACATGGACACAAAATGGGTACACCAATTTTTGTGAGAAAACTTTTTATCCGACAAAAAAAAAATGAGAACACGTGTTTTTGGTATTCAATCGAAAGTGTTGACAGGGACGAAAAAACTATTTGAATAAGATTTTTAGATATTTACGAGGCCTACAAAGTGAGACCACACGTAAAAATATCCGACTAGTAGCAAAAAAGTTATGACCGAAAATCTAGGCAAAATGCAGGTTTTGGCACTTGTTGGTAATGCGACGATAATTTCACAAAGCTGTTTGACATTATTCAAATCTGTAGGCTTCATACTTCTAAATAACCACAACAAAATTGGAGTAGATTGGTCAAGTCGTTTTTGAGAACTTCTAAATGTTTATACCAGAACACCTGCCATCACTACTAGTTTACTGATATACAGTTCAAACCTAACTATTTTGCTATTAGTCGGATCTTTTTACGTGTGTGGGTTTCGTAAATATCTTAAAATCCTATTTAAATATTTTTTTTTCGTTCCTGTCAACACTTTCGATTGAATCCCGTTTCAGAAAAGTTTTTGTATGGGCTAAAAGTTGGGGATAGGTTATTATAGATGTATTGTATATTTTAATTTGTTGGCGATAGTATATTTACATGCTTCTAACCTGGTAACTCTACACACCTATCAGACATATTTCACACATCACTCGCAACGAACGTAGGGGGAATAGCGCTGGCTGGCTGGGAAGAGGTTTCAGATCGCAACGTTGTCAAATGGCTGGGGAAGCCTGTTTGACTGGCTTGATCATTTAATTTTTTTTATACACCATGGTTCCGCATTAATATGTGGTGAACGTTTGCAGGCCACCGGAGATTGAGGAACAAACAGCAGTCGCAGCAGCCGGACCGTCAAGGCCTCCGTTTGCTGAATGCGTAGGAGGCGGTGACGTAGACGGACCGGAAACAACCGACGGCGTGATGCCAAGCTTTTACAAGTTCTGTGCTAAAACGGCCACAGGTGTGCTGGACAAAACGTTGCACACAATCAAGACAGCATTGCCCGGCAACGCGCCAGGCATCGAGCAAAATGATAATGCCTGGATATTCGTACAGGCTGAACTAGACGTAAGCTACTAATTGACATTTTTGTATATAATTACCGTTTGAGATGGACAAAGAAGTACCGGCAACTGATTTTCTTGTGTACCAAGGCCCGTTTTGTTGGTTAATTTGAGTTACATTTGAATTCCTTTAAATAAAAGTGTTGCCTTGGCAAAAAAAGTCCTTAAATTTTCACCTACTATTATTATGGCATAGATGGTCTACAACATTCTGTTGAGTGTTCCACAGGTGAACTTGCCTTATAACTAATCACATTGTAAACCATGAAGTCCATTTTCGGCGAAGACGTCTGATGTTATTACAACTTCTGATTTGGAAAATTCTTGCGAGGACAAGTTTTGCAAACAATTCCACAATTGAAGCATTTCAACTACGACGTTTAAGTTTTTTTTTTATTAGCGCGAAGTATGTATTGTATTCTACCTATCGTGCACTGAGTAAAAAACTCCAAGAGTAATATAGCTTTCGTTCATCAGACTTCAGACGACCAACCATGGAAGGCTGTTTAGTGCTATTTGGCAACTCATTAGCATGGTTTACGCTTGGTCTCGGGTAAGACAAGCTGTCTTTTAGAACTGTATCCCATTCCGCATTGAACAATCAGGTCACCACTGTGGCCCATAGATCATTGGTACACTACAGCTGAGGTCAACTGCTTTCTAGTACCACCTGTGGCAACGCCATCTAATGAAAGTAACGATAACTAAGCCACCATAAGCGATAACTTCTTTACAGAAAACCACACTATTCAATCACACTTGCGTCCTCGGTGCAATTTATTATACACCTTTTATACACTTATTGCTTCTGAATTTCGACAGTTTTTTGCTATTAGAAATCTCCTTAACAGGGGAAATGTATCAATAGCTCCTGATTTTGAAAATCTGAAAATCAAACAAATTCTGTCAAAATTCAAAAATATATTGTTACTGGGATAACACATAACTATAATATATATATCAACTATGCACATTTGCAGTCGATTTCATGTATTATCACTTGAACATTGCTATTTGAACTGTGGACATCTATCGCTCTCTTTCAGTGTCAGACGTTATCGCTCTCGCTTCCAGCCACATGCGTTCGTGACAGCAACATCGTTAGCCGCTTCTGCAGTTAAAATACTTAGCATAGTCTCACAGTGTTGCACAATAAAAAAAGTGTTGTGAAACTGGAATCCCTCCGCCGTACCACACAATTCTTCCATACACGGAATAACGCTATATTCAGTTATTTTCTTAAAGTATTACCTGATACTGGCATTTCTGCTTGTGAAAACAACAGTTTTCCTGGTAATTTTTACACTTCCGACTTTTTGCTATTAACAACAATTCTTGAAATTAATTCACAGTGATATCACTATGCATTTTTAGTAAAGTTAGTGGAAGTCACTTTCTTCAGATGGCGTTTAAAGCAGGGTGCACAGTCATGTATACTAGTAGTAGTAACTTACACCACTTGCAGGGGCCTTTAGATGCTACAGATTCTGATGCTAAAGTAGACACGTCTATTCGCCATCGAACAAACTAGTAATATAGTTTTCGTTCGTCCGACCACAGACGGCCAACCATGCACAGCTGTTTCGTGCTATTTGGCAATCAGCATTGTCTACAATTGTTGTCAGTATGACAACAAACGAAAGCTGATCAACTATCATCTAACCAGGATATAAGGTCTATCGAAATAAGACAGCACAACGTGCCATCTATTACCAGAATCGACCACTGTAAGAGTGAAAACAGCAAGCTGTCTGTTGGAACTGTATCCTAGTTTGCATTTGACAGCCGGGTCATTACCAGCACCTAACACTTCTAATATTTAAGAAAGAATAAAGGGGGACCTCGGTTGGCCGCGTGGGTCAGAGTGTCGTGCTACTGATCAGCCGGCCGGCCGGGTCGCGAGTTCGAATCTCGCCTTCGCCATGGATGTTGTGACGTCGTGTGTTTGTAAGTAATTAGATATATTCTATATACCAACCTAGTTTCTGGCTGCATGGCTTAGTCCTAAAGCCAAAAAAAAAAGAATTTTATTTGGAAACACGGATTTTGATTGCTTACAAAGGTATTTGCAAAACCTGCTTATCTCTCTATATCACACGAAGAACTTTTTTAAGCCAAGCAAAACCATATCCTTAACCTGAGTCAAGATTCTCTGGAATGCCGTGAATAGATTTATTTTTTGACTTGTAAACACTGTAACCGTTTTTATCATTGTATAAGCTCGGCAAATGATTGATAATCATTCTTTGATCAAAAATCGTAGATTTAGTTTTTGAAGGTCAAATTTGATAATCGTTTTACGTATATTTTTTGTTTCAGGAGGGTGATGTTTTTACCAGAATGAAGAAACTACTGACTGAACGTAAAGAATTCTGTACCTTAGATAATGAAATCGACACTGCCTATGAAGCTATTGATTCTTTAGACACATTCCAATTGCCCTATTCTCCTAGTGTAGCTTTTGAAGGTTAGTTGAATCTTCACTAAAAACTCGAATACAAAAACGCATATGCCTCGATTTTTTATAAGTCTGGATCCTGGAAAAAAGTGTCTAAATGGATGATAAAAATAGAATACAAATTCTTGGGTGAAAGACGGAAATATCACTGTTCATCGTGTATTGGAAATTAGTTATAGTTTTGGATTTTGAACATCATGTTGCTGCAGTATCGAAAAAATACTATGAGGTAGAAAGTAAAATAACAAATCCATTAAGCAGATTATAATATTAATCTAGCTTGACTTATGGCCAATGTTTCAACAGCACGACTTGCTGCGTCAGTCTTGTTTGAACCTAACCAGGGTTGATTGTGAGCATTGAAATCACTATGTTTGAAGCAGGGTGATTGATGTTCATAAGGTCGATCTTGATAGCGAGGAATTCAAGTATATCATCCCAGTCATGATCCGAGGGAGAGTGATAGAGGCAGCAAATGAATTTGGGGGATGGCATGGGGTTGATGAGCAGGAGCCACAGAATGTCCTTCCGACCTGATTCCAAAGACATGTCTTTGGAGCAGGAAATACTACTGCTGACGAAAGCCACAACTATCCCGTTCTTCCTCTGATTGGAGTGCACCCGTTAACACCGAGAGAACAAGGCCTGACAATAGACGCGTGACGGGTAGGCCGGCCGGGCCGGCAGCACGACGTGCCGTACATCAGCAATAAGGCATAATATATGGGTATTGCAGCATATTTATCATACTCTACCTGATTTAAATGACGGATAATTCAGAAATGTGTTTTTGAAATATGGAAGCAACTTGGTGGAAAATACAGGATGGCTCATAAGTCCTTTGAGCTGGAAAAAAGGGAATAAAACCAAACTAGTTACATTATGAAGAATTATTATATTTTGTTATCATCTTTATTGAATGGGAATTATGTTTTAAAAATCACATCGTCTAAATGCAATCCATTACGATCACGGCACTCATATAAACGACGTCTAAAATTGTCGATGACTGCGCGGCAAGTCAACACTGTAATGCTTGCCATTTCTCTTCGGATATTTTCTTTCAGGACATCAACTGATCGCGGAGTGGTGTCGTACACTTTACTCTTGAGGTAGCCCCATAAAAAGAAGTCCATTGGGGTCAAATCTGGACTACGTGGTGGCCAGGAAATGTCTTCTCTTCGGGAAATTACTTTGCTGGGAAAAAGTTGACAGACGACGGGCATAGAAGTGTTGGAGGTGTGGGCAGTTGCTCCGTCCTGTTGAAACCAGGTCTGCGTATTATAGCCTGGAAAATTCTGCAACGCTGGTGTCAAAAACTCTTCTATCATTGCTACATACCGCTCCGAAGTAACAGTTAATGTGCGACCTCTGTCGTCCTCAAAAAAATAAGGGCCTACGATGCCATGCGCTGACATAGCAGCCCAAACTGTAACTTTAGGGCTGTGTAAGAGCTTCTGATGCTTACGCCTTGGATTTTCGGGGCTCCAATAACGGCAATTTTGTTTATTTACATGCCCGTTTAAATGGAAGTGAGCCTCGTTCGAGAACAACACATTATTGAGCGAAGAAAATCGATTCAACATTTCATTCGCAAAGTTTAGTCTCTGAATAGCGTCATTATCTTTTAATTCCTGCACTAACTGAATTTTGTAAGCGTGCAGACGTAAATCTTTCCTTAAAATCCGCTGTAAAGATGTTCTGCGTACGTTTAATGCACTGGAACGCTTACGAGTAGACTGGGTAGGATTTTGACGAACAGACTGTCCAACAATGTTGATGTTTTCTTCAATACGAGTTGTCCTTGGTCGACCCCACCGCTGTTTATCTAACGTCGAACCAGTCTCTTCGAACTTAGCAACCCAGTTCTTAATCGTTTGAGCTGTTGGACACTTTGTAAAATTGTGTAAATTGTGGTATTCTCGATATTTACGCCGCGCAATGGTTGCCGAATCATTATTTTGATAAAACGCGCGCACACAAAAAGCACGATCCGCTCCAGTGAAACACTCCATGGCGACTGAATTCCCAGACACTGAAGATACTGCCCCCACCTCGCCCGCGCCGCTCACGCTCATCCGTTAAATTTTATTCAAATTTGAAATTTCGAAGGACTTATGGACCACCCTGTATTATAATAGTTATTAACCATTTTCACCCTGATTTTCACTGATATTTCATTCAACATTACGTGCACATTTGAATAATAAGTTGATGTTATAAAAGATTACAATATTTTGGTAAAAAAAATAAATTCTTCAATGGCATACATAACCCCATGTGAGCCACAACCGATCAACAAAATTTCACAGGAATGTGTAGACAATTTACTATGATGATAGGCATATATACTGGTACTTGAAAATTACATATTATCAACATTTAGACAAAAATGTAGTGCTTGTTGAACAGTTGTGTCCAGGCAGAACCAACGAGGAGGTAAGCTCTTGTCAGGAAAAGAATAAGGAAAGCAACAGAAAAAACATAACAAAGAATAACGAAAACTTGAAGCATTATTAATTGACGTTCCAACAATATTACCCACTTTGAAATCTAAATATGGCTGAATGTGCATTTCATCCATCAATAAAATCATGCTCTCAACTGGTTTTACATATCTGAAAAGGTTCTTTGCATAGCTTGAAAAGTTATGTCTCTCATCTGGAACTGGATCGACCATCAGTGAATTACAAATTGACTTCAGAGTATTTTGGTGTGGTAAAACAAGTCCTCCATGGCTCCTAATAAATCTATATGAATGTGGACTGATTGTATACAAGATAGAGCAAAACACTATTGTTTTTCTACGAGCAACTGTTTCTGTTGTTCTGACTAATAACAAGCCTTAGTAGTCACAGAGAAATTGAATAACAGTGTGAGTCTCTTCATTGGTGATTAGTTCTGTGCTATTTAAAATATTGTAAGCATGGTTGATAGTGGCTATGAATTGGTCTTTACCTGAATATTCCCTCGAAGCATCTACATTCTGAGCAAGAGCATTCATAACATCACCATCCAAATGGTGTATATTGTGTAATAAAAATGGAGCCTTAATATTACTCGAGTTGAGTGACAGTTCTTGGGAGTACATTATACATCGATCTTTATCAACAATTACAGAGTGCGTTATAATATGCTGGTTTATATTCTAACTTAAACAATGTAACTTTATCCTGAACAACTTTATGCCACCCATCTGGAGATTGCCATGGACTGAAAACTGCAAAAGTTTAAATAATTTTAAAAACTTGTTGATTTTTGATAGGAGGTATAATCATCAATGCTATTTTGCAGTGCTTTAAGTAGTTCTTGTTCCTTGTCCCTCAATTTTTCATCTCGGCTTCTTCTGCTTGATATGTCCTTTGAAAGGTGTTTTGAGCAATTGGTGGATTCCTAAATGATGCTGTCCTCTACAAAGTGCAAATTGTATACTCTGGTGTTTTTTGTAATCACTAAATCACTACGAGTGGTGGCATTGAGCCATCTTTTGCACCTGTTTTCATTCACCGGGAACGGAAATACGTGTACCTTCGGACCTTTCGGGTTGTTCCCGGCACAATTAGGAACACAGTACTTGTAAGGGATTTTGAAAACTCAGGGAAACAATTACGAGACATAAATATAAGTTTAAAACAACAATCCAAAGTTTACAAAGCAAAGAAACATATATTCATACATGATAACGGCTCAGAATTTGAGGTTAGCTGGCTGCTAGCCACCTGTTGCTTGTTTCACATATCCCATTTTGGCATGAGTATCGCTTCGCCAGTGCTAGGTTGCCCAGCCCAGTGGCTTTATCTTGCAGTGAGGTCTGAGGTATGGGGGAGGGACGACGCTGCCCTTTGGATGATCCTATTGGTAGGGCAGGGAAAAGACGTCTATGGACTAATTGTATGGACCTGTTTGACTGATCCGTCTGTTTTACGTGCTCGTAGCTAACATTTTTCTCGGAGGATCTAACTTGTGCCGACCATAATGCTTCATGAACTGAAGATACCGTGTCATGGGAAATCCATGGTCAATGGTATTGACGCCATTTTTTCCGTAATAACCCAGTCTATAAATGATCATTCAGTCTGGTCTATAAATGATAAAGGGTATTGATCTTGTTCCCAGACGAACTGGACCCCTTCGAAGTGAAGCTGCCCGTGACGCGAGCTTTGGTGGATATAATCTGCGAGCTGCTAGCTGACACCAGCTCTCCGTTTGTTCAAGAGCCAATTGTGAAGGGGTTCTTGCTCATGCTTGGACCAACGATGGAACATTTCCTGGTCAGGCAGGTGGACAAAATGGTGGAGAAGCTGTGCGTCGAGTTGATTCGCATTCCAGATAAGACCAATCAGACGACGCTTGATTTAGAGATGACAACGTATATGGACGCTCTTCTTGAGAGTCTTCCAGGTAACGAAAACAAGTTTGTGTCAGCTCATGAACAGAATGAAATTAATTTTTTTTTATTTTGAGATTCACGTATTGGCCTATCTCTTCACCAGGGGGATGTTTCTACTCAACTTTGTGCCCATGTCTAACTACTAACTGTTTTCAAAAATAAAAATTTCATGAATTTGTAACTGTTTAGTATGTGTAAAAGTGGTTAAACATTATCAAGCAAGGGTTGTATAAGAAACTGAGAGGATTGGAGTTATTTTGTACATGAAAGAACTGTGTGCTACTACGGAGAGATTATAGTATCTCAACAGTAAGGTATTTTTCGATTGTGCATTGCTGTTAATTTAGAATGATCCCTCATAAAATATCACAGGGTAAAATAATAATTAGACAACTGATTGGGTCTTACGGAGTTCCAGGATAACTAACGCAAAAAAGTGATACATGAAGCGATAGTGGAAATTATCTGTACTTACGGCTCAGAAATATGGGAGATGAAATAAAGATCTGATGCCCTTAGAAATGAATCACTGGAGAAGAAGTTGTCGTATTTCTAGGCTAGACCATTTCATCAATGAAAGGATAAAAGAAATTCAATTATGAATGTGGACTAGAACATCATAAATACAATTGAATCAAAGCGATTACTCTTGTCCACAGGCGGTGGAGCTAGGGGCAAAAAAACTGATAACAGCATTGAGTGGGAAGTGCGGAGTCAACTTACCTGACGCCATCTTTTTGTGATCTATATGCATCCAATAGATCTCATCTTTTTGTGTATTATTCTAGAACTTCTTGAATATTTTTACGTCGTACGTATGCAAAGCACAGTGTGTATATAGATACGCCACTCTTGTTTTGGGATCCTGTATATCAAATAATTAACTGCGCGCAATATCAAGGCCCGTATGCTTTGTTGCCACTTTAGTTCTAAGCGACATTCAAGTGGTGAGTGTCGTTTTCATGTTGAACGAACACAGAACACCTAAATGAGAGAGAGGGGTGTAAATGTCGCAGTGCTATTTGTCACTTAACAGTTAACGAAATTAAAGGAATGTTGTAATTTCTATGTTCAGTTACCATCTTTATAACTGTAAATTGAAAACATTTTTCTGTTTACAACATACTTGCTTCGTTTCAGAGTCTGTGAAAATGACGTTTGGTAGGCATCCTTTATCGCAAGCGGTTTCAGTGTTCGTGTCGTCGATGCAGAATGAATCCATCAACCGAGACGTTGCTCTGCAATTGCTGGAACTGCTGGCGCTCAAACTCATCGAAGAATGCAGTCAACTTTCACCGCCGGCCTTCGCCTGAATCGGTATTGGTGCTCACTACCGGACCCACGATGGTCGTGCTAAAGTTAGTAAAATATCTCTTTGATTGTGATTGCACACCATTCGTTTGTCGGGTTCAGGTAGAAAAGCAAACACGCTACTACACTATGGGTTCTTAAAAAAAGGAGTAGACCAACTGATAGAAAGTGGGCGTGGTTTTATTACCTTTCGGGGAACTGTATTATTTCACAGTGATATAAGACTCGGTTCACAGCTCATTGTCAGGAAAATAAGTGCAGAAGTCTCGTCTTCGTCTGTCAGTCTCATTTATGAACACCAAATTAATATTTTCTGAGGAAACATCTGCTGAAAATTAATGCATTCACAAACTTATTTAATAAACGTCAAAACAGACATCAAAACATGTTGGAAAAGTCATATAACACTTTCTACTCTGTACTAACGAAAGGAAGTGGACGAGGTTCTTTTACGTTTCGCGGAACTGTATTCCTCAGTACATTTTTAAGAGTCGCTCTCCGAGCCATTCTCTGGAGAAAAAGAGCGATAGTATCGCCCTAGTCATTCAGTCTCATCTCTAAAGACGAGATTAAATTTGTGATGAAACGTTTAATGATATGAGGAACCTAGGAACGTGGATACATCCACAAACTTGTTTTTTAAAGGTCAACAATCGATCAATTTGAAACCTTTTATATATTTTTTTTATATCGAAGCAGCCGCGGAGGCAGAAGCCTAAATGCCGGGACACCGCGGCTGCTATGAGGATCCCAATTTTGTTAATCCGATTTTTGAACTGCCTAAGGTTAATAGAACTGGGAAAAGCTTCCTCTTGTATCCTATCCTATTGTATTAATGTGATGAATTTGGCTTATATTTAAACACTCACAGCTGTCAAAATTTGGGAATTGACCCTTTGGTGGGATTATTTGAACGCACAACCTCCGATATTGTGAGCATACGCGTTAGCTACACAGCTACAGTGACTTGGGACCAGATATACTGGGGGTGCTGAAAGTTGCGACTTTCCTTTTTAGAAACAACTGGATTTAAAATAACAAAACTAATGTGCGCAATAAACAGCAGCGAAAGCCTAAACAAGGAACTGAAGGAATACTCACTATCCATTTGATAAGAAATTTGAAGTACTGCTCTGTCACATGTTTTGCTCGTTAATACAATTTAAAGTTGCCGCCGTTCGAATCAGAAAAACAAGTTCGTTAACTGTTCATCAAATTCTTAACATTTTGGGTTGGTTAGGTCTTCTACTGCGTCCACTTCGACGGCTTTTGCACTGTATAAACAAACCTACGCAGTCCGAGACGGAAACATCCAAGAAAACGATTTGAATATACTCGCGAAGTAACAGTAGAATCTTGAATACACTCACCACAAACTAACAAATCGATAACTTAGCTGTTTTTTTAAATCCCTGTTTTTTCCCTTTGTCGCTGGATGCTAGACTGTGGTAAAGCTTTGTTGTATGTGTTACTATGATAATTTGCTTTGTCACAATAACTATATGTGGTGTAAAAGAAAGTAGTAACTCTAAGGGTACCCTGTATATTCTTTCGTTCTCAGTCTCCGCAGGTGTAATAGCATGATACTCTCTGATTATGGCAGTTAAACGCGTAGCTCAAGTGATGACATCGGTCGCTTGCTACATTTACAAGTACATCTTAAAAAGCTTTAGTGTTAAGTGGTTCAAATAAAGCCCATGGAAAAACATCAAGTAAACTATATCTTGACATTAATGCTCGGTTTATCGTTCACAGATTTACTGCAATATCACTGCTAACCGGAAGCTAAACCTCAAAAAGCGTTGCAATACGGTTTTCGGTAAACGGTAGTTAAATTTAAGCAGAGGACCAGGTATTGGTGAAATAGAAAGTTTTAGTTATACTGTACTGTCTAACCTACTCGTATTTTGCTCAACCGTGATATGAGTTGTCTCGGATGACACAAAACACGAATATCAAGCATCACGAAACGCACAGAACACGATGGTTCAGATGTACAAAGCGACGTTGCCACATCAACGATTACAAAGTTAGTTAACCGGAAATTTCAAAATTTACAGATAGCTAACAGTTGCGATTGAAAAACCACACCTAAGAAGGTTTTATTACGAATATGGTTAATGACGTGGATTGTTCTAACTGCTAGTTATATGTGCAATTGATTTGTAACGTTTTACACTAAACCGTCTTCAGGAGTTGCTACTGTGTAAACTGTCGCACCATAGCAATTTCACCATTTGCTAACCGTCAAAACTATTTTGTAATACCCGTAATTCAGTAATAGTTTTGGTATGTTGTACTTTAAAGCGGATGCGTCACGGTTAATAATGATTATTGTGATTTGCACATATTCAAAATAAAACGTGAGATTTACTGAACGAGTTATTCATGGCAGTCAAAATTCATTGGTGTATAAGACAGTGTATGAATTCATTGACTCTAAAAGATTCGTTAAAATACATAATGTTTTTAATACAGACCATGTTAAATATTGAATGTGTGGCATTTGCCCACCTTATCTTGAACACGCTAAGAAAGTGAAACGCACGACGGTTTTTAAAAATAGGTTTGACGGATATTAAGACTGTGATCTTTGTAGTTAACCCTTTGAGGCCTGTTTTATCTTTTTTTATTATGAAATCTTTAATTTTATATTATAGATATATTGAATGACTACCAGTGAATATAAAGTGACCATTCAAATGTCATGCAATATGTTACTCCCCGTATTAATCTGCTGATCATCAAATGCAACACAAGCCGATGCCTGATTAATGAAGGGATTTGATCTGTAACTGGACTCTCTATCTCCGGATTTGTCAAATCATACACCATTAGAACCGGTAACACCATTGATTACCGTATCTTCACCAGTCCTGCCATTTACACTTCCTGTGATGTCCCAGCTGTGTAATATTCTTTGCAACTGTTGTATATGCGGGTCTTATTAACTAATTATTTGATGAAATTCTGCAAAGCGATCCTTGTTGTGTTTGATACAAAGTCACACATTTCAAGTTGGACATTTCCATAGAGATGCGCGTAATTATACTGCATTTAAATCGTATTTACGCGTAGACAAAACAAACACTAGCTTGCTACTTTGGCATTCACACGCTCCCATTGGCCAGCGGAATGTAAATTCTTGAGCAGCCAGTGACAAGCGAATAGTAGCTGCGATCGGATGGCCATGTTTGTTTCGACGCAGAATCAATGAGGTTTGAATTGAAGCCTTTGGTGCAAAAAGGTGTCAACTGAGATTTTATAGCTTGGAGATAATTGGCGCCAAAGTTTAAATCCTGACATTTTTTATTGAATAGTGTTACTGCTACTTTTATTATTGAAGGTTATTTTCGACACATAAAAGTATCTCGAACAGACAGTTTTGTTAAAAAAATGCATTTATTATTAGAAATTGGAAAAAGATTGACTTAATACCTTTTTGAAAAAGTGTTATTTGCTTGGTCCGGAAAATGAAAGTAGCAGAAAGGTGTTAATTAATTCAATGATGTTATTTATTAAGAGAGAACATTGTTTTTTTCTTATTACAAAATCACAAAAGTAATAACAAATAATCCACACAATTTTGTCAAAAGCCTCTAAATGCTGGTATTAAAGGAACTTGTTCCTGAATATTATGAAACTTTTTGGCCCCAATAGGTCGACTTATATCGACATTCAATAATAATGGTTCATTTTCTACTCTTCTACCGAGATTTCGCTGTTTCCTTATACCAATAATAGTCCAATTTTCCGTATCATTACCAGTTCAAGTTTTCTTGGAAGTTCCTTAATATCAACATATTTGTCCGCTATTCTTGTAATATTAAAAGGAGTTTTTTCCCTGGCTTCTGCCATGATTAAAATATATTGATCCACCATATAAATTAGTTGGTGCTTTCTGATAGACTGTTCTACACTGCAAAATCTCTATCAGAGTCCATGAAGGTATGTCCTACTTCAGGAAAGTCATGGTCAATTTTTTTGAACACTTCAGAGATTATTAGGTAGTGCGATAGACACACAATATAAAATTTTTTATTTTGGCCACCTGCCGAATCACTCCATGAAATCAGATGATCAGAAGCCATGCCTTGTTCCTTGATATTTTCCAAAAAGGCCATAAGTGGATTGCCAATCTCTTCAGGACCGCGATTTGCTTGGTCTTCGGTCCAGACGTGGAAAAAAACTTTACCATAATTTGGTTGCTGTGTTGATATCAAATGTATTCCTAGATTCTAGAGCCATCCTTGTTTTAAATAGAAGGCTTCACTTGTAGACATTTTCGGCAAGAGAAGTTGTAAATCAAATGTGAGGTATATGATCTTTTCGTTTGTTTTTGCTATTCCTTGATCAGATTTTTGTAGGCCAAGCTTTTTTATACTTTGCAACATGTTCCTCATTCGATCCTACATCGCAAACATTTTTACATTTTAAACGAAAACTGAATTAACACTTGAGTTAACACCTTTTTACCTATAGTGCAAGAGTTAACACCTTTTAAAGTTTACAGGTTGAAGTTTTTGATATATTAACACTTTTATGAATCTCTGTATCTAAGAACTGAGAGCCATCTTTGACCGGATAGATGTACAACCAAAAAAGCACCCTTTTAAAAAATTGAGTCAACACCTTTTTGCACCAAAGTCTTCAATACCAGCTGTTCCCACCAGCTGAACTATTTTATTGGCCACCATCTCATCGCCGATTAAATGTAAATTGATTATGAATTAGCGGTCATCCTGGAAGACCAATTGGCCGCAAAGGGTTGACTATGAAAGAATTCAATCTGACATACTCGTATATGTATAAATATTTTGATGTACTCATACCCATGTTGAAATGTCATGGAAAAAAGTTATTACAAGATTTATTCGAACTAAGCCAAACCTATACGTGGTCTTAAGCGTGACACATGTAAAAAGGTGACGCTTATGGCCTTCTAGTGAAATTTTCTCATTTTATTGGTAATACGAGCTGGCTAAATAGCTACATTTGCGTCTAGATCTGGTAATTTTGGTTATTCTGGGTAGCAGGTATATCAATTTATTTATTAAACGCTCAGTATTTTATAAAAATGACCTGTCTATGAAACAGTGTTTGTGTTTAGAGGAAATTTGCTGCTAAGAGTCAGCACTACATAAAGTTTGGCTTAGCTAAGTTGCAGAATATCACTTGCTATATACTGAATCTGACATTTAGCACGGCTCATCATAACCTATTTCACGTTCTCAAAATTATCAAAAGTGGTCCATTCAGATGACATCTAGCTAACTAGGCTGAGCCATACACTTCATGCAGCGCTAACTCTAAGCAGCTAAGTAGAGCTGAATGTAACTAACGTTTCCTTCAAACGTATAATATTCAGAGGTCTTTTCGCGGTTTTTGGAGGTTGCAGCATCAATGTCAAAGGGTATAAATATGCACGAAGCTTAAGTTCGCTTCAGAAGTTGTACTCTAAAAGCACTGTCCCTACAGTTGACGCTAACCTGCCAGTGATCCTGTCCAAGATCCCGCCTCACAAATTCCGTTCATTCTGCTACGCTATATAGACAGAATTTACAAGGCCGGATCCCAGACACTGTCACTGACCACTGTACGAACGAACAGAAAACCGATCTTCAACGTAGCTGTTCTTGCTCACGTAAATTGGGCAATAAAAGCATCGTAGGTTTCAACCACTTTCTGAAAATACTCCAATAAATTCAGCAAAATAGAATAGAATGTGTATTTATTTAGCTATAAGCTACATTATTACATTAACATGGACATAATAAAAATCACATATCACTTGGATCTAAAATATGAAGTCTTTAATTCCTTAATACCATTTTTCATGAAACTTTCTTAATTTGGCTTTTTTCATTTGATTCAAGTAGCTTAGACAATTTTTGCCATATTAACTGCAGTTTGGTACATAGTACAACAGAATTGCACTTCTCAGCTTCATGTCCAAATCTAACAATTCTAACATTGAACACTAAACATTTTTTAGAATTCATGACTATTCCACACCATTTAAGACTGTTTTTTATCTTGCAGATACTGATTTACTTTATTAGACAGTTCTATTATCGCACTACATGCTTGGTTTCTGCTTTTACTACTTTTTCATTTATGAATTACTTTCACATCACTACTTCTAAATTCTTCAGGAATACTTACCTTTTGACACAAATTGTTCCTCTTTCAACTCAGCCTCGCAAACATTAATCATTTTTATTTTCGGTTTAATTGTAGCTTTTATTTCATACTCTTTTCCTAATGTTAGTTCCGCTTCATTGTTCAATTTTGCTAATGGCATTTCATCTTCTATGTGAATGACTAATCATCCGTCTTTTTCTTTTGTTATTAACAGATATACTTATGTCTGCAGAATTTTTTTCCTTGAAATTTTGAACAATGAAATCATGTTTTTCCTGTACCCAGGACTTTTCATTTACTAGTCGTTTTATTAATCAAAGTACTGTCGATATAAGGCCAACAACAGGTAAACTTGAATATCCATTGCAAGTGGGTTGCCACACTAATACTGACAAGCATTTGTTGGCAAGAAAATATTAGAGACGAACCTAAGAAGCTTATGTCTGTGAGGTTACGCAAACGTCCGCGCATAGAGGCAGATTTCATAGTTGTATGAGTGAGGGAGAAGGACGTATGAAAGTGATACGGGTAGGATAGTTTTTCTGTGACTCGCCAAAAACCATGAAAAGAATTATACAACAGCGACTATTATGGGAAATAACTATGTATACTTATTTCTATGGTTGCTATTAAATGCTGCATTACGTATTTCTGTAAGCTTTAACTTTCTGTGCAAATTCGACGTTTTACACATGTATATATGATGTTGAGATAATTTAACTGTTTACAGAAAGGACAATGTTTGTGATATTAGTTGTAGATTTTCATTTTCCATTTTCAGGTGCTGTGAGTTCTGTTGTTCACAATAAAACGTGATATGGAGGTACTGAAATATACGTAAACCTTAATTCATATGATTAACCCTCTTTGTTAACATTATCTTATCAGCTCTCTAATAGATACTTATTCAAATGGAACTTGCAGCAATGCTTTCGGAAGGTTTTGTGCCCATCAGTTTGAGTCTGCTGGAGTACATGGACCAAATTATAGTTAGTTATATTGTGATATATGTATGTGGGTACAAATCCGTCATTGTACTGTTTCAGCTTATTTGTACTTTTATTTATTGTATCCAATTTTATTTGTATTTATTTTCAATAAATTGTTTTATACAGGGTGTTTCAAAAAGACGTGCCAATATTTCTAGGGTAGGAAATAGATCCAAAATAACAAATAAAATTCCTATAAATATGGGTCCAAAAATGCTCTTCTGCCGAGATACATGGTGATGAAGTTTTATTTATGAACTTGAAAAAAAATGTATCTACGGAGCTGGTAAAGATACTGAGTTAAGATTTTAGACGTTCAGCAAGCACGTCATAAGCAATAAATACACAGGGACGTAGAAACTGGGGTACCTGGGAACCTAGTAGGAAATATTTTCTACGCCACTGCTCTTTTTGGAGAAAAGAAATACACCTTATAAAATGCCATTTGATTTTCCATAAATTTTCCCTCTTAAGGAATTTTTGTCAGATCACCCGTTTTGGAGATATTTAGGGTCGAATATTTGACGTAAAATCCTGAAAGATTTTTATGGCACCATATTAGACCATTAATTGAATAATATGCATGCCTTATCTTCAATCAGCGTAGAAGCTTACTATTCATTAAATATTTCCGTGTTCCGCCACTGGTTTTTCCGGCATATTCATTGTGGTTTGATAAAGAAACTTCAAAACAAAGAAAACGTTTATTTCAAAAATAAACAAGGCTAATAAGACAAAAATAAACATTACATTTGATACAACTTACGTGGTTGTTTCTAAATTTATGAGGAGATAACATTGGGAACAAAAATATATATGCTATAATGCTATAACATCCTACCTAGAGGAGGTGTTGAAAGTGACTTCCTCTAGATTCAACACTAGCCCGTGATATACGCCACAAAGACCCTATGACTCTTTGGAAAATACCTAGCATATTATGAACAGTGTTGAAAGCCTCCTGTGTTCATCCTCATACCTCGTGTCCGAGGTTGCTAACGATTTGTTGATTGAGCTCACTTAATCCATAATACTAAAGAATTTTGAGAAGGCCGATAATTTCAGAAGTAAAATAAGAATTTTTCTCATATTGGTTGCTTCCACAATTACTAGTTGTCATTTTATACAGACAGAAGACTCTAACTGGGGTAATACCTTAGGAAGTATACCATGAAAACCAGTAGCGTGCTTAGACAAGGTTTAATGAATGGTAAGCTTCTTCAGTACTGATTGATAAGACGCGTATATTATTCAATTAATGATATAATGAGGTACCATAGCTTTCTTCACATGCCATATAGTGTTTCCAGCATCAAGCATCATGGTGTTTTCAGAATAGGGGAGGCTACACCTTTTCATAAGGATATTTTCGGATTTTACCTCATATATTCAAACATATCTCAAAAACGAGTGGTATTTTATAAAATACAATCCTTTTCTTAGAAAAACTCACTGGCGTAGAAAATATTTCCTATTAGGGGTCCAGGCACTCCATTTTCTATGTTGCTGGATCAGATTGGGCCAGGAAACTATGTGTGTTTATTGCTCACTGAACGTCTAAGCTCCTACCCAAGTTTCTTTTTCCGCTCAGTAGATTTACATATATGTATTTTTTAAATTCCATAAACAAAACCTAATCACCCCGTATCTCGCTATGGAAGCATCTTTGGAACGTTATTAATATGAACTTTTTATTGCTAATGATGTACTCACTTAACGTCTAAGCTTCTACCCAAGTTTCTTTTTCAGCTCCGTAGATTTACATATATGTATTTTTTAAATTCCATAAACAAAACATAATCACCCCGTATCTCGGTACGGCAGCATCTTTGGAACTTTATTGATAGGAACTTTTTCTGTTATTTTTGTATGTACTTCCTACCCTAGGAATATTGACACCTCTTGCTGAAACACCCTGTATATACAGGAATTTTGGAATGTTTGTCTGCATACTTACCTTGTTTTTTAAACCTACATGGGATAGAAAATATATAGCTTTTTTAAATACACATATATAGTGTTGTTTTCTATAGCATGCTAACAAAAAATGGACTAAACAACAAAAAACGTTTCTCAGTGTTTAATGACAGGACCTGTCTAATTCTTACGTTGTCGTGTGAACTATACAGCAAACATTCGCAATATAGGTATTTGATTTGTAAAAATGTATAAAATAATACAATAAAAATTCTTAATTTACACAAATACACATTTTGCATTTTCGGTCACTACACTTTGTACAAATGACATTTATATAAATCAATCGAATTATGGGGGAGTACAAGAATGCAAGAGAATCTAGAATCTAATGAGTTGACAACTTCCATTTTAGATGATCCTCCATCAGCGTGAAGGTTGCACATCAAGCAGACATGCTTCAGCTATGGGCCCAGGGATGCCCAGAGTGCCCACACAATACCTGCAAATATTCCTCATTTATTATGAAAGAAAGTATGGCTCACAGAAGCAACTTCTTTTTTCAGGAAACTCCGTCCCTGACTCCCGTGCAATGCAGCTACATTTAATTTGTAGTTTTTAATCAATAAAAACATCGTTGTACTTGTTCAATTGGTGCTCCAGCATTTGAATAGCTCCACAGTAAAAGGAGACGCGTATCAAGAAGGGTTCTCTACCATTGTAAGTTTTGAAGACAAATGTGGTAGAAAGTGGCAGACGAGCACCAGTCGACAGAGGCGGTTCCACCACCAGATTTAAAAGTATCCACATGTTTCCACATCCAAAAGCTACGTTGTCGGTTTTCTTCCTTTCTTTTCACAACAAAGAAATAGTACTTAGAATTCCGGACGTAAACTCACTCCATTCTCGAAATGTTTAGATGGTTGGTGGACTTTAGGGAACAACACCGATAATAAAATCTCCTTCACGAAAATCTGCGGGATTAACAGTAACATTAATGCTGTTCACTACTCTCTGAAGTCCAAAATCTCCGATTCTGCCCCAACTAACCGTTTTTCCAAATTAAAAGGTGTACTCCAATCGGAGGAAGAATGTGGTGAGAATGGCTTTTGTCCATAGCAGTCCTTCCTGCTCCAGAGACGGTTCTTTGGAATCAGGTCGGAACAATATTCTGTGGCTTCGCCTCAACTCCAGACCATCCCCCAAATTTATTTGTTACCTCTGTCGCTCTCCCTCTGACCATCACTGGAATGACCTACTTGAATACTTATCTATCAAGATCGACTTCCTAAACATCAATCGCCCTGCTTTAGAAGTCTTGGCGAGTTCAATGCTCATAATGAATTCTGGTTTGGCTCAAACAAGAGCGATACAGCAGGACGTGCTGTTGAAGCGTTCGCTATTACCCAAGGCTGACGCAGCTGGTGACGAGCCCTGCTCTTCTTCCCGCGTTTCGTCACATGCCAGTAGTCTGCTGGATCTCTTTCTGACCACTGGGTAACTCGAATTACGGTGTTGTGGAAGCCAAGTTTCGGACACAACCGGTCTTGGCAGCAGAAACTCGCCCACACCACAAAATTTGTAGTATAGCATATTATCTCAAGTGCTGCTTCCAAGTATTGCAAGCGACTAAATTATTACTTAAAAAAAGCATCACGCGCAATAATTGCTTGAGTGTTTCAAAAAAGTAATCCTAATAGTTTTTCACCATATCCCTATGAATTGTCAAATCATCGTGGAAGACTATATAAACGAAACGCAACTAGAAAGAAAAATATCAAGCATAGTTATGCAGATATGATTTGTGGAACTTCCACCAAACATTTTTTGAAGGTGCCTCTCCTTTCGTTTTGAACTGGGTACACCCTCGTAGCGCTATCTTCCAGTGGTTGACACATCGAGTCTGCTCTAGGTAACTTTACTGTTAAATCAACATTGGAGTGGTTGGAAAACCAATAATCATCATATATACGAGGTCTGTAAATTAAGTGATGAGACTGGCAACGTAGCGTTCGATCTGGCAACACTACAGGCGCCAGGCCTGGAGGGAAGACAGGGGAACATGTGATCCGACTTCAGTACAAGCTTGAACTCGCTCGAGTTATTTGGTTGTCCGTATCGATTTTATTTCTGAAATAGTTTTTCCTATTGCGTTTGAAAAATGAACGAGTAACGGTGTGCTATCAGTTCAGACTTGGGCACAGTACATCGGAAACTCTTGCTAAACTTCAGCGGACTTACGGAGATAGTGTTTTGTCAAGAGTCCAGGTTTTTGGGTGGTTTAAGGCATTTTCAGAAGGGAGAGAGTCGATTGGAAATTAACCACGAAGCGGAACGCCTTCATCGTGAAGAACCGACAGAATAATGTATCTTGTACGTTTAGATCGTTGGTTGACAGTCAGAATAATCGGGAAGAGTTAAATTTGACTCACACTACCGTTCATCAGATCAACAACAACTGGGCGTTGCATCACGATAGTGCTCCTTATCACACAGCAATGTCAGTAAACGACTTTTTGGTCAATAAAAACATTCATATGGCTCTTGAGCGTCTTTATTCGCCTGACTTAAGTCCTTATGACTTTTTTCTCTTCCGGAAGTTGAAAAATCACCTCAAGGGAACTCATTTAGGGACAGTTGAAAACATTCAGCACTGTTATATGAGAAGTTTCTAGCGCTGTGTGGCTTCAGAAGGAAGTTATGTTGAGGGTGACAATATAAATTTGTAATTATATTTGAATAAAAAATTAAAAAAGAATCGGTCTTATCACTTAATTTACAGATCTTGTAGGACTGAATAAATGATATGAATAGAATATAAGTAATAAGTACCTGTAATGATAGGTATAACTGGTGTTTTGACCTTCGGGTAGCGTACCATTGAACTCGTGAATTTCAAAATTGGGCAGATTGGAGTTCACTGTGATATTAGCAAAACATGGTATTTGTACTATAGCGTGTTTTTTGCCATCCTTTTCAACCAACTCGTCATTGGACTTGTTCCTGCAAACGACAAGAGTTAAAACCAGATTAATTGAATTGACACCAAAATAGTGTATAGGCTTATGAAAATATAATTGGTGGGAAAAAAATGTAAGTTACTTGCATCTTACAAGTGGTAACTTGGGTAGGTATACAGTGTGTTCCAGAACATATGGTGGGTTTGTTAAATTTGTGTAAAACACAAAATAATTGACTAGCTCTAAAGGTTGTCAAAATAGTATCTAGCATCTGAAGTGAGTAGTGGGCAATAGACATTAACAAGGTAATTCCAAGAATCCTTTTTTGACGATTTAACTTATGAAAAATAATGGTTGACAACTTCATGAATGAAAAACAGCCAAAACTAGCCACAGTTGCGCCTTGTAACATAGAAATATTAATCAGTCTTACCCCGCGCACCACGGTCTGGCTTCTAGGTCTTCTCCGCACGGCACAGGACTTTGCACGCAGGTAGTATTGAACTGTTCGCAAAACTTGGTCTCTGTGAGGGTCTCCAGGCACATGATCTCCTTGTAAGTGGTGCAGACGGGCACCAGACCTGGAGCGCACAGCTTAGTGGCATTTTCTACGCAGGGAATTACCACATCGAGAGGCATCACGATATCATCACCAGTTGGGGTTTGCGTTGGGTGGTGGTAGTTCCAGACGGAGTACGGGTACATCATGCCCGATACGGTCATGTTCCAAGTGAACGTGCCTACAATATTATTGCATATCATATGAGGTATTTTATTAGGAGACTAAAATGCCTTAACCGTGGATAGATACCACTGAGATCCATAGCTCGGTAAGGGAACACATTTTCCAGAAATCTGACAAAAGTCCTATAATTGATGAAAATATGGATTTAGGTCATTAGTGGTAGTAAGTAGGACTGAAACAGTTTTGAAAAACTTTTTGATTTTTGTTTTTTCTTATCGGACCTTTAAATATTATACAGGGCGTCCCAGGTAGACCTGCAGCGATCGACTACTCGAATAGCTGTCGTTTGATAATTATCGAAGTAGATGCCAAGTTGCTTATTTTGAATGGAACATCCTATATATTACTCAATTTTTGAAACCTACGCGGGATTTTAAATACACTTTTCTGTAAATAAAACTATCAAACAGTAAATAAAGCACTCATGATAATGTTGCCCTCGGGTTTTGAAAAATGATTCCTACATTTGCCTGGAAATATATCACCTTGCATGTCGTCGCTAGACGTGTTTTATACAGACCATTGAGAATATTTTTGTAGTCCATTGTAGATCCAATGAGATCCTTTTCTGTACAATTTCTATATTCTGGTCCAGCTACAGCCAGTTGAGTAACACAGTATTTGTAATCATGACCATTCTGTCCATGTACGTTTGTTTCATTCAGCAAATTCACGTCCACTATTAAATTTGTCAAGCAAGGTACCTGATGTAGAAAAAAGATGAAAACTAAAATAAGACAATAGTAGAAACAAGCATGGAAACGAAAATTAATAGAAACTCCGATAAAGCTAAATATAATATTGGTATACCAACAACAAGTGAGAATAGACAATTGATCTTCAAGGGATAACAGAATCAGAAATGGTATATTTTCTCTAGCGTAATATTCATATATGTATTACTTTGCTTTATTAAAATAATTTGGTTGAGGAGAATATAGTCAATTTGATATTTCAAGTAGAAGAAAAATTCCAAGTGTTAGTAATTAAAATGGGAATCCCTCTTGCACCGGTTTATAGAGTCCGATTTCGGATTAGGGAGGTACAAGTGGATCAGGCTTAAGCTGCCAGCTTGATAGTTGCTGCCATTTCATATTAAATTCGTATTCCAGATAATTGTCGAAAAAAAAAAACGGTGAAGGTTTTTGGGGAATGCAAAAGATAATGGCATGTACCTCAACTTTGGGATTTGACTGAGGTAATTTTGATTTATTTCGTTCCACTTCTTATTTCTTTGAGTGCTCAGTCCCAATCTAAGATTTTTTAATAGAATTATATATGTATCAACAGTGAAAATGCATGCCTTACCCCCTTGAGGTCTTTAGACTTGCCTAGGAGCTTATGTACATATAATGACGAAGCTCAGAAAATGTCGGTGTATGAAGCAAAGTATCTGTAGAAGGACATTCAGAAGAATATCAGAGCGTATCTAGAATGGAAAACCGCCGAAAATTTCGTCGGTGTGTTATGCGTATCATCAATCGAAGGATCTTCCGAGAAGGATTCTTTTGGTCAGAATTTATCAGCTATAGTCATAACCTCCATATATAGTATGTACGTACTGACCGGCAGAGTAGCCTTGTCTTCTCCCTTGGTCAAGTTTTTACAGATCGGGTCATTCTTGTCAGGACAAGTCATGGTAGCGTTGACACAAAGCGTTTTTTCTTCAGTGCAAGGTACGGCATTTGTCATAGTAGCCACACACAGCACGGTACCGTTCGTTGTACATATAGACGTCGTACCTGTAACAAACCATTTCAACCAAAAATTATTAAAGCTATGACCGTTCTTAGGGTTGCACCCAAAGCTATAGAATTCCAAGTGTCGCTCGCCAAATCAGCAGTGCTCCTCTAGGTCGACAAACTAGTGCTAAAACAATCGCTGTTGGTTGTGGTCGAGCCGACTAAGGAACGCTTCACTGTTGACTAAATTCCAGATGTTCAATTCAAATACAAACTAATTAGGCTGCTCAAAAATAATGATCCACGCACTACCATTCAAAAGTTTCCGGATACCTGATAATCGACATTTAAAATATGGCGTCAGCATCAGTCAATCCGTGAATGTCGGCCATACCATAAGCGCCAGTCATGATAATATAAAAGCGCTACCAGACGTACAATAATTATCGTTTTTGTATGGTAATTTTAAATACAGTACGATGTACGGGTACGCTAACAGCTAAATATACGATACTTTTCTGAATGAGCTTTTTTTACTCTTAGACGTTGACGTGTTCGATGAATCTCATCTCCAATCAGTCTCAATTAAACTTGCATATGAATGAACTCGATGGTTTCCTCCACGCTGACACATTTCTACTCCACCACCACCACTTAATTGTCTATTCTTCAAATAGTATTACCTTTCACCCCACTTTTCAATTATAGCCAACATACTGCTTAGGCAAGCGCGCGCAATTAAGAGCACCGCACCCCGTCTAAATAATAGAATAGGTAAGTCCATGCTGCTCTACTGTGTAGGATAATATATGATAATTTTCATGCACTTTTATAATTATTTAATGTGACGACTGTAGCAACGCTGCTATAACTCGAGATCGAGAACGGCAGCGATGCTGTCATACGCAGGCGAGATTCAGTGTATGAAGCAAGGAGACTCGTGAGCCGCGATAGACAGACGAGAAGCGCGTGTAAATATATTTCCAAGTTGTAAGGGCAAATATGCGGTGAAATTTACGATGTGTGAAACATGTACTACCAGATTAATTAAATTAGTGAGGTTGTAAGCGTTTAAATAAACTAACATCAATAAAATTGAGAGATTCCCTCCCCCACCCCCTACAACCCCCAGTTTTTCAACCTTACAAACATTTTTCTGAAAATGACCAGGAACGTTAAAAAGTGAAGTTTTTTTGTTTTGTCTGTTCTTGGGCTTATTCTCTTATTAAAATCTATAAAGCTATTTCGTCCTTGGCATAGTATGTGACTATTTCATCAAAATCCGACCCTCACTTTTCAAGTTATAGACAGGCCAAGGATTAGCGGACAGACCCACAGAAAATGAGTAACAGTGTTTCCAAAAAACATATCTCATATTCGTAATTTTTCGCGATTAGTATACTTCCTCGCAAGTAGGCGTTGGAAAAACATAGAAAAAGACATGGAAGTTTGGACACACAGTGGGAAAATAAATAAACACCAAGCCATCATTGTCTATTTTACTCCGTGATCTGATATGAACCTCAAATTATAACTGTGAACACTTTTGCAATGTAAGTTTGGTAAAAAAATGTTTTTTTCACATTTAATACCTTTGCGATACTTCGTGGTAATCTAGCAACGTGCTGTCTCATGACTGCCCGATTAAGTTCATTCCAAAGAAATTCAATCGGATTACAATGCTGGTCCAGTAATTTTTTGAGCAAATAATTTTTACTCAGTTTAGATAAGTGTTTCTGATCATTGGTAGATTGACAAATCTTGGCCCGATGTCTTCTCCCCGTGGGTACCACTATTGACAAATAATATGAGTCGTGATCCCTATTAGCTTAAGGACCCTATCAGATAGATATTTCATATGAGCATTGCGGAAGCGTATCCATGTTCAATGGCTTATATGAAGCGGTCCTCATGCATTTGATTTTCTTCAGTGGAATGCCCACTTTGGATTCGATCATCCGTAACACACTTTTGGGGTCTCGAAAATCTAATTCTTTTGATTTTGGTCCATTGAAGTCAAACAGATATTTTTTGTCGACAGTGCCAACGCAAGCGTTGCTCATGAGTGTTGAATCAAAATCAAAATGTTTGTTGTGCTTCAGGAAGAATTGATTCAAAATCGAGATATTTAGTAAAAGATTATAGGTATAAGCGTAAGCTGCGTAATCCTAACTGTGAAGCAGATGCAGGGATCCATAATAGTCGGAGCACTTCCATTCAACGACGTCTCTACATTGCGAAAGGTTAACAGAACTTTTGTAAAATGATATCACAAGATTCTTATCCACCAAGGAGTTCCCGCGGGAAGAAAATATGGATTCAGGTTGTGGAAAAAATATTTGTCAAAAAAACAGCAACGTACCTTACAAACCGTGGAGTCCCAGTTTAGTTCTCCGATATCCATTCAATCCTTTGAGAAGAACTTAATCGACGAGTCATAAAGAGAACACTGATACAACTTGAAAAAGTTAGACAATATATTCTCGAATAGTTCCTCATGATTATGTTAAGAACTATCACAAGTGTATTGTAGGTGAAAGGAGGATCTTTTCACCAAAAAGATGTGTAAATATAACTTTTGCTGTAAACGTTCCATGTCATTATTTACAGTACACATCACTCTAACGAGTAATATAAAACAAAAATCGTATTATCTTGAAATATTATCCTCTGTCTAATGCTCTTTCCATTTTTCAGTTTTAAGTATCCATCGTCAAGTATCCGGAAACTTCTGAACGGTAGTGTAATACGGCGTTTGTTCTTCCAACTAACCATGTACATTTGTTTGATGTTTGTTGGCAATCATCAGTACGGTTTAGGTGATACGAAGAACGGTAGCAGTGCCCAAATAACCTATATCACTTCGCAGTTGTCAATTCTGGTATAATGAATGGCACTTGCTCTGTCGTATTTCTTTCACGAAGAATTGCCGCACGCATATTTCTTGAGCGGCAGAGTAGATCGACCAAAGAATTCAGCCAAGGTAAGAGGAGTCAGTTAAGGATTTATTGGTCTCCTTATATCCTGTAGTGAGGATCAAAGTGAACTTGACATAAATCGATTCAACTATTCTTGTAACTTGTAGTTTTGGTGTTATTTTTAAAAGTGAGAGCTTTAGACGATTTCCAGACGTGCCAGTTTTTACATAATTTTCAAAGAGCAGCACTAAACTAATGAAGGCAGATGTTTCCACCGGTAAGAATTATTGTGTTGATACAACAGTGAAAATTTGGTAAACAAATAAGTCAAAAGCATGCACTAAAACTATGCAATTTTGGCGAGAAACAATGTAATGTAAACATATAGGCTTAGCTCTTCCTAATGTGTTCGAATTCGTTGAGATCGACCAATACAGGATTTTTGCCGATACCGACATTCCGCCGATACCTGTATTCTAAAGGCCGAAATATCCGTCTTATCGGCACATCGGACAAGTTCAATGCTGTACAAAAATGGTGAAAACCATTGAAAATATCGCCGTGTGGAAATATTTCTTTAAAATTGCGTCACTCCAATTTGTATCCCATGGAAAAACTTGAAAAGGGGTTACATTGACACAATTAAGAAAAATATGTATGTATTGCCGATATTGATATCTTTCCATCTCTACCCCCTACACACAATGGGCTACTGTGAGTTATTATGTTTCGTAAAAAGCATCTTTATGTGTATGATTTACCTTGTGCACAAAAGTTTGTAGCGTTTCCTTCACAGAGCATGAGTACATTGGATGGCATCTTGATCTCCTGTTTAGCTTCAGGCGGCATATTGTAGTAGTTGTAAACGTTGTATGGCTTGTGCCTGAACATGCCTCCAATTAGACTGGACCCCAAGTGGTAGATCATCATGCCTGTTAAAATATTGCCAAACGTGCTACCACCACTGAAGAAGCCTCTTCTTTTCTGCATGTAACCACCTGAAGAATCATATAAAATATACTAAGTGACATATAAATCCGAAAATGATCGTGAATATGATGATTGAATCTTGTGAAAGGTCCCTGGATCCGAGCAACATTTTTCAAGGGGACGTGGAAGAAATCTTCAAGAAACTGAATCTAACCGTCGATGTTCTGCAAAAAGTGCAATACGTTCGGGAAAACTTGTCAGCATGCTACAGAGAACCCGCTGAAGGAGAAGAACCGGTTGTGCAGAAGCCATGGGCTTTTCATAGAAGGAACATTTTCCAAAGATTGATCGACTATGTTGAAAGATTAAAAGTGGTAAGATATACAGGGTGACTTTGAAGTTGAGTCATTAATTTTCAGATAATGATTGTAGAAGGAAGATAAACCAAAATATGTGTGTAAAAATAAAAAAAAAATTGAAAAAAAAATTTACCTTGTTTTATAAAGTATCCTCCCGACAAGTATTTCAGTGCGGACCTGTATTTGATCGTGAAGTCTTGGAGCACCGGCATGCCGTCCATATGTGAGGTCTTAAGTCAAATGATTCACGAACCCGTTGTACTACATTAACAAAGGCATGAGGGGTTGGTTACACTCGATTGGGAAACCGATTCGCATAAACATGTGCCATTTTTTATTTCGTTTGAACCGCGCAACAGACACCACTATCCACTACCGACTGACACTGATTGTTTACAACTGAATGAAATAATTGTAAAAACATCGTTCCAAATTCTTTCGCTTTTTTGTTTCCGATGCGATGAACCGATAAGGCGAATTATATCCGTTATCGCCAAACACGAGCACATAATATTATTATTGAGACAGGGCAGTACTCAAACTTCCAAAGGGCTATAACTTTGTTACTTTAATGTTACCAGAAAAATGGTAAAGGAAAAAAACATTTCTTTTGATCCGATCTACTCACTGTTAAAATAAATGACTCAGCTTCGAAGTCACCCTGTATATATATATATATATGTTAGCGGCGCCGCTGTGACTACTCATAATTCCCTCTCAAAAGGGTGAAATGATATCGTTATCTTCTGCGACGGAAGGAGAAGCACGAGGGGTCCGGGGACGACTACTACCTGCGATCCCTCGCACGTAGTAGCGAAGATGACGACAGTCACGTACCTACAGCCAAACAAATTGTGCCTAAATACGCAGTAAATGGTAGTACTCGGAATAAAGTATTGATTGGGGATAGACGTGTATTTTTTTGGGGTAAAAGCCAAATCAAATCTACCCCGTTTCTTACATATATATATATATATCAAGCGTAGTTGTGTCTGAAAAGGAAAACCTCAACTTTGCGAACACCCTGTATATATGTATGGCTTCGAGAAGGCCGTACGCAAAGAGCAAGGGGCACTGGACGCCGCCGTAGAACAACAGACCGTGAAGATCGCCGCCTAAGATTATTGGCCTTAAGGGACCGTTTCTCCACTACCAGGTCCATTGCAAATGAGTGGTTTTCAGAACACGGAAGACCTATTGCATGCGAAGTGTTTACCGATGAATGAGAAGTTTTGGCTTGTTTTCATACCGGCCACACTGGGTCCTCCCTTTAACTCGAGAACACCGACGTAATCGCCTTGAGTGGTGCAGACGACGGTCACTCTGGGATCAGGAATGGAACAGTAATGTCTTTAGTGACGAGTCTCGATTTTGTTTAGGCATGCACGATGGTCGTGCCAGGGTTAGAATGTGACGTGGTGAAACTAGGAATCCACAGTTTTTTGTTGAAAGACATGTTCATCACACTGTTGGAGTTATGGTTTGGGGTGCTATAGCTTATGGTTCCAGGTCACCTTTAATCTTCATCAGAGGTAATATGAACGCGCAGCGTTATATCCACGAACTTCTAGAACCCCATCTTTTACCCTATCTTGACACACTGGCAGATCCAACTTTCCAACAAGATAATGCCCGACCACATGTTGCAAGAGTCACAATAGACTTCTTTCAACATAATGATGTCACATTGTTACCATGGCCACCAAGAGCTCCCGACTTATCCTAAATTGAGCACGTGTAGGATATGATGGGTAGGAGATTGCTCAATTTGCAACGTCCTCCTCAGACTCTAGAAGCACTTCGAGAGGAGTTTGTTGCCTGGAATGAGATACCACAGGAGGACATTGACCACCTGATCAGAAGCATGCCTAGGCGCGTTGGAGAATGTGTAGCACATCAGGGTGCATCCACACATTATTAAAGGTCAAAGGGCTTTAAAGCAGTGCAATCATTTTGAAATTTTTATCATTTACTTATTATGCTTCATTAAGTGTTCGGATTTATATGTCACTTAGTATAGTAGCGGAAGTTCAGGAAAGCTTAGCTGCGGGGGTGTATATCGATCATTCTAAATATCAGCCACACGTGATGAGACCTTGTTAAACTAATAATTGCGTACTCACTGGCGTTCTTTACGTTCACATGATAAGATGATTCTAGTCAGTTCGGTGTAGATGTTATAGAGGAAGACACGTTTCAGCACGTATTAATAATAAATGGAGTCGAGTAGGTTGACTCTGCACTTGCTCTGCAACACTATGATCAGCTCATTAAGGATGCATAACAGAAAAATTAAATGGGCCAAGTCAGTCAAAAAGGCACATACAATGTACCACTTTATTTTTAGAACATTTTGAATAAGTATAAGAAAAACGCCAAGACACGTCAAAAGATTTGTCAAGGGGGACAACCCCGATAGTACGAAATATTCATTATATATTTATTTCATATTTAATAATATTTTTATGTTACTTAAATATTTGTTTTCTTAAACAAATATTTAATAAATATTTGTAATATAATATTTTTAATTTATTCAATGTCTTTTAAATATATTAATACAATATTTCTTTTATAATATTCATTAAATATTTACTTTTCAATCAATGGAAAATACTAGATCTCCAATATTTAGAACATATTCATTAAATATTTTCGGCTACCGTGCCTGAGGCGACCTGTTTGCCGGCAAGCCGGCATCCGTTTTACCTGTGACTTTCACTATGATAGCGTGCTTTCTGTGTACCTCAAAGTGGTTCATTATTTGAGTGTTTTTTTTTTTTGTGGAAAAGGGAAAAGGGCAAGCTTTTCGATAATTACAAGGTATAATTTAACTGACTAGTAAACATTATTGTGCCAGCTGAGTATAATGGTATTCACAATACCATAAATAACTAACCGTGAAATGTAACAGTTATTTGGTATTGATGGATTTATCTGAGAATGGAAATGAAAATTATGTTCATAACATCCCAATGAAAAGACATATAATCGCAACTCGATCCAGATACATCAAAAATGATTTTTTTAAAATATCTCAATTATTATTATTATTTTTGTCGTAGTACGTACAAAAATTATAACAGTCGAAAATACTATACGTTTATCCCTTGAATTATAATATAAAATCACAAAATAATTATGGCTAAGTTAGCCCCTTACTAAAAAAATCAAATTTCAATAAGTGGTCTATTTTCAAAAACCTTTTCTTTAAAAGCTGGTCAAAGGATCAGTTTGTGCCCAAGGACATTTTTCATCAAGATATCTAAAATAACATACCAAATTTTCTTAAAAATTAACCAAATCTCGAAATGTGGGGTCCTTTTAGTTGCATTTTGCTTTTCAGTGACCCAGTTGACCTACTCGGAGTAACTTACCATGCTCAGCATCAATATTGTTCCAATGCATTTTATATTCCCATAAATACACTGGAAAGCAGCTTTTCTATTCAATAATACTTAATGATTAGTTTTTTTTTCAGAGGAGTGGACTTGCAAGATGCAGAAGAGGCTTAGAATGTTTTTTTAATAATATTTTTCTAACAAATTAAACCATTATATCTAGAATGAATTTTCTTTATAAACCCAATTTTATATAAGCATTCCTACAGGTTTTGCTAAAATAACCAATAAAAAATTTTCTATATACACTGAAAATATTATCAGATTAATGCTTGCAAATCCATACATATTTACGAAAAATATTAGATATATCATCAAAATATAAAATTGATATTTAAAAATCTTTCCGCATAGATTTTCTAAATATTTGGAAAACATATCGCAAAAATATATGAATTATATATACTACAAATATCTATAATGAATATTTTGTAAATACATAAAAATATATTTATTAAATATTAAAAAATCTGTCGCTGCAAATATTTAACAAACATTTTTTAAAAATATTTAATAAATATTTAATGCTATCGGAGAACTTTTTAACCAAAAACTACTTCACCCTCTGCCTCCCAGGGTCATTCCCTTAAACATTTTAAATGACAAGTAGTGTCGAGTAATGGATTGTTTAAAAGGTCTTTCGTAGTCCTTTATTTTGACGTTTGATTTTTTCAAATTAGTTCATTCGTTTTCGATAAAATTTTTAAAATCTTTATTTATCTCGATTTGTTCAGATAGAAAACAAAAACATCATTTTGTATTTCAATAAGTGTTCAAAATGTTGCCCGTTGGGGTTTGCCAGATCTGCAATTGGTTCATATTTTTTTTTTTTAGTTTCGTAGGTTTTTTTGACATTCCGTAGGTTTTCCTACAAGATGTTAACTTAGTACAAGCTGTTATACACTTGTTGTGAACTCGTTTTGTAGCTGTACGTGTTGCTTAAACGTCACCGAACAGCGGTCATAGCAAGCAGACGTGGAATGAACTATTTGCACACTAAACACTACCTAGTCTGCAAGATGACATATCGTCCTTTTTTTAGGTTTTTTACATAATAGCCGTGCGGATATCCATTCGGAAATAATAACTGGCGATCGGAACATGCGAGCAGCCGGTCAGAAATTTCAACAATGATAGTAACTTAGTTTCTAAAGAGTCAAATTGGGAAGATGAGGTACGAATCGGAGAGGCTTTCCATGCCGCCCGTTTGCGTAGAAGTGGTGGTGAATGATTTCAGGCGTTGTCGGATAACGGCAGGGAAGTAGGGCAGGGAATTTGAATATTCCTGTACTACTAGTCTCCAAAGTAAACAGATACTATTGCCGGTACTGCTACTTGGACGTGGGAAAATGCATTGATGTCAGATGTCTGGTAGTGACGGCGCTAATTTCCGATATTATGTTGGGTTGCGATTTACTACAAAACTATAGCTTAGTGGTTTTCCAAGAGGAAACTGCATTCGTGGTGATTGATAGCGACACCATCGTAACAGATTTTGTGTCATGTTTCGGGAGGAGAAAGATAGAGGTTGAAAATCGGCATCCGTATACCCAAAACAATTTCGCTTTAAAGGCGGAGAAAGTACATGCAACTGCAGGAGTTAAGAGCCAGTTGCGTGATTTGCTCTTAGAGCACAAATCATATGTTCAACGCATTCCGTCGGTGTACCGGGTGCATGATCAAATCTTGAAAATGTTGGAGCTGGACATTATTGTCAGAGAGCGAGCGGTCTTCATTTCTCCGTTGGTAAGTTGTTAAAAAGACAGAAAGACGAGCATTAAATAAGATTTTTTTAATCCGCTCAATCCTCCTAAACTGTTGTTAAAATTCGAGAAAGGGGTTGTGTTGAGCTCTATAGACTCAACTTCCTCGTACTGGCAAGAACTCATACATGAAGAGGAACGAAAGTACACAGGTTAAGTTTTTAATGGGGAGTCCTGCATGTACATAAGGTTGCATTTTGGCTTGGCAACTTCGATGGCGAGTCTAATCAGATATCTTACCCATAGTCTAATTATATTAGACTAAAATACCTCTTGTTTACGAAATACTTGTAAAGTCTGGTTTTATTACTGCAAGTTGTTCAAGGGGGTATTTAAAACATAGACGCATAAAATGGGTACACCAATTTTTGTGGGAAATTTTTTTATTTGATCACAAAGAATGAGAAAACGTGTATTTTGGGATTCAATCTAAAGTGTTGACAGGAACGAAAAAACTCTTCATATAATATTTTTAGGTATCTATTTATGAGACCTACAAAAGGAGACCACACGTAAAAAGATCTGACTAATAGCAAAAAAGTTATGACCGAAAACGGAGGCAAACTGCAGGTTTTGGCACTGGTTGGTCATGCGACGATGGTTTCTCGCAGATACTTGCAATTCTTCAGATGCGTAGGATTCTTATTTCTAAATAACCACAACAAAATTGGAGTAGATTGGTCAAGTAGTTTTTGAGAGTTTCTAATTGTTTATCCCAAAGCAGACCTGTCTTGGTTAGCTCAAAGGGCATTTTATAGCAAAGTACACTAGTTTAACTTACCGATATGAATCGCAAACCCTTCCGGAAGATAAATGTTAATCTTATGCAAAAAAGGATGGGTTACGTTTTCTCTTCCAAACAAATTCAAACATTTCGTATTTGTGAGTAATTCGCAACAAAAAATGATAGACATATCCGCTTTGTTTAAAAATGTGTATAGTTAGGTATGTTTTTCGAATATCGTAGCGCATTTGTTCAATTACTCACAAATACGAAATGTTTGAATTTGTTTAGAAGAAAAAACCGCAACTTTTGTTTTTCGCATAAAAATAACATTTATCTTTCGGAATTGTTTGTGGTTCATACCGGCAAGGTAAGCACGTGTATTTTGCTATTAAATGCTCTTTAAACGAACAGGGTTCAATTAACTAAGAGTGATGGTCGGAAAACAGGTATTTTGAGATAAGCAATTAGAGACTCTCAAGAAAGTACTTGACCAATATACTTCAATTTTGTTGTTGTTATTTAGAAGTATGAATCCTATGGATGTGAAGAATTTCAAGTAGTTGCATGAAATTTTCGTTGCATTACCAAGTGCCAAAACCTGCATTTTGCCTCGTTTTTCGGCCTTAACATTTTTGCTATTAGTCGGATCTTTTTACGTGAGCTCTCATTTAGTAGGTCTCATACACACACTTTTTTGGGACCGATTAACTAAAGTTGTTTGCCGTTATTCAAAGTGGCTAAAGGTGTCATGTCACAAAATCATTGTATGGAGAAAATTGACTAAATATTTTTTATTGGAACCTTTTACTTTATTGAAATTTTAAATATTTAGTTTAGTTAGTTTGTTATTATCTTGTTTTTGCAAAAAAGTAATCACATAATGAAAGAATCACGCCTTAAGGTTAGTTTAATGCAAAAAATGAATTTTATATAAATGCTACATGACAACTTCATCCATTTTATCCAATTATGCTTTCTGTATATGCCTCCCATTACGGGGTAGCGGGTTTCCTGTTTCATTAGTCATGAAGCGGTGGAAGAGATTGTTGCACTGCCTCAGCATTGGATAAAAATCTTGAAGCTTATAACAGACCAAAAAGCCATATATTGGCACTACAAGAATACGATTTTGAGGTCCGCTGTCGGGGAAGTGACAATAAGATGGTGGACGCTATCAATTGTTACTGCTTCAGAGTCGTCTATCTCACTGTTAGCATAATAATTTTTACTGAATACCAACTATAGATAGAAATCTTCGGATATTTATTAGCCTCCATTGAGGGACATTCAACAAGGGAAATTTTCGAAAATACGTTTGCAAAAAAAGGTCTATACTTTTTAGTAGTCGGTGAGCTTAACCCTTATCTGCTTACTTTTCGGCCGGTAACATGACGGAACAGTACAATGAAAGAGATTGGTAGGATGTTACGGGAATTTTGCACTTCAATTGTGTCAGTTTACTACTTTTTGTGGAGGTTTGTTTAAATCGTTCGATATACGAGACTACGGGGTACGCGGCAACGGTGCTGCTGCTTGGGTCGCTTGAAGCACATCCGTTAGATAGAATGAGTGAGCGGTGAGCCGCTTTTGACAATACAGGGTCCGTCAGAAAGAACGCATGTTTTTCAATTGAATAATACCGTCAAAATAAGTATGGCAAAATTATTTTATATTCACCGGAGACCAATATCGACAAATTTGTTTATTGAAGTAACCATGTAAATGAAAATGTGCTTCATCACTCATAATCAACGTCATGTCATTGTTATCCAACTGTTCAATCATGAGCTGTGCAAAATTAACACGTTGTGCATAATCCCCTGGCAACAGTTGTTGACAAACTTGTATTTTGTAAGAATGGAACACTAAGTCCTTCTTCAAGATGCGACGGACAGAGGATGCGTGACTCCCTAGGGAACTGGCACGCAAACGGACGGAACCATTCGGGCTTTGCAGCGAGTCAACTCTCACTCTGTCTACGTTTTCGGGGATTCTAACAGTACGGTTACGCCCTAGCGATTTTTTCTTCATTACATTACCTGTTGCATTGAATGCTTCCACCCGTCTAAAAATGGTGTTACGGTCTGGTACTGTCCGACGTCGTGGAACACGAAAGTGAACGCGAAACGTTGCGTTCGTTGCACCATTCTGAAAGTACTGACGTACAGTGAACACACGATGCTCAACGTTTCAAACCATCTTGCCAAGTGAAACGGCACTTCTCCCCCTATGCAACACGCCCTTTCTCACCGACACGGGAACAGCCCACCCGATGTAGTACCCATTCGAAAAACATGCGTGCTTTCTGACGGACCCATAAGCTGTCGCTCACGTGCGTCTCGAGTTTAAATATACTCGTAGAATAAGGGATGAGAAACATGCGTTATAGAACCGCTCTTTAGTTCTCAAGGTGGGGATAAGGGGTTAGTGCGGAAACCCCAGCTTTAGATAAGGCGACGAAAAAGTTTTTTGTTTAATTGAACGAAGAGTCATATACAGTAGCGCGGTAAGCCGAGGCCATTTCTTACGATTTGGCTGATGTACGAGTAGAAGGGAGTAGCATCGTCTTAGTGACCCCCTCCGGTTTGACTGGTTATAGCAAGTAACCCAGTTCAACATCTTAGCTCTGATTAAGAGGCACCTATGAAGGTGTTAATGGAATAAACGTAATACTTTTCTATCAAATTGTGTAATTGTAGGCACGATTGGAAATATGAGAGTGGCGAACTCACCTCCGTATCCTCCCCAACCTCCGCCAAATCCGCCCATGCCCATGCCGCCCATTCCCATTCCGCCAGAACCATAACCACCACCATATCCTCCACCGTACCCTCCGTAGCTCCCATATCCACCATACCCGCCATATCCTCCTGGATGTCCCCCATATCCGCCATGGTATCCTCCTGGTGCCGGATACCCAGCGTACCCACCATGATGGTATCCTCCTCCATACGGCTGGTGGCCGAGGCTTTGTTGGTAGGTGGGTGGTGGTCCCTGAGCGTGGCTAGCACTCACGTGAGTCTGTTGATGTGGCTGATGACCTGGAAATAATATGTAGCATTGTGGTTTCCACGATAAGTTGATGGTTCATGCTGGTAATTTGGAAACTACGATTGCGATTACAGTGTCTAGGGAACAAATTGATGCAGGTCTAATAATTGAGAACGTCTAGTCAGTTCCAGCATCTGAGGGAAAGAAGCTGGCTTATCTGAAATGTAGGAACCTCTTTACTTTGTACAAAGCTTTTAACAGTTTTCTTTTGAAATATTGCTAAATAAGTAAGCAGCTATTATTCCGATTACAATGCCGATGTTTGACACTGTTTGTGGAAGAGCAATTCTACCATTAGGAGACTTCTCACTCAAGCTTGTTCGTGCCCTATCCCGGGTGATTTAAATTCGACGGTCACAAAGTCAGTTAAATGGAGACAAAGCTGAAGATTTAGGGAGCTATAAATACAGGTAGTCTTTAGAAGGTTGCGCAACTCATAGTACATCAAGGTATATACGAAAAAAAAAAATTACTTTTCTAACACCGTTTTTATTTTTTACTGATTTTATTTAATACGAGTATGAGATTGCAAAATAAATTGCATAAAGCATTGTCACGTTTCCTCCTCTACAACTCAATGACGAATGATCTTTTATTAGCTTAATTTTTTTTTAATACCATGTTGGATTCTTGCTCAGGTAAATAGAATTCAGATTTCAAAATTGTATAATATGACATACATCGGCATTGCCAACACATTTGAAAAACAGAATAACATAAGTTTCATAATATCCTCAGCTAAGCGTTCCTTCAGTTTTTGTGAACTAGGTATAGGCAGACATTTCTCATTTTATTGATTGGATATTCTACTTATCATAACATGGATTGATTTTATAAAACTTCAAATGTATAAAAATGTAATCTCCCAAAAATTTAAAAACAGTATAACCTTCATTCACTGATATAAACATTTCAGAGTAAGTAAGAGCCTCGCTTCTATTGCAGGTGGCACATATCTTGCAATAATCTACGGCTGAGGTTTGTTGTAGATCAATTCTATCATGCTAAAATAACGCTTCTTTTAGTTGATAAATGGACAAAATGTCGTCTTTTAAAAAACAAAAACTGAAGCATTTTTAAAACGGTGATGGATTCGACTACGTATTTGAGAAGCTGCCATTTTCAACTATGAAAATATTATTCTTATTGTAAATAACTTAGGTTTGGCAATGTAAAATTATGACATATAACACATTTTCGGAATCAGAATTGAGAACTCTATCCGTGCAAAAATTCAATATGGTGTCCATCAGAAAAATAAAGTTGATTATGGGAGACACGTGACTAAACTTCATACTAAAATTCTAATTATGACACATTGTTGAGGAGAAGATGTGCAATTTATTTTGGAATGCTATTTAAATATAGTTCAAAAAGAAAAAAATGTAAATACTCTGAATTTCGAAGTGTTGTGAATCTTAGTTACCTAAATGCTCAATTTGTGTACCATTTAGCCAACTTTGTTAATTTCTCACAATTTCAGAAATCTCATTTGTGAGAGTCTGATTTGAAAGACCCGGTTATTGGAGAAAGGTTAATTAGCAAAGATCTTACCAAATTAACCCTAGTGAGAACCTCGTATATCCTGCTCAAGAGTTTTCAGGGCTATGTCATCAAATACCCTAAAGTAAAACTGTAGGCAGCGGAGTCTCCCTTATATGACTCACAATATGCCAAAAGTCTCATTATAGGAATGTCACGGGCATGGTTCCAATAAGCAGAGCGCAAAGGAGCCCAGGGCCCAATGTTCTACTTTCAGCACCCTGTTTGATAGTCGATCAGCTGTGATTATCTTGGTATTGTGAGTGTACCTTCACATGCTACATTGATATGTTATACTAGATCCTTTGGTGCAGCAACCCACTACTCAGTTTGTAACGCTTCCTTTCCGCAAAAAGTCCAGAAAAGATGGAATGCAATGAAGATTCCAACTTTTCTGCACAATCACAGAAAGGGGGTTACAATTAGCTTCCGGTAGCTCAGTCGGTGGCATGAAGACATCTACAGGCGTGTAGCTGTGTGTCGACCATGGCATGGCTAGAGGATAGAAGAACAAACAGAACACAAAAATTTAACAGATTTTATTTAATAAAAAAAAGGCATTTTCATTACATTACAATTTTACAAAAATAACAAAACAAGTTTTACATCTTTGGCGCTGCTATAACGCTATCGACTTATCTTTCGCTGGTCCATTTTTACTCGACTGAAGCCAGGATGGCCAGGGGCTTGAAGGGGAGGTCCCAGTTGTGAGGGGTGACCTCACATATAGTGGCTTCGTAACCAGTTGTAGGCGAAGTTAAAGGCGATGGCGCTGCCAAGGCACATGCATGGGTGAAAATATTGGCCAAGGCTAGGCAAAGTGAAATGGAAAGAGAAAAGGGGGTGGCCCCAATCATTTTTGTCCTATACGGACACACATTCTAGAAAATTCTAGCACATGGTGCTATATAACCTTGTGCTACTGAGAAGAAATTTCTAGCCGTTGTTCGATCGGCGGCTCAGGTGAAAAGGAAGCGCGAGGAAGATCGCAGATCAGGAACTCCGCATCAAGCGCTCCAAGCGGAAAATTTTCCAAGCAAAAAAGCTAGAGATGGGATTAATGAAATGATAATCGAGAAGTGATTTAATAAATACGATCGGACGGTGAAACCGTTACACTCGCCCCAACTTAACCAAAAAAAAAAAAAATCGAAGAAGCATTTAAGAATTTTTTTTTTTTTTTAGGAAATTGAAAGTTATCACGGAAGGACAAATGTACAACCATTCGACCAGATAACAAGTAGTAAAAGTAAGGTAGAAACAAAAATGTTAGAAGAGAATTGGAAGAAAAAGGGATAGCCTCAAGTCTACCAAACAAGAGGGATGGTTATAGCACCAACTCGCTGAAAAGTACAGTGAAGTTGCACTTAAAAAAACTATCATCATATGATGAAAAACCCAAAACATAAAACATCGTCATACCTAAGACGAGAAAAATAATAAACCAAAAGTTTCAGCAGTAGTCCAAGCACGAATCACAATGGCATCCAAAATGCACGACTGACTACTAAAAACTTCAAAACTAAGTAAGTACCTAAACCATAAGAGGTACTAAAAAAAAATATAATCTTTCTCAAAACAATTGCCAGATTATCTCGCAATACTCCAAACCCAAAAAGATTATGATCTACAGTGATATTTTAAACCAATATCCAATATAAAAAAACTGTGCATTACTATTTTCAAAATATGAAAATCAAAAGAAATTAACAAATTCTATTAAGAATTCCAGTTACATAACAAAACAATTTACAAGTACTAAACCAATGAAAACTTGATCAATAAGGTATTTTAATCAAAAAAAGATGTTAACTAAGTGCAGTTCTGATTCCACAAAAAAATTGTCGGGCGCCAGCAGTCTGTAAGACTACAAAATAATTCAAAATATTTTCAGAGAATTAAAGTATATAAGGGACATTCATGAAATATTGAAGTAAGATTTTCAAAGTCAAAATATAGCTTAAGTTCAATCAATGAACTAAAATTCAAGAGTAAGTTCAATCAAAATTTTCGGGTCATGTGACAACATAAGAACCAGACCAAAAAAAAAATTTGAAGTACAATATAGAAAAGAGCAAAATAAATTTCCAAAAAAACTAAGTGCAACACAAGTGCAACTGTAAATCTAATAGTGTTAAAATCATAAAGTGAAAGGAAATATTAAAGCTATATGAGCATGATTTTATAAAGGGTTCTCAAAAAAAAATTTAAAAGTAAGCAAAATATTAAAAGTTTCATGAGTAATAAATGAGAAACGAAGTGAGCATATGTAAAATGCAAAATAGCGAATCGAAAATCACAAGATATTTTATTAAATCATGATACATGAGAGTAATGCCGCAAGCAAAAATTGTATGCAAAAGACTACGATATATGTAGGTGCAAAATTGGAGTTATAAAAAAAATCTAGTGAACAAGAAATAGAAATAAATATGATAGGTAAGAATTCGAATTTTGATTTAAAGCAAAAATATGAGAGAAAGACAACTTTCTAGGGTCACCATAGGTGCATTCCAAAGCCCTAGACAAGAATGTCTATAGTCTATGGAATATTCTCATGTAGATCACTGATATCATCAGCGCACTTCAAAGTCTACACTGAGAATAACCATAACATTGTAAAATGAAAGTTAAGTTCAAATATGAAATATTACAAGATTAGAAAAACTATAATAATTTATCAGAGTAAAGTATGAAAAGAGAATTACTATACTGAATCTATAAGAATTGGCGATTACTTCAAGTCAAGACAGAAATTGAAAGAAATAAGAAGCCGGAAAAAAGATTATGAGAGCAGACTATCAAAACAAATGCAATAATGCAAAAGCAAAATCACCAGATATTTCAAAATCTATAGCGAAACATGAAAGCAATGTCGCAACCAAGCTCAAGACTTAGCAATACGCACAAATGTGCACAAAGGCTGAAAGCATATATGAAAAATCTCAAGAAGGAATTGACAATTACTTCAAATCAAATTGAACTGATTGAATTGAACTGAGACATAAATAACTATATCAAAAGTGAGTTTTACTTATACGCCAGAGGTTTCAAGAGTTTATCAATACGCACAGATTTGCAACTAGGCGGAAAGCATATATGACAAGTCTCAAGAAGAAAATAAAATGCATATGAAGAAAACACTTTCAATTAAAGAAACTGTGGATAGTACAAGACCCTCAAAGGCATACATCGCAACGCATCTATGTAACTATCCAGACTACAAAATACTGTCAAAGTTCAAAACCACTCAAAAATATGTAAACAAACATCAAAAGTTTGAACCAAAAATCAATGTAAGTCTGTGCTCTCGAAGAAAGTTATAATGAACTCAAAAAGAGGATACTATCAATAGACTTCAAAAATAGAAGTACGTAAGTATTTAAAGGAAATTCAGAAAATATACGCATAAAAACATTATAAAATATTATACACAGTATTTGTCACATGA